GTGGTGGTGACAAGCTACATGTGTGGCCATGTAGCAATGGTTGTGATCCANCATTCCCTGTGGGATCGACCCTTGCTCACCCTATATACAATTTAGTAGTTAGGTTAGTAAGGTTAATTAATTTGGTGCATTCGGCACGCTACCAATGGCTGTCAAGAATATTCTTAAGTACCTGAAGAGGACTAAGGATATGTTCTTGGTTTATGGAGGGGAAGATGAGCTCACTGTAAGAGGATATAGTGATGCTAGTTTCCAAACTGACAAAGATGATTATCGATCGCAATCAGGGTTTGTATTTTGTCTCAATGGCGGTGCAGTGAGCTAGAAGAGCTCCAAGCAAAGCACTATAGCGGACTCTACAATGGAGGCTGAGTATAGTGCATTATCAGATGCGGCCAAGGAGGAAGTCTGGATTAAGAAGTTCATTACCGAACTTGGTGTGGTTCCTACGATTGTTGATCCTATAGACATCTATTGTGACAACAATGGAGCAACTGCTCAAGCCAGGGAACCATAGTCTCATCCGAAATCCAGACAAATACTCAGATGATTCCATCTCATCAGAGAGATAGTTGAGAGGAAAGACATGCATATTGACGACAATCTCACGATCCACTGAAAATGTTTTACTATTGGAGCCCAAGCCTATTCCATATGGGAATAGGGCATTAAAGTTTTACTATAAAAGAAAATTTTTATTTGTAAAATGGAACAATTAATTGATTAGCTGATTTTCATTGTAAAACCAAATACACAGCAACCCCATTTCTCTCCCACGGTAGAAACCCATTTTTGCCTAAAATCAATTCATTTTGATTTCATTCTTCTTTAATCTTAAAGCCAAAGAGGATCTAGCAAATCCCTCTTTGGTTCTTTGTGATTGTCCTCATGTGGACTTCATAAGTTTGATCCTACGCTTGGGTCGGTAGCAAATACGTACAAAGACTATTTTGGAGGAGCCTCCAAACGTGTGTATGTTATTCTAAACTCTTGATTAACCTTTTGTGTAGATTTTACTTTAATATAAATTGTAAAATTATACCTTTGATCTTGGCTCATGTAAACGATCCTTGTATTATATTTTTTTTGTTTCCGTTGCGTATATGGATCATTTACTAACAGTGCATGTAGGAATTCTTCTTGGTACAACCCTCATCCACATACCCTCTTACGGGTCGTACAAATTCTTCTTCTTCTTATGTCGCTCACTTAAGGCGGCGTGTTTGTGGGAAATTCTTCTTATCACCCACGGGTTCCCCATCGCAACAACCTATTCTTTTCTCTTCTTTAGCACTCTTCTTTCTTTAATTCTTTAGTGCTTTTCTTTCTTTTTCTTATTCTTATGAATTGTTTATTCTTTCATGTAAGTATATGCATATGGATGACGCATGCTTATGTTTCTATCTTAAGTGCAATTGTGCTATGTTGCGCAAAAATAAGTTTCTATACTTATGTACAAGCTTCTCTTAGGCATTTCATCAAACATCATGCATGCATACTTTAATTCTATTTTTGATACATCTCTACTTCTTTCTTTAACCATCCATTCATAGAGCAAAACTTCTCCACAATAAATCTAAACATGGCCAAGAAAAACACTTCAAATATTCTACTTAATTTCTTTCTACATGCAACCAAACTCCACTTGGTCACCACAATCTCAACTCTACTTGTCATGGCTTAATTCTACTTATCAAAAGCCATCTACTCATCAACATCAACATTCTCAATAATCAATTACAAGCTCATAAGCATAAACATGCATATCAAATCATTTAGTTGCTTAAATCTTAACTTAGGTTGGATTTACTTACCTTTGCTTGAGTTCCTCCACTAGAAGCTCTTTATCTTTGTTGGACTTGCTTCTTCTCTCAAATCCCAAGCATAAACTTCATAAGAATTCCATACTAACTTAAATTAATCTCATATAGTACAAGAATCCTTACCTCTTGATGCTTAGGATCAAATCTTTATAGAAATCCAACCAAAAGCCCTCCAATCAACCTTGGAAAATTGATGGAAAGATGAGAGAATTGGGGGTAGAGGTGGTGTGTGGGATAAAGCAAATGAGAGGGTTTATGTGCTTGAACCCTTAATATCTCATATAACTAAGCCTTCTTTCCCATTTTGCCCTTACACTTTCTTGGAAATTCCATCCTTATCCTTTACTTCTTTACAAATTTACCCCCATTCCAAAATATTCTCCATGAAATTTTCTTACATTTCACTCCCCATTTTTCCTGCTAATTAGGGGTAGAATGGTCACTTCACCCCTATGGAAAATTCTCTAGAAACTTCACAAAGAAAATCAGCCAGATCTTCACCCCAGCGCAAAAATACAAAGCCTATGTCGCTGCGGTGAAGTCTGCATTTCCCAAAATCCGCCAAGACTTCACCAAATTCAGGGCATCCAAGCAATTCTAACAACTTACAAACTTAACCAAGGGCAACCCAACAACAATAACACATATTAAGTAAACTTAGGGCCAACAAACAACATTTAAAAGGCAAATGAACATGAATCAAAGATGTACCTCGAAGTGGATGTTACATTTAATACAATGATAAATGGGTTTTGCAAGTAGGGGAAGATGGAGGAAGCTAATGGGTTGTTGGAATTGATGAGTCAAAGAGGTTTGGAGCCTAATGTGGTGACATTTACTACAATGATAAATTGGCTTTGCAAGGAGGGGAAGATGGAGGAAGCTAATGGGTTGTTGGAATTGATGAGTCAACGAGGTTTGCAGCCTAATGTGGTGACTTTTAATACTATGATAAGTGGGCTTTGCAAGGAGGGGAAAATGGTGGAAGCTAATGGGTTGATGGAATTGATGATTCAAAGAGGTTTACAATCTGATATGGTGATGTTTAATTCAATGATAAATGGGCTTTGGAAGGACGGGAAGGTGGAAGAAGCTAACGGGTTGTTGGAATTGATGAGTCAAAGAGGTTTGCAGCCTAATCTGGTGACGTTTAATCCAATGATTAGTGGGCTTTGCAAAGAGGGGAAGATTGAGGAAGCTATTGGGTTGATGGAATTGATGATTCAAAGAGGTTTGCAGCCTAATGTAATGACTTTTAATTCAATGGTAGATGGGCTTTGCAAGGAGGGGAAGATAGAGGAAGCTAATAGTTTGATGGAATTGATGAGTTAAAGAGGTTTGTAGCCTAATGTGGTGACTTTTAATACAATCATAAATGGGCTTTGCAAGGAGGGCAAGATGGAGGAAGCTAATGGGATGATGGAATTGATGATTCATAAAGGATTGCAGTCTAATGTGTTGACTTTTAATTCAATGATAAATGGGTTTTGCAAGGAGTGGGAGATGGAAGAAGCTAATGGGATGATGGAATTGATGATTCAAAGAGGTTTGCAGCCTGATGTGGTGATGTTTAATACAATGATAAATAGGCTTTGCAAGGAAGGGAAGATTGAGGAAGCTAATGGGTTGTTTGAATTGATGAGTCAGAGAGGTTTGCAGCCTGATGTGGTGACATTTACTATAATGATAAATGGGCTTTGCAAGGAAGGGAAGATGGAGGAAGCTAATGCATACTTCAAATTGAGTATCCAAATAGGTTGGCAGCCTAATGTGACTTTTACTACAATGATAAGTAGGCTTTGCAAGGAGGGGAAGATGGAGGAAGCTAATGGGTTGTTGGAATTGATGAGTCAAAGAGGTTTGGAGCCTATTGTGGTGTCTTTTACTACAATGATAAATGGGCTTTGCTAGGAGGGCAAGATGGAGGAAGCTAATGGGTTGTTAGAATTGATGAGTCAAAAAGGTTTGCAACCTATGATCTAATCTTGTAGTCTTGACCTTTATCAGGACCCATAGGTTGATTTGGTATCTTTATATGTTGCATCCTTCAATCATATATCTTGACATATACCCCTTTACATTATTTTTAAGCTTTTTNAAATGAACAACTTTCTTACTTTAGCACAGAAAACATATGTAAATCAACCTAACTTCTACAATTCAATCTTATTATCTCGATCTAACATTTTCTCTTCTTTTATTAAGAAGAGAAGCCCTGGAATTTGAGTACTTGAGTTTAGGTTGGTGAACATGGTACTCGGGTGAAATAGCCACGAATATTATAATACCACTGAGCAAGGCTAACCCCAATCCTAAACTATTAACAACAATGGATTCTAGACATCGTTTAGATACACTTCTCCTTTGTAAAAATGTCAGTTTCTTTAGAAGATCTGTTTCTGCAGTCACCACAGCCAACCTATATGTGTAGGGACCAAGGAAAACCTGCCATGGCAATACACTAATTTGTATGATATGATTTTCGCTTCCCAAACGAAGTTGAATTTCAGTTTTTCATTATCAAGAATGTAAATTTGCACATATCATGTATTTCAGGGATTCGTTCCTCGCTTTGTATGATAAGGTGGTATAGGAATCTCATCGCGTCCTGTTTTACATCAGGAGAATTCTTCTTTCTTGTATGACTTTTAGTATCTTGGGATATGGTAGAATTTTTTATATAATTTTAGAGCTGCTATCGTTTTAATCATTTTCCTATATTTCAAAGTCGATTGCTGATTTATGTTCCAAGCATTCAAAGCCTGTTTAAGATTTCTGATGCCATAAAATTTATAGGATTCTCCAATGAGGATATCTGAAGCAGTATGGTAGGATAATTTGATAATGACGTCTCAAGGCATTGAAATTTCTTGATCCGACCAAAGGTAAATGTGTTTTGATAAGTTTAACATTGACCAAGGGTTATCAAGAATATCCATCAATCAAAAGAAAGCAACATTAGAACTATTTACTAATTACTGTTCCAAGATTTGATTTCTAAAGATTTGATTTTAATTTCATTGAAGCTTTGCTTATATGATTCCGGTGTGAAGCATCTAAGCATGGTGTTTTAGTTGATGAAAGGGCAGAGGTTAAGAGATATATATTGAAGAGAAGAAGCATCTTAGGTTGAAGTGAGTACTAAGTACAATTTTGAAAATCTTTTGGTTGAACCAGGCTGCAAATTTTTGGTTGAAATTGGCATGTTTGGTGTGGAAGAAGCATTTGAGCAAGGTGTTTTAGTTGATGAAAGAGCGGTTGCCGTGAAGAGACTAGGAGATATATTCTGAGGAGAAGAAACATTTTAGGCTGAAGTGAGTACAATTTGGAAACTCTTTTACATGAACCAGTCTGTTGTGGTGGAAGATAGAAACATGAGACTGGCAATGGATTCAATAGTCAAGGCTCTTTCAGAATCTGAAGCTAAACTGAAATCAATTGTGTGGAAAATTAGTACCTGCAATATTTGGGCTATAAATTTATTTTCTTTTTTTGGTTTGTTTTTGTTTGAAGGATTACNCAATGATAAATGGGCTTTACAAGGAGGGGAAGATGGAGGAAGCTAATGGGTTGTTGGAATTGATGATTCAAAGAGGTTTGCAGCCTAATGTGCTTACGTTTACTACAATGATAAGTGTGCTTTGCAAGGAGGAGAAGACGGAGGAAGCTAATGGGTTTTTGGAATTGATGATTCAAAGAGGTTTGCAGCCTAATGTGGTTACGTTTACAACAATGATAAATGGGCTTTGCAAGAAAGGGAAGACGGAAGAAACTAATGAGTTGCTGGAATTAATGAGTCAAAGAGGCTTGCAACCTAATGTGGTGACATTTACTGCAATGATAAATGGGCTTTGCAACGAGGGGAAGATGGAGGAAGCTAATGCATAATTGAAATTGATGATCCAAAGAGGTTGGCAGCCTAATGTGGTGACTTTTACTACAACGATAAGTAGGCTTTGCAAGAAGGGGTAGATGGAGGAAGCTAATGGGTTGTTTGAATTGATGAGTCAAAGAGGTTTGGAGCCTAATGTGGTGTCTTTTACTACAATGATAAATGGGCTTTGCAAGGAGGGCAAGATAGAGGAAGCTAATGGGTTGTTGGAATTGATGAGTCAAAGAGGATAGTGGCCTATGATCTGATCTTCTAGTCTTGACCTTTATAAGGACCCATAGGCTGATTTGGTATCTTTATATGTTGCATCCTTCCATCATATGTCTTCACATATACCCCTTTATATTATTTTCAAGTTTTTTTTTTTTTTTTTTTTTTTTTTTTTGCTTATTTTAATTTGTTGTTGCTCACCTAAATTCTCACTCTAATTGTTTTAACTCTTCTTTCTGCAATGAGTTCTTGATATTCTGAGAGTATATACCATGAGGCAAAGATGGCACTTGATACTTTTTGCAAATATCTGCCATTTGGTGTCTAACCGTGAAGGAAAATTTCAAGACAACCATTGAGGAAATAGACTTTTTTTTTTTTTTCCTTTTTTTAAATGCTGTTTTACCAAAGTTCTCTCAAAGCACGAAGCTCAAAGTCCAACATCCAATGGTTATTTTTGCTTTTGTGGACGTTGTCCAACTTTTTGTTTGCTGAAATACTATTATATCATTTTTCTTCCACAGTGCATGGCCAGACAAGTTAGATATATCCGTGGCATACTCTTTTTACTTAAGTTCTTTAGTGGTGAATGTATACTACTGTAGGTATGATTTTCCTTTCCCAAACGAAGTTGTATTTCAGTTTTTCATTATCAAGAATGTAAATTTGCACATATAATGTATTTCAGCGATTCGTTCCTCGCTTTGTATGATAAGGTAGTATAGGAATCTCATCGCGTCTTGTTTTACATCAGGAGAATTCTTCTTTCTTGTATGACTTTCAGTATCTTGGAATATGGTAGAATTTTTTATATAATTTTAGACCTACTATCGTTTTAATCCTTTTCCTATTTTTCAAAGTCGATTGCTGATTTATGTTCCAAGCATTCAAAGCCTGTTTAAGATTTCTGATGCCATAAAATTTATACGCCAATGAAGATATTTGAAGCAATATGGTAGGATAATTTAATAATGACGTCTCAAGGCATTGAAATTTTCTTGATCCAACCAAAGGTAAATGGGTTTTAATAAGTTTAACATTAACCAAGGGTTATCAAGAATATCCATCAATCAAAAGAAAGGAACATTAGAATCTTCCAAGAGTTGATTCTAAAGATTTGATCTCAATTTCACTGAAGCTTTGCTTATATGATTTCGGTGTGAAGCATCTAAGCATGGTGTTTTAGTTGATGAAAGGGCAGAGGTTAGGAGATATATATTCAAGAGAAGAAGCATTTTAGGTTGAAGTGAGTACTGAGTACAATTTTGAAAATCTTTTAGTTGAACCAGGCTGCAATTTTTTGGTTGAAATTGGCATGTCTGGTATGGAAGAAGCATCTGAGCAGGGTGTTTTAGTTGATGAAAGAGCGGTTGCCGTGAAGAGACTAAGAGATATATTTTGAGGAGAAGAAACATTTTAGGCTGAAGTGAGTACAATTTGGAAACTCTTTTACATGAACCAGTCTGTTGTGGTGGAAGATAGAAACACGAGACTAGCAATGGATTCAATAGTCAAGGCTCTTTCAAAATCTGAAGGTAAACTGAAATCAATTGTGTGGAAAATTAGTACCTGCAATATTTGAGCTATAAATTTATTTTCTGTTTTTGGTTTGTTTTTGTTTGAAGGATTACCAAGATGAACAGTTTGATCATATAAAAGATTAATCACANTTATATGTATTATGTGTTATAAATGCATATTTTTTACATACACAACTCAACCACAAACTCTTGCATGATAGACATCATCAAGATAGTTAACATCAATAGTGCAATTAAACACTTTAAATATTTACAATAGTGCTCCAATTTTATTTGTAAAAAAGAAAGATGGATCCTTACGGATGTGTATAGGTTACAGAGAGTTGAATAAGGTGAGAGCAATTCTAGAATGGCAAAAGCCAAAGACATCTTGGGGCTAGTAGGTTGCTCTAGATGGTTTGTAGTAGGGTTTGCTTAGTTAGCTAAGCCGCTTACAGCTCTTACCAAACAAGGGACTCCTTTCATATGGTCAGATGCCTGTGAAGAAAATTTTCAAGAGTTAAAGAGAAGATTGACCATAACTCCTATCCTCATTTCAGGGACTTGGTGCAATATGATGCAGTTGGGTAGGGTAATAGCTTATGCTTCTCGACAGTTGAAAGAGTATGAGACGAGATACCCTACGCATGATCAAGAGTTGACTGCTATACTTTTTACACTAAAAATATGGAGGCATTATTTGTATAGAGCAAAGAGCAACATTTATACGGATCATAAGAGCTTGAAGTATTTCTTCACCCAAAGAGAGCTGGATATGAGGCAAATGAGATGGTTAGAGCTGGTAAAGGAACAGATAGAGGTGATATCAAGAAGGCTTGCTAGGTTAGAAATTCAGCCGACTTTGCTAGAAAAGATTAAAGAAAAACAAGTTGTTGATGAGTGGTGTTAGAAAATAAGTCAGCAAGTGCTTGAGGGCAAGATATTAGAATTTCACCTGTTAGATGGTGTTCTCCGTTTCCGGAATCGTATATGTATTTCCCAAGATGTTGAGTTGAAGAAGAAGATTTTTACGGAGGCTCATGAAACACCATACACTGCTCTTCCTGGAGAAACCAAGATGTATCAAGATTTAAAGAAAAGTTATTAGTGGCTAGGTATGAAGAAAGATATTGAAGATTATGTGGCTAAGTGCTTAGTTTGTCAATAGGTGAAAGCAGAACACCAAAGACCATCAGGTTTGCTTCAGCCACTCAACATTCCTGAATGGAAATGGGAAAGTATATCAATGGATTTTATTACAGGCCTTCCAAGAGCTTAGAAGGGGTATAATGCAATATGGGTGATAGTAGACAGACCATCGAAGTCAGCCCATTTTCTTCTAGTAAAAGACTACCTCAGAGCAGCTAGCNTTTGCAAGGAGGGGAAGATGGAGGAAGCTAATGGGTTGATGGAATTGATGAGTCAAAGAGGTTTGCAGCCTAATGTGGTGACGTTCACTACAATGATAAGTGGGCTTTGCAAGGTGGGGAAGATGAAGGAAGCAAATAGGTTGTTTGAATTGATGAATCAAAGAGGTTTGCAGCCTGATGTGGTGGCGTTCGCTACAATGATAAGTGGGCTTCGCGAGGTGGGGAAGATGAAGGAAGCTAATGGGTTGTTGAAATTGATGCGTCAAAGAGGTTTATCAAGAATGTCCATCAATCAAACGAAAAATGCAACACTAGAACTAATTACTAATTACTGTTCCAAGAGTTGATTTCTAAGGATTTGATCTCAATTTCACTGAAGCTTTTGTTTATACGATTTCTGGTGTGAAGCATCTAAGCGGGGTGTTTTAGTTGATGAAATGGCGGTCGTCGTGAAGAGACTAGGAGATATATCTTGAGGAGAAGAAGTGTTTTAGGCTGAAGTGAGTACAATTTAGAAATGTATTATAGGAAGAGCGTAATGTTTATGCAATGTTTAGAAAAATGATTTTGTGTTTTCTATTGGTTTGTGAGAGGACAATAGACCATTCTAAATGAAGAAGAAGTGTTTAAGGGTTGTTTTGTATTTGCATAATATAGTTTGTGTTAGTAATCAGAACCATGAAAGTCAGCTAAATTTGAGGATGAATTTCTTAATGTAAAAAAGTTTAATGAACTGTTAGCATACCCTTAAACATTATATTATCACAAAGGTGGTAAACATTATATCCAAGTACATTAAAAATTATTAAGAAGAAACTGAAAAGATCAACAGTTTAGATTATGAAATGATGACTAATAGATTTGATATAACATTATGGCAAGGTTCTTTCTCTTATTTTTTAGTCTTAATACTAAATAACACTGGCAAAGTTGATTATCAAACATTTCAGATTGACATATGCTCAAATACAAAACCAGATTCAGCTTAATTTGTCAAGTTACAATAAAAATCAAATGCTAGAGAGATTAGTATCTTCAGAAAACTCATCTAAAAGTTTGAGAAGACTCAAGAATTATCTCTTCAGTCAGATAAGGCTTATTTTCAGACTGGAAACAGTTATCTGTAGTTGCCAGGTCTACAATCAAACGGAAAAAAAAAAACTAACAAAAAAAGTAGTTTGTTCTTCATGGTAACATAAACATACGATCTATCCAAACGGCTGCAGAAATGGCTATCCATGTTAGGCACAAAGCCCAGCACACCCTCTGAATAATTTTAGCTAAATATAATCCCCATAGTTTTAAAAATAACAAAATCCACCCTAGAAAGTTGAAAGTAGAAACATATAATTAGAGTAATTCTCCCAAAACTGATGGGGTTTATTTAACTATCCATAGCCACATCAAATCATATGATCTAAATCCAAAAGACTCCATAGCTAAAAAAACCCTCATAATTATCTCAAAAACCAATAAAACCCTTAAAAGTTAAAAACTAACACAGACCGCCCCAAAAGGCAAAAAGTACAAATATTTCACATTTCATTCAGCTACGACCATGCCACGGAATTCAGTTAAATAACTCGTTCAACACACACAAGTGGGCTTAGACCATCTCCATCACAAACACCAAATTGGTGTGATTTTTAGTGTATTTCACTATTGCATCTCCAACCCTATCAAATATTACACTAAAAAGAATATTCTTTTTCTTTTTCTTTCTATTAATAACCAATAATTAATCTATTTTACTAATTATTTTTGTATATATTAATTAAATATTATGAATGATATTTTTGTTAAATAATAATTACTCTGAAAATTATACTAATTTAATAAAATTAAGAATTTATTTAATCAAATAAACATTACATTTAATATAAAAAAAACATTACATCTAATATAAAATACCACAAAAAAAAAAAAAGACAAAATTGGCTTTGGCAGAATATCGAGAAGATAACAAAATTTTATTCAAGGATTTGAATTTCATAACCGATCCAAACCTACGTGAGTTTTTTCAAAATGAGCAATCAAGAATTATGCAAAAAAAGGTTCAACAACAAGGTCAAAGATCTCAAAATAGCTGTAGTTTTTTTCAATATTTTGATGATCTTAGAGGATCCGAAATTAATCTACCGGAATACTAAATTATTATTTTAATTTATGTTTTATTTTCTTTTAATTTTAGTGTTCTTAAATTAGTGTTAATTTTTATTTTGAGTTATTGTAGTTTAATATTTGCATTGAATAAAGTTTTGTTTTTAATTTTTCATCATTTTTTTAATTATATAATTATTATGACTTTATTATTATAAATATTAATATAAATAATAATCAAATTAACATAAATACAAATAACAAAAATAAGAAAATAAAATATATTTTATAATAGATGAATAATACCACATCAAATTGGTGTAAATGAACAGTATTACATTAAATTTGACGTAATATTATTCACTTATACCAATTTAGTGTAGTTTTTAGTGTTGGGTTTGAACATATTTTCCACACACACCAGAACAGCGTTAGGTTGAAGATGCCCTTAGCTGCCATCAGGGACAAGCATAGGATAGGAAGTCGCCTCCATTGGGCAAAGCAATTTGATAAATCTACACTTTATCATTGAATTCTTCTCTTAAAGTACTCTTTCTGAAACGGTAAGAAAGATGCACGCATTAACATAAACCAAAATAGTGAGGCATTTTGTAAGGTAAATAGGGAGCAATTGGGATGGCAAATTGGGTTTTGTAATATTTGAAGGAATGACCGTTTTTCTTGTTTATTTGCACGTCAATTGGATGCTGGTGAGTTTTGAGTACAGAAGAAAAATTTAGTGACTACTTTTTTTTATTTTATTATAACTAAGATGTTCAAATCAACTTATGTGCAACCTCAACAAATCCTCAAAGTTTATTGAATATCCTACAAACCCAATAAACCAGATAAATCACAATTATACATTGAGGTAGATGACTCTAAAATTTGAACTCAAAAAATCAAGGAAGTGGGCCTACCTCTTTTGCCACCAAGCCAACCCCTAGAGGTAATAGAGAAAAAAAAAATTTAGTGTCAGACATGATTTCGTCATTGTTTTCTGCCCGTTACCATACATACATGCTCTCGACCGTACAATTTTCAGGAATATTAACATTGACGCCAGCGCACTCGACAAGCACCACAATATTAGGTATGCAAATCAAATCCTGAGGAAACAGCATACATTGCTGTATGCCAGAACCAGTTTTAAAATTGTTACAGGCTACTGAACCCAACAATACACAATGCAGCAATAGTTGGTTCATTTGCTTCTTAGGTTTCGTGACCTACATAGCATAAGTTAACCATAATAATAATAGAACACAACAGCGATAACAGCATAACATTATCAAACTTTTGACATGTAGCTAAATGTAACTTTTTCATGAGAATGAGTGAACCACACAGCAAACTACCGTATTAACAACCTGACACAACCCATCTCTCATTTCCATTTTTCGTCATCATCTCAGTTAACATTTGAAGAGCTGCTCCTGATAAAAGAACCACGGCGGTGACCACCCACAATGGCATCTTTAAGGCGAGATATGGGACCAAGCATCCTGCTAGCCTTCTGCTGATATGGTGATTAAAAATAAAGTCAATTAGATAATAAAAAGGTGATGGAAGATGCAATACTGGTTATCCACCTTATTGGCATCGCAAACATTCTAAAGGATATGAGTACCAGACTTTCAATTATAATAGCTCAGATACATAAATGAGCTGCTGACCACATGGACAGTAATGATATGTTTGCTTAGAAGCTTTAATCAATCCTGATGTTTGATATATATCAGAATTTAGCTGGCTACATATGCTCCAGAACTAGGAGTACTTCTCACAAAATTAACTAAAAAACCCCTAACCAGAAGGTAGAAAACATGAGTGTGCATGATTATCATCAGAAATTAGCAATGAGCTTTTGAAGTTAAGAAGCATTATCAGGTGGGGTTTAAAACATCAAAGTAAACATCAAAACAAAAGAGCAAGATTCTAATATTCTTAGTGAAGAAACCAAGTTAAGCTGGAACTTTGAGGATCAGCGCTAAATCATGGATATACTTGGGTGAAGCTCAGTGACACAGAAACTCAATTAATAAAAAAACATGTAGAAGGATGCTAGTAAATAATCAAAAACAAATTTCTACCAGTGGACCACTGTGTAATCATCACTCAGCACATGCTGAAGCACGCTTTTATTTTTCCAGTCAAATAGAAAAGAAAATAATATCTGGAAATTCTAAACTCCCGAATTCACAATTAAATGTGTACCACGCAAGCATGCTGGTTGTATTAACATATTAACTAATAATATAGAGATATATCCACTCCTCCCACGGCATTGCAATGCAAATAGAGAAAAAGGAGAAAAGAAAAACACCAAAAAAACTTATTTGTACAACCAAAATACTATACATTAGACTGTTTACTCAAAGCAATTATTTTTTAAGGGGAGAGCAGCAATCCACATACCTCATCACTGATGCTAAGCTGCCACTTCAGCTGCAAAGCTTGCCACCTTTCTTGCTGCCAACGCTGCCCAATAAGTACAAGACCCATGACAGCTGCTGCAATGAAAATGGACCAGAGAGCATTTGCTTCTTTTGCATGAGCATACAAGGAACTTGCCCTTCTCTTCCACCATGCTTCACAAGGAAGGTCAGATGCAGCACATTTACCATCTTTTGTGGGTTTCAGGGCTTTTGATGCATCTGCAGGAAGATCAATGCCTGGCTCGGAATGTTCAGTTTGTTCAGTTTCTACGTTCTCATCATACGTAGTTGATCCACCGAACACTGCTTCACTATGAAATGAACCAAATGTAGCTGCACTACAAATACTCCCTTCTTTATCACTCAAATTTAATCCGGGTAGAGTTGTCCCTTCTTCAAACTCTGTGCCAGGAATGGATAGCCTGTTACCCTTCTCATCCAAAAACTGTATTCCTGGAAACTCATTATGTACACTTAACCTTTTAAGAGTCCAATTTTCGTCATCATCTTTTCCACTGGATCTACCCCCTTCTTCAGCTCCAACCTCAGTAACCACATCCTTGCCAACAGGCTCATTACAAATCTCACTCTTAGCAGATCCAGGTTCCAGAGGCAGATTTTCATGTTCACTGGGTGGAAAGACAAAGTGCCCAGACATGAACAATGCATGAGAAACTTCTGCTTCAATCTCCTCATTGGCATCACCCTTGTCATCATTCTTTAGTTCAACATTTTCGGGACCAGGTGCAGCAGCATATGCAGATGCTGTAAGTGATACAACTTCCCATTCATTCCCACGAGAAGTATTCTCTGGACCCTCCTCATTATCAGCCATCCTCCAAAATTTATAGTATTCTATCATTTTTATGCATCAAAATAACAAAAAATGAGTAAATAATAAACATTTAGGGTGAGAAAATTTTTGGATGCTTTCAAACACCGTATGAAGAGACAAAACTTAATCATGATTCCACTATACTACCTTGCTCTTTCGCTCAATATTGGGTCAACAAAGATCTTGCTAAAATGCAGAAAATATAGTCCTTCACTACATCTCAAAATTTATACTACTACGGGTACGGGGGTGATATATAAGGATCAAATAAAAAATTATTAGATTTCTTAGGGCAACTAGGATGATCCATAACTATCACATAAACCATTACCAGATCTATTTGACAAAATCTGAAAAAAATATATCTTGTATATGAAATAAACAATACTTATTCCTTGAAATCACATAAAAACTTGGCAATTGTCCATCATTGCTACAAAATTTGATAAAAGGAAATAAAAATAACATGTCGAAATTTATCTGCTTAACATCCAGAAATAAACAGAGAATTAAGTAAAATTGTCTTATTTCCTATGCCCTTTCTCGTCTCTCAGTCACGAATCCTTGCATGCGCAGACACACACAAAACTAAATTCCAAATTACTTCTTCCCTTAAACTGAAACATTTCTATCCCTTATAATATGACAATCAAGGAAGTTTAATCCCATCTGAAAATATTTATCAATACCCAATCGCTTAATCTAGTCTCATGCTATCAATTAACTTCTTAACAAAACATACGATTATTTTGTAATGAATCCATCGGAAAAAATAAACTAATCACTATCGAAAAAGAAAAAAAGTTAGATTTCATATACGGTTGTTTACATACAGGTAGTAGACTTTAATTGATAGCATCGGACCGGATTAATCGATTGATGTTCTTGGTTTTGACAAAGATGTTTTCCGAAGGGATAAGTACTTAAATGTTTGTGTTAAAATTAAGGTTAAATTTCATAAATTGGATAAAAAAAAAAAAAAAAAAAAAAACCTGTAAACTTAACCGAAAGAATGAAAAAACCTATGTCAAAGGATATATAAAGTCGGATCTGATCAACATGATCTTGGTGATGATAATTTCTCCGATATCCATTAATGGCTAACAACAAAAAAGAAACCCTAAGTAACAACAACTTACCCTCGATTGATATAGAGATACTGAAAAACTGAAATACCAGCCGCGAAGCTCTGATTTAGGAGAATTGTTGATTCATCGAACCAAATCGAGGTCGTCGTTTGATAAAAGATAGATAGAAATGATTGATTGTGACAAGAGAAAGGGGTAGAGTATTCTCAAAGAATTCTTAAATCGATCTGTTTATGCGAGAGAGAATCTATATAGAAATTGCTTTCCCCGTATTCTCTGTGCAAATAGGACATGATTACTACACTAATCAGCCATTAGATGTCTGCCATCTGGAATAGAAAACACGATTAACCCGCGTCCATAATGTTTAAATGTATACTTCGTGTACACAAAAAGTGATTTTCTTGACGGTTATTGTTGTGTTTTATTTATGCACTGTACATTTTTTAAATAGGTTATAAAAAAATTTATTCTACCAAAATAAATTAATTAGATTAAGACCTAATAATTATTAAATTATATAAAATTTAAAGTAAATATAATTTTTTTATACATACAAAATTGTGTTAAAATAAAATTAATAATTATACTTGTATAATTATCTATTATTTAAACTTAAAATTTATACTGACCTTTCATAATTTCTGTAACTTATATTCATTATCAAGTTACGTGCGCGGGTATGTTTATTATATATATATATTTTTTTTTTACATTATTATTGGTTTTTTTGATGTTTTAAATATATATTTTCTATATTTAAGTTCATTTTATATTGAATTGATAATTAAAAAATTAATAAATAAAATATCCACAAATTAAACTCAAAGTCTATATCATCATGGTTCTTCTCAAATATATCACCATTTGAAATCTGCAACCAAAGTTTAAAACTTTGTCAAGAAAAGCAAATTTTTTTGCAAGATAGCCTACTGGGTATTATTGATAAGTCTATAAATCAATCAGAGAATGAGAAATCTTGTTGAAAAATGTGAACTTTTAAGCAAGAGACTTGCAGAGTCAAAGAAAAAAACTGATTTTGATTGTTGAGAAGAGAAAATGAATTATTTTTATTATTATTATTTTAGAAATTAAAAAAAATTAAGAATGTTGAGAAGAGAACTCACATAGAAAGCAACAATAACTCTAACAGTATAATCTGAAAACAATTTAATTGAAGCATTGAAGAAGCCATGAAGATAAAGGTCTTGTGACACAAATCTATTTGCTGCAATTAAAATTGACCACCACCTATAGCCAAAAAAAAAAAAAAAAAAAAAAAACATTTGATGATAGCATCCTAAAGAAAGACAATAATTATAAACAACAAAATCAATCCAATAATAAACAAAAAGAGATATAACAAATACAATTAAAACTCCGTATTAATATTTATTTTCCTTTGTCATCACTAAAATTAAATTTGTTTTATATGTATAATGATAAAATGAATGGTTCGGCAGCAGGTCTATAGTTATCTTAATTCATCATATAATATATCAAATTCAAGCCTTATCTTTCTAGTTTTCAAAGATTCAAACCGCTTATCAATTAGATTTTTATGAGCAAGTTATGACTAATTTACTACTGACTGTTCAGTGGAAATTGAGAAATAGGGGAAACTGAAATGTGTGTGATAATAAAAGGAATGACTCGATGGTGGGGCTACAGTTATCCGAATTAAGAGTATAATATATCAAATTAAAGTCATGTCTGTCTAGTTTCTAAAACCTCTCATCAATTGGATTTTTATTGAGGAAGTTATGGTCAATTTACTACTGACTGTTCAGTGGAAATCGAAATGTGTGTGATGATATAATGGATGGTTTGGTAGTGGGGCTACATTTATCAAAATTAAGCATATAATATATCAAATTAAAGCTCTATCTGTCTAGTTTCCAAAGATTTAAACCTCTCATCAATTGAAATTTTATTGAGAAAGTTATAGTCAAGTTACTATTGACTGTTCAATGGAAACCGAAATACGTGTGATGATAAAAGGAACTGTTCGACAACAAGGCGATAATTATCCAAATTAAGCGTATAATATATCAAATTAAAGCCCTATCTATCTAGTTTCTAAATATTCAAGCCTCTCATCAATTAAATTCTTATTGAGCAAATAGAAATAAACAGAGAATTAAGTAAAATTGTCTTATTTCCTATGCCCTTTCTCGTCTCTCAGTCACGAATCCTTGCATGCGCAGACACACACAAAACTAAATTCCAAATTACTTCTTCCCTTAAACTGAAACATTTCTATCCCTTATAATATGACAATCAAGGAAGTTTAATCCCATCTGAAAATATTTATCAATACCCAATCGCTTAATCTAGTCTCATGCTATCAATTAACTTCTTAACAAAACATACGATTATTTTGTAATGAATCCATCGGAAAAAATAAACTAATCACTATCGAAAAAGAAAAAAAGTTAGATTTCATATACGGTTGTTTACATACAGGTAGTAGACTTTAATTGATAGCATCGGACCGGATTAATCGATTGATGTTCTTGGTTTTGACAAAGATGTTTTCCGAAGGGATAAGTACTTAAATGTTTGTGTTAAAATTAAGGTTAAATTTCATAAATTGGATAAAAAAAAAAAAAAAAAAAAAAACCTGTAAACTTAACCGAAAGAATGAAAAAACCTATGTCAAAGGATATATAAAGTCGGATCTGATCAACATGATCTTGGTGATGATAATTTCTCCGATATCCATTAATGGCTAACAACAAAAAAGAAACCCTAAGTAACAACAACTTACCCTCGATTGATATAGAGATACAGAAAAACTGAAATACCAGCCGCGAAGCTCTGATTTAGGAAAATTGTTAATTCATCGAACCAAATCGAGGTCGTCGTTTGATAAAAGATAGATAGAAATGATTGATTGTGACAAGAGAAAGGGGTAGAGTATGCTCAAAGAATTCTTAAATTGATCTGTTTATGCGAGAGAGAATCTATATAGAAATTGCTTTCCCCGTATTCTCTGTGCAAATAGGACATGATTACTACACTAATCAGCCATTAGATGTCTGCCATCTGGAATAGAAAACACGATTAACCCGCGTCCATAATGTTTAAATGTATACTTCGTGTACACAAAAAGTGATTTTCTTGACGGTTATTGTTGTGTTTTATTTATGCACTGTACATTTTTTAAATAGGTTATAAAAAAATTTATTCTACCAAAATAAATTAATTAGATTAAGACCTAATAATTATTAAATTATATAAAATTTAAAGTAAATATAATTTTTTTATACATACAAAATTGTGTTAAAATAAAATTAATAATTATACTTGTATAATTATCTATTATTTAAACTTAAAATTTATACTGACCTTTCATAATTTCTGTAACTTATATTCATTATCAAGTTACGTGCGCGGGTATGTTTATTATATATATATATTTTTTTTTTACATTATTATTGGTTTTTTTGATGTTTTAAATATATATTTTCTATATTTAAGTTCATTTTATATTGAATTGATAATTAAAAAATTAATAAATAAAATATCCACAAATTAAACTCAAAGTCTATATCATCATGGTTCTTCTCAAATATATCACCATTTGAAATCTGCAACCAAAGTTTAAAACTTTGTCAAGAAAAGCAAATTTTTTTGCAAGATAGCCTACTGGGTATTATTGATAAGTCTATAAATCAATCAGAGAATGAGAAATCTTGTTGAAAAATGTGAACTTTTAAGCAAGAGACTTGCAGAGTCAAAGAAAAAAACTGATTTTGATTGTTGAGAAGAGAAAATGAATTATTTTTATTATTATTATTTTAGAAATTAAAAAAAATTAAGAATGTTGAGAAGAGAACTCACATAGAAAGCAACAATAACTCTAACAGTATAATCTGAAAACAATTTAATTGAAGCATTGAAGAAGCCATGAAGATAAAGGTCTTGTGACACAAATCTATTTGCTGCAATTAAAATTGACCACCACCTATAGCCAAAAAAAAAAAAAAAAAAAAAAAACATTTGATGATAGCATCCTAAAGAAAGACAATAATTATAAACAACAAAATCAATCCAATAATAAACAAAAAGAGATATAACAAATACAATTAAAACTCCGTATTAATATTTATTTTCCTTTGTCATCACTAAAATTAAATTTGTTTTATATGTATAATGATAAAATGAATGGTTCGGCAGCAGGTCTATAGTTATCTTAATTCATCATATAATATATCAAATTCAAGCCTTATCTTTCTAGTTTTCAAAGATTCAAACCGCTTATCAATTAGATTTTTATGAGCAAGTTATGACTAATTTACTACTGACTGTTCAGTGGAAATTGAGAAATAGGGGAAACTGAAATGTGTGTGATAATAAAAGGAATGACTCGATGGTGGGGCTACAGTTATCCGAATTAAGAGTATAATATATCAAATTAAAGTCATGTCTGTCTAGTTTCTAAAACCTCTCATCAATTGGATTTTTATTGAGGAAGTTATGGTCAATTTACTACTGACTGTTCAGTGGAAATCGAAATGTGTGTGATGATATAATGGATGGTTTGGTAGTGGGGCTACATTTATCAAAATTAAGCATATAATATATCAAATTAAAGCTCTATCTGTCTAGTTTCCAAAGATTTAAACCTCTCATCAATTGAAATTTTATTGAGAAAGTTATAGTCAAGTTACTATTGACTGTTCAATGGAAACCGAAATACGTGTGATGATAAAAGGAACTGTTCGACAACAAGGCGATAATTATCCAAATTAAGCGTATAATATATCAAATTAAAGCCCTATCTATCTAGTTTCTAAATATTCAAGCCTCTCATCAATTAAATTCTTATTGAGCAAATTATTGTCAATTTACTACTGATTGTTTAATGGAAACCTAAATGTGTGTAATGATAAAAATGAATAGTTTACTAAAGCTACATGGTTTAGCATCAAACATCAGTTGATATTTGTTAAATAAATGAAATTAGTTATATTCGACAACAACCTCTTTTCATGATATATGTATGTAACATAAAAAGATATCAACAAAAAGACAAAGAATAATTACAATTAAAACTACATATCAATATTTGTTTTCCTTTAAGGATAATAATAATAGTTCAGTATATTTTAAATGATTTACTAAAGCTACATGGTTCGACAACACACATCAGATGATATTTGTGATACAAATAAAAATTTTTGTATTTAGCAACAACCTGTTTTCGATATATGTATGTAACATAAAAAAATATCAACAAAAAGAGTTAGAACAAATACAATTAAAACTGTATATCAATATTTGTTTTCCTTTGTCATCACTAAAATTGAATTTGTTTTATGTGTGTGATGATAAAATAAATGGTCCGGCAATGGAGCTATAGTTATAAAAATTAAGTGTATAATATAGCAAATTAAAGCCCTATCTGTCTAGTTTCTAAAGATTCAAACCTCTCATCAATTGGATTTTTATTGAGTTAGTTATGACCAATTTATTATTGATTGTTCAGTAGAAATCGAGAAACATGGGAAACCGAAATGTGTCCGATGATAAAAGGAATGGTTCAAAAATGGGGCTACATTTATCTAAATTAAGTGTATAATATATCAAATTAAAGACTTATCTGTCCAGTTTCTAAAGATTCAAACTTCTCATCAATTGAAGTTTTTATTGAGTAAGTTATGGTCAATTTACTACTGACTGTTCAATAGAAACCAAAATGTGTGCGAAAATAAAAGGAATGGTTCGGCAGTGGGGCTAAAGTTATCCAAATTAAGCATATAATATATCCAATTAAATTTCTATCTGTCTAGTTTTCAAATATTTAAACCGCTCACCAGTTGGATTTTTATTGAGCAAGTTATAACTAATTTATTACTGACTATTTAGTGGAAATCGAGAAACAGGGGAAACAAATATATGTGTGAAGATAAAAGGAATAGTTTGGAACTGGGGCTACAGTTATCCAAATTTAGTATATAATATATTAATTTAAATCCCTGTCTGTCTAGTTTCTAAAGATTCAAACCTCTCATCAATTGAATTTTTATTAAGCAAGTTATGGTCAATTTACTACTGACTGTTCAGTAGAAGTCGAAATGTGTGTGATGATAAAAAGAATGGTTCGGCAGTGGGGCTACAGTTATCCAAATTATTTATCAAATTAATGCACTATTTGTCTAGTTTCTAGAGATTCAATCCTCTCATCAATTGGATTTTTATTGAGCAAGTTATAGTTAATTTACTACTGATTGTTCAGTGGAAACCAAAATGCATATGTTAAATAAATGAAATTAGTTATATTTAGCAACAACCTCTTTTCATAGCATATAGTTCGATAATAAACATCAGATGATATATTTGATACAAATAAAATTTGTTATATCCAGTAACAATATGTTTTCGATATATGTATGTAACATAAAAAGATATCAACAAAAAGAGATAGAACAAATACAATTAAAACCAATGTTTTAAAACCCGGCCTAGCCTGGCCGGTTTAACCGGGACTCGAAAGCTTCAATGAGCCGGGTTTATATTTTTCCTATTCACCCAAAATCCTAGGATTTGGAATGATGATTGGCAAACAATTGACCGCCGGGATGTTGGGGCTTTTGAAGAGAAAGTGCTGGTGAATGCAATGGTGGTGACGGAGTTGATTTCCGATGAGTAAAGCGATCGAAAATCGAACAAAACTAGCAGCAGCAACAACCGGCTTTTGCCGGCGATTGGCGAGGCTAATGGGGGTGGGGTGAGGTGGGTTCTGGTCAGGAGGAAGAGGAGAGTAATTTCTAGGTGATGGGGACGGTTGTTGATGCCGACGTCAATGAAATCTGGCCGAAATTGAACTTATTTCGTCCAGATCTTGGGTATATTTTAAGGGGAATGGACTAAAGGGACGATTGGGGTTGCATCTGGGGTGTCGTCGCTGCCAACCAATCACCAGCCAATTTGTATTTAGGGTGTGTTTGCCAAATTTCAAACCTATAGAGACTTAAATAATTTTTAGGGGTGTATTTGCTGAATTTTAGAAGTTTTTGTTAACCCAGGATCTGACAACTTTGCCGGGTTTCACCCCGGGTTGGTTTTAAAACATTGATTAAAACTATATATCAATATTTGTTTTCCTTTGTCATTACTAAAATTTAATTGGTTTTATGTGCGTGATAATAAAATGAATGGTTCGGCAGTGGGGCTACAGTTATCAAAATTAAGTGTATAATATATCAAATTAAAGTTATATCTGTCTAGTTTCTAAAGATTCAAACCTCTCATCAATTGGATTTTTATTGAATAAGTTATGGCTAATTTACTACTGATTGTTTAGTGGAAATCGAGAAACATAGGAAACTAAAATATGTGTGATGATAAAGGGAATGGTTCGGCAGTAGGGCTATAGTTATCCAAATTAAGCTTATAATATACCAAATTTTTGTCTAGTTTCTAAATATTCAAACCTCTCATCAATTGGAGTTTTATTGAGCAAGTTATGATCAATTTACTATTGACTGTTCGGTGAAAACCAAAATGTGTGTGATGATAAAATGAATGGTTTGGCAGTGGGGCTACAGTTATCTAAATTAAGCATATAATATATCAAATTAAAGCCCTATTTGTTTAGTTTTCAAAGATTCAAACCGCTCATCAATTGGATTTTTATTGAGTAAGTTATGACTAATTTATTACTGACTATTCAGTAGAAATTGAGAAATAGGGGAAACCAAAATGTGTATGATAATAAAATGAATGGATCGTCTGTGGGACTATAGTTATCAAAATTAAGCATATAATATATAAATTTAAAGCCTTGTTTGTCTAGTTTCTAAAGATGCAAACCTCTCATCAATTGGATTTTTATTGAGTAAGCTATGGTCAATTTACTACTGACTGATCAATGGAAGCTGAAATGTGTGTGATGATGAAAGGAATGGTTCGGTAGTGGGGTTACAGTTATCCAAATTAAAGCATTGTCTATATAGTTTCTAAAGATTCAATCCTCCCATCAGTTGGATTTTTATTGAGTAAGCTATGGTCAATTTACTACTGACTGATCAATGGAAGCTGAAATGTGTGTGATGATGAAAGGAATGGTTCGGTAGTGGGGTTACAGTTATCCAAATTAAAGCATTGTCTATATAGTTTCTAAAGATTCAATCCTCCCATCAGTTGGATTTTTATTGAGTAAGCTATGGTCAATTTACTATGAATTATTCAGTGGAAATCGAAATGCGTGTGATGATAAAATGAATGGTTTCCTTAACCCAAATTTAAGGGTTTATCATATTAGGACTAATAAGAAATATTTCAAATAACACCTATTAATTGGAAAACAAAATCAGCCAAAATTAATTAATTTAACATATATACTCGCACATCAGCAAGATATAAACAATTAGTCATTCATATAACAAATTAAAATATACGAATGTTTTTACAAAAAAATATATTCAACACAAATGAACTGTTTCTACTAATATAGATATGACACATACTCACAGTTCAGCTGACAATAGGATCATCCTCGATTTGATTTTAGTAAAGTACATGAACATTTCCTTGAAAACAAACATAACAAAATTTAATCGATCTTTATATTAAGATTGTTAAGAAACAATTATTCATTCGTATAACAACTGTTACCTGAAAACGAAATCAACAAAAGTTAATTGATCTTCATATTAAAATTGTTAAGGAATATACTTACCGTTTCAGGACTAACATAATTAATCATTCAAATAGATTGACTAAACAAAAACAATCATTCAACCAAATAATAACCGTTAAAATAGTTACGAGATATACTTACAATTTCGTATTAAAATAGTTAGAAGATATACTTACAGCTCAAAATAACAAATCAAAATAACAACTCATTTGACAAGGTCAATCGGACATCCTTCCTTTATTCCATGCCAATTCATGAATCTCTGACCTGTAAACAATAATAAAAACATAAATAAATAAAAAATCATCGATTAACAAAATCATGAATAACAGACGTATCATTGACACAAACTAACATGACCTATAAACAATTAACAAAAGACCAAACATATTGTTGACACTAACTAACATGTTGCGATAATACACAACTGAACATACACCCATTTTATAACCCATTTTTAAGATATTTCGAATTCCAACACAATTAAATACAAAGAAAGGTTTGCAATGTTAGTACAATGCACCTATATAATTATTAATAAACATGTACGTTTTTACTACCAATGCAATGCACCTATGTAATCCAATATTTATGTCTATGTATTTAGACTTTGTAATACCAATGCAATAATTAATATTGTCTACATCATCACTAATATAATTCAACTACCTGACAATCACAAATCTAAAGTGTCATTATGGTTAGACCTTTAGAATATCAATACAATGCACGTATATAATTAGTATTATTATTAATTATTAATACAACCAATGCAATGCACCTATGTAATCCAATCTTTATGTCTATTTATTTAGACTTTGAAATACCAATGCTGCAATTAATATTGTCTATATCATCATCAATAAAATTTAATTATATGACAATCACAAATCCAAAGTGTCATTATGGTTAGACCTTTAGAATGTTAATACAATGCACCTGTATTATTATTATTAATAATAATACAGATTCCATTTTTTCAAATTAATTAATAATTATAAATGGAACAATAAATACTAATCAAACATGTCAGGATAGAACGGCTTGTCAATCAAATATGTCAAAATAGAGCAATTTTAAATCTTCCAAAATGTGTCACGTGATAATCAACCCATATGGGTATTTAAGTTTATATATATATATATATATATATATATATATTCAGTTTTTTTAATTAATTAATAATAAGATAGAACAAAAATACTAACCCAATATGTCAAGATAGAACGACTTGTCAATCCAATGTGAAAATGAAACAATTTAGAGCTTTCAAATATGCTACATGACAGTCAAACTATACGGGTATTCAGCTTATATATATATAATTTATAATTTATTTATATTAAATCAAAATAACACCTTTAATATTATTATTATTATTATTATAATGGTTAGTTGGTAAATAAAGCTGATTCCTCGCAATTTGGACATGTTCAAAAGAATTGATTTGATACATCATACATCCAAGTCACGTTCAAATTGGACCTAGCCCAGCATAGCCTAGGGTCCACATATAATCATCAACCTATATAAGCCTCCTAAAAGCAAGTTCTACACTACAGTATGACACTGAAACAGAGCAAATTGTTTGCGATCAGTGCAAAGAATGAATTGATTTGATGCTACTATAAGGCAGGAGAGTGGAATTGGCAGGTCTGTATACTCTATACGTCAATGATTAATTGAGGCAAGTAATTTTTCTTCTTCTTTTGGTACTTCAGTCATTGGAAGCTGGAAGCTTGTCTTGGTTATTTTATTCCACTCGTTTTCTACTCGAAAAAATATCCACTGGAACCGCCGGAGCATCTCCAAGACAGTGACTGCAAACACGGTCAGGTAGTTATGGCGCAGATGAGCAGAGAGTTTGTATGTCCACGAGCAACGGAGGATCAGGTTGCTTCCAAGAACCCAGAAATATACCTGCAATTCCACAAAACAAAAATTGTGTTAAACTCTCCAGCAGAAAAGGATATCCAATCATACCAGATGTATCTAAATCTTACCCATTGCCGCCCATATAACAGGTTTGAACAATAGTTTGGTCTGTTGAACTTGAAAATCCTGGAGAAGACGCTGGAAAACAAGGTAAAAACATGTTAATATTCATGCATAGCATGAGCACATGAAGAATTCTGTCACTGCTTAATTCAAAGTTGTGCTTGTTTAGGAGTATATCTAGCACTAAACGCAACCCATATTGTGCAGCTTTCAATAAAAAAAATAAACAAAGATCAATTTAGATTTAATTAAATTTACGGTTCTACAAAGCTATACATTGAATCTACGGCTACTATTGAATTGAAAAGCCGTTTTTCCCTTCACTCTCACTATTTCTTTCCAACAAAAAAGGACATGATATCCTCTCTCTATCTTATCCTTTCCCTTATTCCATCCCTCCTACGATATGAAATGGTAATGTCATTGTAAAAGGCAAGCACATGAATCTAAATTTTTGGGTAAAAAGAACGCTTTAGCATACCTCAGGTCCCAATCTCGAGTTACATCCCAGTAGAATGAATACAGTGAGTTAATAACACTAGAGAGAAGCCAAAGTGGTCGATAAATGGATGTCCACATATCAGGTAAGACGTGATATTTTAGAGCTGAAAGAAATATCACTGGGACTGCAGTTGAATATTTAAAAGCTGAAAACCACATGCCAACAGCATTAGGATGATAATATAGCAGAGAAGAATAAATGAATACAAGACAGTCATTTATAGCAATGACAAGTGAGCACGTTTTTATACAAGGATATAAATAAACCAGCCATAGCATTTTTATTTCTCCAAAATGGAAATACTAGATAGTATTAAAAAAACAAGAAGAAATAGTTAACGGAGGCATTACCATTTAAAAGCGTTGTCTTTTCCTTTGTATCCTTGTACTGACGAAGACATTGCAATAAGCGACAAAGATAAGGGACAACAAGCACCAGTGGGATAGCTATTGAGTGACTTCCACAAACCGAATCAGCTTCAAACCATGCAATTGTAGCAACCTACATTTAAGGAAACCCCATCTTGGTTATCCATGACTAAAGCATAGTGTTAAATATTATTCTATAACGTGGACTGGTGATTTAACAGCAACTAAATCTCATAGGGTATCACAATAAAGAATAACACTTCCAGTTCACTACAATTTGCAGCACAAGGATTGTTAAGATGTTTTAAATGTTTGATGTCATACATGCATGTGTGAGGTATTCTGGTACATGCACTTCATTTTTTATTTTGCATCTCTCCCTTCTCCCAATGTCCAATTTAAAACCTTACAAGGACAATAAAATATATAATTGCTGAAGAAGCAAAATACAATAGTGTTATAAATAAAGAAATGTAGCTGTAGTGTGATTCAGATCAGAATTAATAGAAGAGTAATAACAATGCTACAGAGCCTTCATCAAATAATTGCATATAGAGTAAAATATATCTCCAATATTAAAATACTAACCTGTTGGTGAACCATTCGACAGACTGAACGCTCCAGATCTGAAAATACCTGCATATAATTAACAATTACAAGCAACAAGAAAAAATAATGCAGCTTAAAGTTTAGACAGAAATTTCACAGAGAAATAGCTTTAGGTAAGGATAAAGATGGATTAAGAGTTTAAGGCAGTTGGACATTCAATACTATCACAGTTATTTGCATCTAAATAACAGTAAAGAAGAGTTTTCCACGAGAATACAAGAATTGTATGAAAAAAAATTATAACGTGTCTCAAATTCACACAACTTGTAGTCAATGGAAGTAGAAAAGGCAGTTTTCTTTAGAAAATGGGTAAATAAGGCTGTAGGTTCATACCTTTGCCATGGAGGTCAGAATATCAGCCAAGAAAAAGTCAGGAAATGTAATTGGCTGTTACACAGAAAACATCCATTGCGATAAAAAACAATGAGCTTCAAATCTGTTAAATGTCAATTAACTTTAGGAAAATCACTACTTAAATGTAGTTACATTTTCCAGGTCATTTCAATGACAATAAAAAGCAATACTTGCCTGAAGTGGAAGAGCTATTCTCCATAGTGTCCTCAATAAGAAGTAACGAGATGACAAATAGAAGATATCAAAGGGGAATATAAGAACCACAGCAATGGCGATATATAGGAGTACCTGCACTAGAAACATGTAAAGATTAGCACTATTTATCTACAAGAGATAGAGGCAAGGTTAGTGAGCCAATTTTTGCTACTTAACACAAAGAGTACTGTAAAGTAGAAACTGCAACCAAGTTTTGACACAATTTTTACCTAAAAAGTTGACAAAAGAAAGATCCATTGAAAAAAAAAGTGAATCGCAAAGGTATCTATGCCATAAAAAATGTTATCTGAACAGACAACCACATCTCTTATCGCAGCACTTATTAAGTATTGAAGAAACAGATAAAGAAACTAGAAGCATAATTATTGCAGTGCGCTGAAAACTAGTGTCTGATGCAAGAAATCAAAATCCAAGGATAGCAAAGGTAGGAGTAAATCAAGAAGCAGAACAGATATTACACTGGTTGTGATGCCGCCAATGACACTTCTCCATGAGAGTAGAGATAAAGGTATGCTGTCATGCTAGATGGGACAATAATTGTCATCCAAGTGCTACACTGCATATACCAAATCAGAAATTGAATTTCTTGCCTCAATACTGAATCTTAAACTAAGTAAAGTAAGATAAAAAATGTGTCAAATTTATAACAAGAAAAGTTAGTAAGTTGAAACACCAAGATAAATACAATTGATATGAAATGCAAAGCTCAGTACCTTCCATATTTCCTTGTGAGTAAGGTGGTTTTGATCAAGATCAAATATTTTTGTATAATTGACACTGCCTTGCGAGAAGACCCATAAGTTTACTCCCCAGAGCCAAACCATCATTGTCTGCAACAAGAATGGTGCAAACGTAAATTTCCAATTTTCCATAAAAATCTGATATCTTTGAGAAAAATGTCAACTCACCACAAGGAGGAGAGGATTATAGTACAAAAATGCTTCATAGAAGAATAAGTCACGCAAGTCTACACCCATTCTCATAACAGAATCCCATCCAATCTGGTCAATTTAAAAATAAAAAAAATCAGCAACAAAACTCTGGAACAAACTGATAAAGAAATTTCTCCAAAATTACAGCACTGACCTTGCAGCAACTAAAACCCCACATAAGAAACAATATTACCTGAAAAAAACAATCCACATTATAAATTCAAAATATAGAATCTCCAAAACGAAAATTCTGATAAAAATTTAATTAACAGTAAATGACCTAAATCACCTTGAACCTCCATAAAAAGGTTGGAGATGGACCGGATGGCATTACTGGTGAACTGATACTCTTCATTTCATTTGAGTTAGCACCAATGAAATCACACAGTCTTCCTCAACACTTCCGGCCTCGCCTGTACCACAAGCAAATGTCAATTGAAATTCCGAAGTTACAAGTTTACAAGAGTGATATATCGGTAATTCATGACGAAATTGAAAAGAACGGGGCGGAGAATTGAGTGCTAACTTACCGGATTGAATAAACGACGCCGTGATTGTCAGATCTGATATAAAAGATTGTCGTCGAGACTTGAATGCTAAGGTATCTCTCACCCGATAAATTGTGGTTTCTTACACTCCTGTTGTGCGGTCTTCAGTTCAGATGATTGACTTAGTACGATATCTTGCCACGTTCATTATTATGGGAAATATCAAATATTGAATTCCTCTGTTTAATTCGTTAATTAAACTTCATTTGGGCTTAAATGGCCGCATCTGAAAAAATAGCCCATATTAGTTCGTTTATTTAATATAAATATCCATAACATATAAATTCTTTAATTTATTTATTTATTAACCAATTATCCGGCCGTGCATCCCGACTAATCTTCAGGGGAGGATTAGCACAGCAACTCACTGTCATGACCCTCTACTTAAATCTTGGGACCCAGAGAAATTTAAATCAGAAACCATGTGTCTAAACCATACATTTTAGCGCTCGTCTTATCATTTGGACCATCCAAGGGTGGATAATTCTCTAATTTATTGCGTATATAATATACACAAGTTAACTATTATTTATATTTTATAATTAAAAAAAGAAGGGGTTATACTTATTTGTTATTTCTATCTTTTATGACTTTTACGGAGTACTGTTTGATTTGGGCATCAATTTGGTCAAATATAAATGCAAATAAAAGAATCATTCGGATACATGCTTAATACAATACAGGCTTCCTTCTTACTTATAAAAGAAATTGTATCAATGAGTTGGAGATTAGGGAGATTTTTTTGTTGGCGCAATACAACTTATATTGTGCCAGATTTCTTGAAGAAACTGTGATTCAACAGCTGCTCAGCAGTCGGTCTCTTTTCCGGGGTCATGACCTAAACAAATCTTCACCATATTCCAGAAGTGCTTGGATAACTTACTTCTATAGCAGTACCTGATATCCCATGTGGGTATTTTAGAGCGTTTAACCAAAATTTTGATCATATCATCCAATAGTTGGTGATTAGAGACTCGAATTGAACCACCATTAACTAATTGTAGTACAGTATTACTTCCAATAAGCCATATGTCACTCTGACAGATATAATAATTATCACCAAATATTACTACTTCATGGCAGCAACCCAAGTGGAGATAGAGGAGGAGGAGGAGGAGGAGGAGGAAGGGGACGGCGTAGAATTTTCATCAACAATGTAATGGTGTTCATAGATAGAGCCCGCAAAAGCAAAGCATAATATGACGATGTGCATGTTTGATGAAGATGTGTCCAGCATGAATATCTTTATGAAGCAAGCTCTGTTTATGTAGATAAATTAGAGCTTTAACAGTTTCCCTGAGGCAGTCTTCTGCCAAACCAAATTTGTGTAAAAAGGACACGATTGTTTCAAGAGAACAATTCATAAAAGGCATTTCAGCATAAAACATTTCTTCATAAATTAATGTTTTATAAATTGGCAGTATGTTTTAATGGCTCAAATTCTTGTGCCTATAAATGTCTCGTGCCAGCTTTGTATATACTTCCCTTTGATTTATATTAATCACCTTCAAACCAACAAAAACTGGAACTGAAATTTCATGTACGAATTCAGGATAACTTGGAACGGACACTGCTCTGTAGACAGTAGCTCCAGAAGCAGAAGCACTGCCAACCTCATACAGAATGATATAATCGTTTTCTGCTGTGACGATCTGCTTGGGTCTATAACCATATTCAATTTCTTCGACTTCGGCCATTATCAGAAGCTTAATAGAATTAAATGTTTACGAAAATTAAATATTTTTGATTTAAGCAATTAACACTAGCTGGCAACTAAATTGGAGTAATTAATGATATATAATTGACTTGACTATACTAACGGCCAACGACAGTTACTACAAACTAATTGCATGACCTTTTTTTTTTTCTTGTAACTTTTAAGAATCCACTGTTCTATTTTATTACAACCTAATTTTGTTAATTTTTCAGAAAAACAAACAGGGCGGGGGGCGGCTGCAGGAATTGCTATATTATCTCTTAATGCTCTAGTTTCACACCATTCGTACCGGCTTAATTTCTTATGCACGAACGACGTAGTTGAGTATGAAAGACATCGATCTATCCACGTTAATGAAGACTGAAACTTGGAATTAGATACTTGTGGCTGTGGATGGAGTAGCTGCATATTCTGTGTCCATAACCTCAATGATCTTATTGGCTATCGCACCAGCATAAACTGAAGAACCTTCATATATCTGCAAAATTAGAAATAAACATAAATCTCTCAGAAAACACTCCATGGAGAAGATGGGTTTGGTAAAGAAGAGTAATCCACATCCACCTTTGTGTTGAACAGATAGCTGTAATAATCACCAATGTGGCCACCGGCAACATGGTGGGGATCCAAATGAAGCTCGTCAAGAACTTTAGAAACAAATAACAAGCAGTCGATCTTCTTTCGTTGAACGAGTTTGATGGTTACTTCATCGTCAATGATACGAACATCAACCTCAGTATCCTTGGATTTTCTCTGAAGCCAGGAACTCCTTAAAGAACCGCTATAGGACTGCTCAACATCCCCTACAGCATCGTCTTCTGTCTTGTGCCTCTTGATTCTCTCTCTACCACATCTTTTTCTCTCAACTAGTAATTTGAGCTCGTTAACTGTTCTAAGAAGCTCTTTGGTGTACTCAATAGCATCTCCCACAATTGAGGCTCTATCGATCTTTGTTATGCATGTGCAAAATTGTTATATTAGTAGCTGGTATGACATAATATAAACATTAATTACCACGAAATTAAAGAGAAGCAGAAACATGTACCTTGCTAGGGTTAGGAAGCAAATTCCTCAGGGCCGTGTACTTTTTATTGAAGTGTTCTCTCCTTTGCCGCTCCGTGGTAAAGGGCTTTTTCTTCTTGCCATTTCCACTCCCTCTAACAATACAAGCCATGTCCCTTGTAAACTCCAGCATCCCTCCATCCTCATCTTGGTAAGCCTTTACTCCGTTTGAATCTCTCTCATCCCCAAACAAAGAATTAGCATCACTTCTTGAGGTTGGCAAGTTGTACCCATGGGGTATAGATGGCAATAATTCCCTAAACAAAGGAGGTTGTGGGGACAGGTTGAGATGAAATAATGGATCATACAAAACGGAGGTGCTATCTGAGGCTGGGAGGTCTTCGATAAAGCCCAAAGGAGTAGTGTCATGGTTTGAGTTTGCGAAGGAGATGGATGAATTTGGAAGCAAAGAGCATCTGGGCAACTGAAAGAGATTGAGAAGGTCTGGTGTTTGGGGTAATGAATTGATATTGAAGCTCCTATGGCCATTTTGTTGTGGGTCATCTTGATTAAAACCTATATCACCGGTGTTCCAGTTGGAGTGATCATATGAAAGAAGCTGATTACGGTCGTCAACCACTTGTTGCATCATATGGGACCTATAGGTATTATTATCACAGTTTTCCACATTGAAGGACAAATACTTTTGTAACTCTAGTTCCATAGCGGAAACAGATGTATCTTCTTGGTGATTGTGGTGATGATAAGAAAGTTCCTCAGCAGAGAGCTCCAGATTCTCTTCAAATTGCTTCTGGTTGTTTGCCATAGCTTGAGCAAACCCAGAATATACACCCTCTGCCATGGAGTTATTGGGATCGAAGCACCCTGGTTCCTCATACATTTTAGAATGTTTAATATCTGCATCAATCAACGTGAGAAAACCAGTACATGTAAGTAGAATGAATTTCACCAAAAAACAAAAAAAAAACTACACAAGTTATGAAACAAAACTTTAACCTTTGAAAATTGCAATTACTAATATTGGAAGCACAAAAATATAGGAGACCCTCCAATCAGCCTTAAATGTTGAAAGAGCTAGTCTTAAAAGGAAAGACAGAATGTCTTTTCTCTCACTATTATAGAGATGAGTGTTTGGAAAAATGCAGACATATAAACAGAATTACGTCTAGGAAGGAAAGACCGACGGATTTTCTTTCTTTTTGTAGAGTTTCCGTCTTACTGACTAATAGTATTTTCCATCTTCATCTTTTAGAACACTTTTCTCCCTCACCCGTAGACCTGGCAAAACGGGCGGGTGAACTGAGTGCGGGTCGGGTCCAAAAGGGTGCGGTTCCCATGGATACGCGCCCAAAGCAAGTTGATCTATACGGGTCTATATATTGGACTTGTACCTTATCTTATACGGGTATGGATGGACCTACGGGTACCCATACTATTCATGAAAATAAGAATCAAGCAAAACCAGTAAGTATGAAATTTCCGGGGGCATATTGACAAGAAAAAATCAAGGCTGCAACTTTACTTTTCAATCAAAAAGAAGACTACAGTGTATGATTGATTTTCTTTGGCTCTGATCTACATCCAACAGTCGATATTTTTCGAATGACAGATAAAAGTTGAAATCTTAAATGTATTCCAATTTTATCCTTGCCAATTGAGCTAGCTGGTTTGAGAAATAGAGAGGCTTTACTTAGAAGAGAAGACAGGAGTCTCATCTACAGTTGTATGCATGTAGAGTGTAATTAAATTCTCGAAGATGGACCAACCCCACAAAAAATTACAAATAAAAATCATTAAGAAAATACCTGCAATTGCTTTGACTTCCCTTAAAATTTAAATCACTCGGGATATTTACAGCCACCAAACAGTGACTATTTCTCTTCAGTTTCAGAATAAGCACAAACAAACACACAAGGACTAAGACAGCCAATGAATTTGACTAATTTTAAAAAAACAAGAGATGAAGAAAACAAAAGAAACCCGACTGCAGAGGAAAAGGACAAAAATTAGAGAGGGAAAGGAAATCGCATTTTTCCTTCCACTCACAGAGTAAGAATCAAAGAAAGCAAGAACCTAAAAAATACTTCAGGAACTAACCTTTAAGACTGAGAAACTGGAAACTTGTTCCGTCTTTTCTGCCGAAAGCAACCTAATATAGCTGATCTTCAAACTTCTCTTCCAACTGTAACCAAGAAATGATTCCAAGAGTTGCCAATTCTAATCATCTCTCTCCCTGCACTTAGTCTCAATAAACTTCGTTCTTATTTGAAAAATGTTACACTCATAACTTCTATTAATAAACTTTTTTTCACAATTTCGATATGATAATTCGTAATTGGTCAATTCGCACATAATAGATTAACCAATTACGAATTGTCACGTCGGGATTGTGAGAATAGATTGTAGGTGTAACATTATTCATTTTATTAATATAGTTTTAAGGATTTCGTTTTTTTAGAGATTTTGTTTTATTATTATTTAAAAAAAAAATACGAATGGCTGTGGGTGTACCCGGCTCACCCGCATAATAAGCAGATTAGACTAGATACGGGTCTAATTTCCACAGGTTCATAAGGCTTAACCCATGCCCTATATTATTTATCCGAAATTCCGAGCACAAGTCGACCCGCGTGTCCGACCCGTTTTGCCAAATCTCACCTGTAACTCTTTTTTTGTACGCATATTTTAAGAGAATGGCATACTTGTAATTTGAGTATTCACAAAATTTATGGTTAGTCTGCCAAAGTGTGTTAGTTTAGGTGGGAGCTGTAAATTACTGTGTTTTCTATAGGGAGAACGACATTTTCCCACCCAAGGTTTGACAAAATAACACTATCCCACCCTTCAAATTTAAAAATAACACTTTCCCACCCTTTGTTAGGTTCTGTTATATTTTCTATTAATATTTTACTGAAAAGACAAAAGTTTTCTTAAAAATTTGACTTTATAAATTTTTAATTAGCTAAAAAATTAAAAAAGAAAAAGTAGTTAATCCCACCTAAAAAGTTAAGAGTAATGCTATAAAATTGTTTAAAATTAAATGATCTTAATTTTTATTTATTTATAATGTTATCGATATCTCATCACTATTATTCAATAATCTATTAAATTTATAATGTTTTTCATTTTTCCTAATTAATATAAAAAATCAATATTCCTAATTAATTAAATAAAAAAAAAATCTTTATACTTGAACTAATAAATAATCGAGTAAAGATTTTGACTTAATTAAATTTTAATTTATAATAAATAAATTAAGAAATAAATTATTTAAGAGTATTTTCGTCTTTTCAGCTAAATATTAGTAGAAAATACTAATAGAACTTGACTAGGGGTGGGAAAGTGTCATTTTAAAACTTGATGGGTGGGAAAGTGTCATTCCGTCAAACCTTGGGTGTGAAAATGTTGCTCTCCCTTTTTTATACCTGTTAATGTGTGTGGACCCCACCATCTCCTGACTCTCCATGCGAACCGCCCTCTCAAACTAACTATTATAACCGTTTAGCCTTTAACAACCATAAAGATATCATTTGTTATCCAAACTAAATAACTCCATGATCAGCAGGGAATTGAATTTTTTTTTTTTTTTTTAAATTTTTTAACTACAAATCCAACTCCATTATTTTACAATTCATGGAAAGTTTGTGTCACACTAACTACTCTCAATAATATTTATATTAAATTACGCTGACAAAATTCTTTTTTCTTTTTTTTTAAACTCCAAGTTGAAATCATTAACCTGTTACTTCTTTAAAGAGTTTTAAATTGGAGACAAGTTAAGAATGGGTAGACAATTGGTTACATGGAGAAAGCTAGATACATATCAAACTGACAAGATCACTCTAATTAGTTACGTAAAGAGAGAACCTTTGAGGTTGAGTTGGATAGAGGGCAAGAAACTGTATATGTTATTATAGAAAAAGAGTTTGTTTTGTTTAACAATGTCTGTAGATTAATTTAAACAAATTAATAAATAAATGGTTTAGATTAAATTGATATAGTTTTATTGGATGTAAGTTTCCACGATCTAACAAAATTGCACTCAAAACACATGTTGGATGTGCCTTTGTAAAGAAAATTCGTTAATAATGTCTTAAATCCATTTCTAAAGGCATTGAACTGGACGGTTTACAGGAAGCAAGCTAGTCGTGTGCTGCCATTCCCAATCAAACAAGACGTGTTCCAAAATTCAAACTGATCTCATGACGGTTGGACATCTGATGGTAAGTTCAGTGTCTTTAAGCAGCCAATTACTAAGCGCTTTGTTGCTTTGGTTATTGCTTCTAGGACTGTCATCCCTCGATCACCATGGCACAGCTGCTACGAATCACGAAACAAAACTTTAACCTTTGAAAATTGCAATTACTAATATTGGAAGCACAAAAATATGGGAGACCCTCCAATCAACCTTAAATGTTGAAAGAGCTAGTCTTAAAAGGAAAGACTGAATGTCTTTTCTCTCAGTATTATAGAGATGAGTGTTTGGAAAAATGCAGACATATAAACAGAATTACGTCTAGGAAGGAAAGACCGACGGATTTTCTTTCTTTTTGTAGAGTTTCCGTCTTACTGACTAATAGTATTTTCCATCTTCATCTTTTAGGACACTTTTCTCCCTCACCCGTAGACCTGGCAAAACAGGCGGGTGAACTGAGTGCGGGTCGGGTCCAAAAGGGTGCGGTTCCCATGGATACGCGCCCAAAGCAAGTTGATCTAAACGGGTCTGTATATTGGACTCGTACCTTACCTTATACGGGTATAGGTGAACTTACGGGTTTCATAAAAATAAGAATCAAGCAAAACCAATATGTAATTTCCGGGGGCATATTGACAAGAAAAAATCAAGGCTGCAACTCTACTTTTCAATCAAAAAGAAGACTACAATATATGATTGATTTTCTTTGGCTCTGATCTACATCCAACGGTCGATATTTTTCGAATGACAGATAAAAGTTTAAATCTTAAATGTATTCCAATTTTATCCTTGCCAATTGAGCTAGCTATTTTGAGAAAGAGAGAGGCTTTACTTAGAAGAGAAGACAGGAGTCTCATCTACAGTGGTATGCATGTAGAGTGTAATTAAATTCTCCAAGATGGACCAACCCCACAAAAAATTACAAATCAAAATCATTAAGAAAATACCTTCAATTGCTTTGACTTCCCTTAAAATTTAAATCACTCAGGATATTTACAGCCACCAAACAGTGACTATTTCTCTTCAGTTTCAGAATAAGCACAAACAAACACATGAGGACTAAGACAGCCAATGAATTTGACTAATTTAAAAAAAAACAAGAGATGAAGAAAACCCGACTGTAGAGGAAAAGAACAAAAATTAGAGAGTGAAAGGAAATCACTTTTTTCCTTCCACTCACCGAGTAAGAATCAAAGAAAGCAAGAACCTAAAAAATACTTCAGGAACTAACCTTTAAGACTGAGAAACTGGAAACCTGTTCCGTCTTTTCTGCCGAAAGCAACCTAATATAGCTGATCTTCAAACTTCTCTTCCAACTGTAACCAAGAAATGATTCCAAGAGATGCCAACTCTATTCATCTCTCTGTCTCAGCACTTAGTCTAAATAAACTTCATTCTTATTTGGAAAATGTTACACTCACAACTTCTATTAATAAATTTTTTTCACGGCCTTAACGTGATAATTCGTAATTGGTCAATCCGTAATAGATTAACCAATTACGAGTTATCACATCGGGATTGTGAGAATAAATTGTAAGTGTAATATTATTCATTTTATTAATATAGATTTAGGGATTTCGTTTTTTTAGAGAGTTTGTTTTATTATTATTTAAAAAAAAAAATACCAATGCCTGTGGGTATACCCGACTCACCCGCATAAAAAGCAGACTAGGCTAGATACGGGTCTAATTTCCACATGTTCATAAGGCTTAACCCATGCCCTATATTATTTATCAGAAATTCCGAGCACAAGTCGACCCGCGTGTCCGACCCGTTTTGCCAAGTCTCACCTGTAACTCTTTGTTTTGTACGCATATTTTAAGAGAATGGCATACTTGTAATTTGAGTATTCACAAAATTTATGGTTAGTCTGCCAAAGTGTGTTAGTTTCGGTGGGAGCTGTAAATTACTGTGTTTTCTATAGGGTGAACGGCATGTTCCCACCCAAGGTTTGACACAATGACACTTTCTCACCCTTTAAGTTTAAAAATGACACTCTCCTACCCTTTGTTAGGTTTTGTTATGTTTCGTATTAATATTTTATTGAAAAGACAAAAGTTCTCTTAAAAATTTGACTTTATAAATTTTTAATTAGCTAAAAAGTCAAAAAAGAAAAAATAGTTAATCCCACCTAAAAAGTTAAGAGTAATGCTATAAAATTTTTTAAAATTAAATGATCTTAATTTTTATTTATTTATTTATAATGTTATCAATATCTCATCACTATTATTTAATAATCTATTAAATTTATAATGTTTTTCATTTTTCCTAATTAATATAAAAAATCAATATTCCTAATTAATTAAATAAAAAAAATCTTTATACTTGAACTAATAAATAATCGAGTAAAAACTTTGACTTAATTAAATTTTAATTTATAATAAATTAATTAAGAAATAAACTATTTAAAAGTATTTTCTCCTTTTCAACTAAATATTAATAGAAAATACTAATAGAACCTGACAAGACTCACGAGAGGTAGGAAAGTGTCATTTTAAAACTTGATAGGTGGGAAAGTGACATTTTGTCAAACCTTGCGTGTGAAAATGTTGCTCTCCCTTTTTAATACCCTATTAGTGTGTGTGGACCCCCACCATCTCCTGACACTCCATGCGAACCGCCCTCTCAAACTAACTATTATAACCGTTTAGCCTTTAACAACCATAAAGATATCATTTCTTATCCAAACTAAATAACTCCATGATCAGTAGGGAATTATTATTATTATTTTTTTTTTTTAAATTTTGTAACTACAAATCCAACTCCATTATTTTACAATTCATGGAAAGTTTGTGTCACACTAACTACTCTCAATAATATTTATATTCAATTATGCTGACAAAATTATTTTTTATTATTTTTTTTTTTCACTCCAAGTTGAAATCATTAACCTGTTACTTCTTTAAAGAGTTTTAAATTGGAGACAAGTTAAGAATGGGTAGACAATTGGTTAGATGGAAAAAGCTAGATACATATCAAACTGACAAGATCACTCTAATTAGTTACGTAAAGAGAGAACCTTTGAGGTTGAGTTGGATAGAGGGCAAGAAACTATATATGTTATTATAGAAAAAGAGTTTGGTTTGTTTAACAATGTCTGTAGATTAATTTAAACAAATTAACAAATAAATGGTTTAGATTAAAATTGCACTCAAAACACATGTTGGATGTGCCTTTGTAAAGAAAATTCGTTAATAATGTCTTAAATCCATTTCTAAAGGCATTAAACTGGATGGTTTACAGGAAGCAAGCTAGTCGTGTGCTGCCATACCCAATCAAACAAGACTTGTTCCAAAATTCAAACTCATCTCATGACGGTTGGGCATCTGATGGTAAGTTCAGTGTCTTTAAGCAGCCAATTACTAAGCGCTTTGTTGCATTGGTTATTGCTTCCAGGACTGTCATCCCTCAATCACCATGGCACAGCTGCTACGATTGTTGCCAACCTATCGGCATTGCTACCAAAATTGTAAGATTGTCATGGGACGTTCAAAAACTGATGCTTTGATTCTAAAATAAACAAAATATCAATAATTCATGAAAAAGATGGGTTTGGTAAAGAAGAGTAATCCACATCCACCTTAAAGAGAAGAAACTAAGAGAAAAATGATAAACTAGTTTAGTCATCCGCAGCTATATTCCTAAGTATCAACCCCAATGCATAAGCTGCACTAGCTGCCATGGTACCATTAAATAAAATGATGCCAATAGAGAGCACATAGTTTTGACCAGCAATCTTGGCCTTAGCTATACCAAGAAATGCAAGGGAAAGGGCAGATAGGAGACAACCACCAATAAACTTATCGGTGTCACTATTTGTAAACGGGATTAAAACGATGAAAGAGAGGAGTGGTGCACTGCCAAACAATAAAAAAGCCGCGAAAGTGACGACGCCATTCCTCCATGGCTTCTCTGATGGGTCAGGTGGTAGCATCCTTTTTTGAACTGTCATCTTCTCATCCACTATAATGTCTTTGTATTTCGCAAATATGGCCACCACCTACCATTCCAACAATTTTACATCATCAAAGTGTATATATGAAACATAATATTTGATTGTCCATTTTAGTTAATTCATAGCTTATACCGTGGAGGCATCATTTATGTCCATCCCAAGATGTTGATAATGTTGGACTAATGCTAGTAGCTGAGGCCTCTTATCGTTAGTGAGATCCCACTCTGTTGCTGCCCTTTCATTCGCTGCTACATCTTTCTCAGTACTGCTGGACACAAAATCTCCAAACCCCATGGATATCCCATCTGCCACTAAATTCGAAATTCCCAAAACTAGTACATCCACTACATGCAGGATCAAATATATTAAATTGGTAATATAATATAGAAACCTTAAAATCAAGCAGCCCGTCTAGCTCAGTCGGTAGAGCGCAAGGCTCTTAACCTTGTGGTCGTCGGTTCGAGCCCCACGGTGGGCGTTTTCGAAATTGTTTTTGTGTCACGTTGTTTTGGACCTTTTGGTTTAACACAGTATAAGAACATAGCAATAAAAATAAGAATGGGTAAGTAATTACCAGAAGAACGACGAGCAGCAGATATAGAAGAGATGAGGGAAAAGCATGTGACAATGGCATCAAGGCCAGCGTAAACGATGCTCTTCACATACTCTCCTTTCCATGTTTCCCTTGGCCTCCTACCTCCTACATTCCTCTTCTCTATATCTCCCCTGTTCTCTGATTGTAGCAGCAGGGTGGTACTGGTGCCATCATAGTCCTGCCCACTCATCTCAGCCATTAATTCGATGATTTCGATCCTCTATAGTCTTTACTCTATTGCTACTCAGTTTCACTCTTTTAACTGCTTTCATCTTTTTCAGTTTTTACCGCTTCGTATAAAAGAAGACAGCAATGCGTCTTAAAGTGGAAACTTACGTGTCAACATGCATGCTATTCAAATCACACGTGGCCAAACAAAACTAAGGGTCTTTTCAAACCACTCTGAGCTGAAACCACGTGGATTTCTTGTAAACCGAGTTCTCGAATGGAATCTCCTTTCCAGCTTTTCATTGGGATCTTTGTTTTCGTATACCAGGACCAGTAAAGTATTAGATAAAAAGGAAAGAAAACTTATGCCCAACAAATATTAATTACTTAAACTTTTATCTTATTTAAATTTTATTTTTTTCTTTTCTGCTTTTAAATTAAAATTTAGAAAATACAAATAGTGGACTAAAACGTTGCTGGCTCCGCAATTGTAATTAATTCGTGAGTGGCCTCAAGGCACAGAACATTTTTCCTGTTTCTTGTTGAGTTAATCCCAAAAGAAAAGATTAAAACTAGACCAATGGCCTTTTGTCTTCTCCAGCTTCATGTTCCAATCGAGTATTACTCTCTTTATCATCTTTTTCAATCTTGGACCTCGTAGTAGATTGGGTATCAGGCAAGAGTTTCAATGTAATGCCCATAGCTATCAGCAAAAGTCCAGTACCATGTTGCTCCGTCAATGGTTTTGTAAATATCAAGTATGATAACAGCAATGTTACAGCTTTTCTTGCCGTTGTCACCTGAGATCAAGTCCAACCAAAAATCAAACAACTGAATTATCAAATAGGTGTTATTCTATAATCTATTTATGTTTATAAGATTTGATATAATAAGACCAGAAGGCTTTGAGTGAGGATATACCATGGCTGTAGTAGCAGCACCAAACAGGGCAATAAGGGAAAGGACAGAGACTTGGCCGATAAATGTCGCCATAGCCTCAAACACCAACACGCCATACACGTACAGATGCTGCAATAACCAATAGAAGAATTATAACATTTCTTGGGAAAATATGCTCCATGTCAAGATGAAAATATAGAAATTCATCGCTGTTATTATTAATTTACCTGAGAACATGAATTCCATGCTTTGAATAACTCCCCTGTCAGAATCATGGGAGGAATCAGGAAAGGCAAACCGACTACAGTTGAGCAAAACAGCATCTCCATCTGTATAAAGAGACAAAACAAGGTATTAAATTAAACAAATGGAGTCACAAATTTTCAATTTAAGAAACAACAGAAAAGCATAGCACAGGTTAATCACCTGGGTCGTTTCAGGATTCATGGTAAAGATTGCTTCTTGCAAATTACCAAGAAAGGAATCCATGATTAGAGCACCAGATACCATTATAACACCAATCATACTGAAATTTGGTGAAGTTTGGGCATCTGCTAAGGTAAAAAGGATCAATCCCACAACTAAAAGTATTGCAGATACGTATTCATGAACTGGGTATTTTCGTCTGAGGCCCGGTATGAATGCGCCCATAACCATTACAGGCAAAACCTGAGATGACAAAATAAATTTCCAATTATAAACAAATTGATCCCATTTACTTGATTCACATAACCAGAGTCAATGAGCTAATTTGAGTAATTTACACCATTACAGATTAAGAGACCCAATTTTACTATCAAACAGAAACTGAAGTTGTCAAAATGTCTAGTAAGGAGGTCCAGTGAATGAATTTCACGAAAGAATAAAGAAATTCGAAGAACCATTGCCAAAATTGTTATTTTTTCCAACATGAAATAAAATAAAGTAATGGAGTTGACTATTACCTTTGTGGATTTGAACATGAGCTGTGCAGGATAGTTAAGAAAAGCCAAAGACCCTTTGGTAAGTCCATGAGAACCCATTAAGACTGCAGAGAGCTTCACATAAGTCTTCCATGGATTCACCATCTGTTTAGTGGTGAAACCTTGAAGATAAATGAGAACGATATAGACGAATCCTTGAACAAATGTGAAGTACCAACCGTAACTGGGAAAATAAAAGGTGCCCATTGATCATAATTTACAAACTAATCCTTGAAATTCCAGATCACAAATGAACAAATCCTTCAAGAAAATCATTAAAATGTTACCAAATACAACAGTACTTATATGCAAATTATACCTGAATTGGAGCCTGTTGTATACATATTCCTGCAAATTACGTAATAATCAGTTTACAATCATGTGGATGAAATAATTAATTACTGAAAAGTTTAATTCTCAACTCTATTTGGCGGCTGAGAAACTTGAAAAAAAATAATATTTTTTCAGTACATATCTTTTCCCTGAGCTGTGATCCTCAAATTTATCGTCTACAAAAACATATTTCGCAAAACTAAAAACGCAAATCTTTCAACAGCCGTATCAACATTACTTAAAAAACGGAAGGAAATATAACATAAAACTCCAAGTTCCATTTTTCTTTCGTTGGTAGTTAATTTTCTCTGAGATCAAACAGAATCTCATAAAACAAAAAGGATAAAAAAAAAAAAAAACAATTAGAGAAATAAATACCTCGCAGATGCCATTGACAAGGTAACCAAAGAAGAAACCAGAAGAGCAAATGAGGAATTGTTGCCATATGGGTCTATCAGATAAAGAAATTCCAAACAAAGACCGAACTTGTTCTTCGTTCCTCATTTTCAATTTTCTCAGAGTACTCAACGAAGGAAGCAGCTTATGAACTTTGGAAATGAAACTCGATCAACAACACAATAACTATGTCAACTTGGTTTGCAATAGCATTTGCATGTCGACTTGCCAAATTGCAAAAAAAAACAAAAATAAAAAAAAATATGAAAATAAGGTCAAGGTGTATCGGTTTGGTGACTGTATCTGTAACAACCTATAAAAATTATAGGAAGAGTTAAGGGTATGTTCTTCTGGGACTGTAAAGGAGAAAGAGGTAACAATAAATAAAGATATGTTCTCTTACGGAAAAAGATAGTTTATACGGGAAGAGAGAGAATAATTAAAGATTTAAAAGTTATGATAAATGAGAATAATTAGTGCATATCCAACAGAAGTTAAATACAAATGTTGGTGTTATTAGATATTGTACAATTTTCTTTTTTATTTATTGAGAAATTTTAATTCATGAGATGCTTTCCTTCTAGATTCTTTGTTTAATTACAAAGGTATTCGGCCACGTGTTGTTAATAAATTCCATCTAAGTTTATATAATTTCTACCGTTTCTATCATAAGCACGCAACAAAAATATTTATCAGGAAATAAAATAGGCTTGAAATGTGTTTATAATAATAAATTATTAAATAAATATAAATGTCATCTGAAAAGCTGCAATTAATAAAGGCACATTACTTTTTCAACCAGAATTCAGATTTGAGGACCCAACAAGTCTCAAAATCGAGGACTTTATGCCACGTCGAACAATTTCACCACGTGGCAGCTTTTTAAGGCCTTGAAAGACTAGAGTACTTTCCTTTGGACTTCAGTCAACTACCCCATACAGCTGGAAAATCTGTAAATAATTTTTATTATAAACCTTTTCTACTTTTTGGAACTTTCGTGTTCTATGCTCTATTTGAACTCTTTGACTGATCAAGTTGAGCCCATTTCCGTTTGACTCTAACTTGGCCCAAAGAACGGGCTGGTGGCCACATGGGCATACGGTTGGCACCAGTTGTGCCTCTGTGTACATGTCCTTTAGTCTTTACATTCAGCTTACTAAGAAATCAGCCAATGCCTCGTCCACTAAAAGGTTCAACATTACAATCTCAATTTGCAAAGCCATTTCTTCTTGTTCCTCCTCAAATTTGTTCCACTTCCCAAATTTTTTATCCATTCCTTTAACATATTCTTCCCAATCCATTGTACAACTGTGTTCCCCATTAATCCATCTTTTTGCTTGCCCAATCATCTCGCTGTCAATCTCATCGTTTCTTGTAGATAATTCATCCATAAAGAAATCAAACAACAGTTGCTCTACAACAACATTGTCTTCACAATACCCCATTGAACTTGTAGCTTTGACATGATTCAGTAGCCGCATTGCCGTCTCTTCAACATCATTTACTTCTTTATCTTCATCAGAAACATCGTCATTTTCTTCCATTGACATCCATTCTTCTAGGTTGAAAGGATCTACTTTGGCCAAACCCTCAAAGCATTGAATCCTTTGCATAAGATTTTGTTTTGTTTCTGTTGAGAAAAAAATCACAGGCTTATAGTTAGCTAACAATGGCATGACATTAAAACATGAAAACGTATATGGAGGCCAAAGACGGAACATACTCTCCATATGGTCAAGGGTTCGATTGAAAGATAATAGGGATTCATCTTCTTCAAATTGAAAATCAAGAACAGAAACAGGGCTCCGCTGTTCTTTCTCGTCACAAGATAACTCCTGCCATTGCATTACAACATTAGTCAAAATAAGAACAATATACCCACTTGAAATTTAAAAAAAAAAAAAAAAACACATGAAAGTTTGAGCTAAGAAGCTTCCACACAAGCTTCGATGGATTAAAAAAAAAAAAAATCAACTATCAAAATCATCAAGGGATGTAATTTTCATGTGTTAATTATAATTATATCTTTTATTAAACATGACTTCCTCGTAACTTACTTTTTGACTTTTTGTCTCATGTGATTAAGTTATGTGTTTCTGTCACTAATCAGACAAAACATCAACCTCAATGTAGAGACAAATTCTACCAAACCTGACAACCAGACAATATCATCACGTAAATTAAGCCATAGCAGACACAGAATTATATTCTATAGATTGTGTACACTTAAATAATTGCTCACCTTTGGTCCCACCGCAATATTAGCCGTGGCCTCTTTTGTCGCTTTCATGCAATCGCTGCCGACACCTGGTAAATAATCCTCCGAGTTACTGCACCAAGACGGTAAATCCTCCGCGGTAAAATCACTTTCACACCAACTAGACCCGTTACTGTTACTGCAAGGACTATTGGTGGATCCCGTTGTTGTTGTGGCGCAGTGGTGATGATCAGGAGAGTAAGCAAGATCCGATGGTTGAGGATCCTCCTCCACCAAGTCCCTGAATGACTTCCACCGTATGATATCTTTGATTCTAACTGTCATTTTGATTTCAGTTTCTTTCTTCTCACTGCTCTTGATTTCTTTGTTATGCTTTTTTGACAGCCTAAGAGAAAAGCTTCTTGGTAAAATTGAAGGAGACTTAACAGCATTGAATTGGATGTTTTTGACGGTGTTGATAATGGCTTGAAAGGCTGAGATTGTTGTTGAGGCTGCTGCTTTTGATCGGCTTCTTAGTAATCTCTTTGTGTTGCTTGAATATGAATGATTTCTTTCTGCATTGACATCGATTTGGATGAGATATCGCATACTACGATCTTCAAGTCGCCTAGGAAAGGACTTGAATCCGCTTGAAGGGTATGAATGCGAATCGTCAATGAGAAAATCTTTAAGCATTTGAGGTCTACGCTCTAATGAAAATTGCTTTCTTAGCTTGGAGTTTGTGTAATTGGAACGTGATGATGAAGTCCTTGAAGACGACATGATCATAAATTATACAAACTGAGAACAAGATTTAATTACTGAGAACGTAAGCGGAGAAAAGAGAGTTCAAAAGACGAGAGAAAGAGAAAGAGGTTGAAATGATCTTGGAGCAAAGAGATTTAAAGTAGTTAAGGGTGAAGTATAGGAAGGTGGGAAGTGAGAAGTGAAAGGAAGGATGCAAATTTAAAGGGATGAGAAGAAGGAATAAAAGAAAGAGGGAGGCAGCTTCTAGGCGTGGATATCTCCAGGTAAGAAGCTCGTGCGAGTGGAGAGGGCAATGGTCTGTGGTTGTAGTAAAAAAATAATAATAGCAAAACGACTAAATGTGTAAAAGCGTGGATGCTTCTAATTTATTGATATTAAAATAGGAGACATAAGGTGAGATTAGAAGATATGCTAGGAGGTCTTTTTGGACTTTGTTGTGCCTAAAAATGGGTGCTGATATGAGCATCAACCAATCAGAGTTTAGGAAGGCTTTATACCGTTTAGAAGCTATCACGTCGTCCCAAGATAGAAGGGATACGGTTGTCACCAATCTAGTAGATTCAAGTTTTATCTATGAGTGGATGAATACCGTACACATGTCCTAACTTTATCAAAATAAAGTTGATAAGGATTAAAGAGTGGTCTTCACATGTCATGACAACTTACAAAAGCATTCATTATATTGACTTAAAAGGTGTATAAGTGAGCAACTCTCTTCACGAAAAGGAAGGTTGAGCATATGAGAGCTAGACATAGATTTGAGCTTTATTATTTCTTTCTGTAAAACAAAATATTTCTTCATCTTTGTATGTCTTACGGCCAATATCATAAAAAATAGACAGAGAATAATAAAATAACACTAGATGTAGGATTTGCTTTAAACATCCGAACCATTATAAGAATCTCTCTTATCAGTCTATTATTTATTTTACTGTAACATATATAATCTCAGTACCATATTTAAATCTTATGGATCCATAACGTATAATTTCTAAAACTCTCTTAATAATACTTTATACGTGGTGTCCAAAATCAACTTAAAAGTGGCAGTTTTGCCAGTTTAAGTGTGTGGTGACACACCAATCAGAGCTGTGCCTCAGTGCCAGTGTAAGCTTAGAACTGGTCTCGTGGGCTTGGTTTCCTGGAGCCATTGGAGCGTATTATACAAACAATGATCTCGTGATCTGTTAGTAGATCATATCCCTCGTAAATTAAAGCTCCTTCAATTACTCACTTCACTTATTGCTCTTGTTTTATTATTTTGAAGAATGCTTTAATATATGTACTTAAGAACAGCGGGTCTCACCTTGCTTGCTTCTCATGGGTCAAAATCAAACAGCAAAATGATTAAATATAGAGGATCTCTCTATGATATTGTTGTATGCGTTTGAGGACACAAGTTTGGCATATTATGTGACGTTCTTCTGCGCAATCAGTTGAGTAAGATATGATGGAGAAATATTTAGATTGGGCTTCCATCAAATATATTTGAATGTGTCCACTAGTTCTCGTCCAGTTCATGCGTCGAACCTGCTACATATCGCCATTTGTAATTACCCGGTTGCACGTGTAAATATCTAAGTTCATTGATATCTGGAGCCCAGTCATATGAGGGATCCGATGTTGTACTGTTTGCAACTCATATATCTATATAGTTCGTGTGGCATTACAGGATATATAAAAAAAAATTGTTTTAAAATTTTTTGTATTTTCATTTCAGTACTATCAATTTTTTTTTTTATAAATATTATAGTAAATATGTTTTTGAATTTTATAAATATTAAAAATGTAACCCAAACGGTCTGTCTAATTTTTTTTAAACCACTATTTAACTGGCCTTATTTTCAAACCATACAAGCCCAATATAATAAAGTAACTGGGCTTGAACAGACCGTTTGTTTCTAAACGTTCACTTATGTTCATCAGAAAGGGTGCATAACTGCGTATTATTTCACTATTTTTGAAATAGAAACGGATAGGGTTAAAAAGGGAATTTCATTGATATTTGCTCAGGTCGGTTGCTTTTCTCAATTAGTGATGGCAATGGGCCGGGCCGGGACCGGGTACCCCTTGGCCCAGGCCCAAGCTCGACCTCATGACACAGGCCCAAGCCCGGCCCGAGCCCGCTACGGGTATGATAGGCAAAGCCCAAGCCCGGCCCGACGGGTTTTTTATAACCGCAGGCCCGGCCCAAGCCCACCTTTTTTAATAATGTTTATTTTTAAATATTAATAAATTTCAAAATTTTTTATATTTTTAATTTTAGAAATGGTTTTTAAATATTAATTGAAGCTATTTCCGCAAATAATTTAAGCAATAAGTGAGCAATTAAAACTCTATAATAGTTGATTATACTAACTTTTCAGCTGTGCATAATATGTTATGGTGAAATCCACTTTAATAAGTTGAACCAAACCCATCTAACTCATTTAAAGGCAATTTTAACATGTTAAACCTTTAATATGGGATGAAAATTGAGGTTAGGGTTTGGGAAAAATGGATATATATATATATATATATAATTAAATATATAGTATAAGGGTAAATTAGTAAAATTAATACTAAAATTTTCGGGACGGGCCGGGCCTAAAGATATACCCATGCCCGGCCCGTACCCGAGGTCGGGCCTTAAAATCAAGCCCAGGCCCAAGCCCAAGCCCGCCAACCTCGGGTAAAGCCCGCCCCTTTCGGGCCGGGCCGGGCCGGGTACCCGAAAATGTCGGGCTCATTGCCATCTCTATTCTCAATGTTTTAAAACTCAACCCAAGGTGAAACCCGGCAAAGTTGCCAGGTCCGGGTTGACTGGTTTGACCACGATCAAACCGATTGACAAAAACTTTTAAAATTCATCAAATACACCCCTAAAAATTACAGTTAAGTTTCTATAAGTTTGAAATTTAGCAAACACACCCTAAATACAAATTGGCCGACAACTGGTTGGTTGCGACGACACCCCGGATGTAACCCCAACTGTCCCTTGAGCTCATTCCCCTTAAAATATACCCAAGATCTGACCGAAATATGTTCAATTTTGACTAGATCTCACCAACGTCGACATCGGCATTCCAAGCCAGATCTCATCAACCCCTCCCCATCACCCAGAAATTACTTCCCTCTCCCTCCCTCCCGACCAAAACCCACCTCACCCTACCCCCATTAGCCTCGCCAATCATTGGCAAAAGCCGGTTGTTGCCACTGCCAGTTTTGTTTGATTTCTGGTCAGTTTACTTACCGAAAATCAATGAAGTCACCACCATTGCATTTACCGACACTTTCTCTTCAAAAGCCCCAACATCCCGCTCATCAATTGTTCGCCGATTATTCTCCCAAATCTTAGGGTTTTGGGTGAATGGGAAAAATATAAACTTGGCCCGTTGAAGCTTTCGAGTCCCGATTAAACATACCAAGCCGGGTTTTAAAACATTGGCTTTTCTTGAACATGGCGTAAACCCTACGCTAAAGCATTTTAGGGTCCACTTGGGAGTTTCATGGTAACGGTTATAGAGGTTTTAAGGGTAAATCATCATAGCGATTTTGAGGAGTTTTTAGTAACAGCTTTTAAAGCACCCAACATGTGCTTGAGAATTTAATTTCCAGTGATTCTGATAGTTTTTTAAAACAATAAATTTACCTATATGCCCATAAAATACCTCAACTTGGAGTTGTGTTTTTTCAATTACAAGGTAAGGGTTCTTTATTTGTTTTCTACTTATTAGTATATTTTAACTTTAGATTTAATAAAGTATCCTTATACTTCTTCGCTATTTTTTGCAACATCTAGAATGATTGAAAAACTATAACCCCACTTATCCAAGAAAACATTTAGAAATGAGATTTTAATAATTTTTTTTTATAATTGCTTAAAATTATTTTATATTTAATATGATTGAAGACGTACATAATATGATCAATTTTATTTTTTATATAATTAGAATAGTTTTATAGTTAATAGGGTATATATAGAATAAAATTTTAAAACTAGCTAAAACACTCTAATTCAAAGTATTTTATAAACTCCTAAAAAATCCAAGGGTTTTGAGACAGTTAAAACCAATATATACAAAATCTGACCAGTAATAATTTTAGAATACCGAGTAATTAAAAATCCCTCAAATTCAATGGAAAAAAAACTCCCCCGCAGTCCTTAGTCTATAAAAGCCCACAGAGTCTGAATTCTGAAAGATGTGATCTTATAGTTCTTAACGGTAATCGATTCTTCTTCCATTCTTTGGAAAAATATGAAACTGAAGTAAGAAGTGATGGGTGTGGGAGGGAAATTCTGGGACTTGCTAAAACCCTACGGCAGAACGGAAGGTTTCGATTTCTTGAGAGACAAACGGGTTGCTGTGGACCTCTCTTACTGGATTGTGCAACACGAGACCGCAATTAAAACTCATGCTCGTAAACCCCATCTCAGACTCACCTTCTTCCGTACAATCAACCTCTTCGCCAAGGTCTTATAAAACGCTTTTAGTAAATTTTTAGGCTTTGGTCATAATTTCTTTTTAGTAAATTGCTAGGTTTTGTCATGAGAATGATTTTGTTTGTAATTCACAGTTTCGAGCATATCCAATCTTTGTTGTCGATGGAACTCCGTCGCCTTTGAAAGCCCAGGCGAGGATAATGAGGTTTTTCCGTTCTTGCATAGATTCTTCAAGTTTACCCGTGCCTGAAGAGGGCATTTCTGTAGAGAGGAACCGGGCATTTCAGAAATTTGTTAAAGAGTGTGTGGTCAGTCGATAATTTTCCTATTATTGCTATCAAATTTTATTGTTGAAATTTTTGTTTTTGTTTGCATATTTTGGCCCAGAAATTATTTCAAGAATAATCAAGGTTTAGCGTTTTGTTTATACTTTTTATTGGAAAGGACTACTGTGATGGCATGAAGACTGAGAAAATGGTTATTATCACCTTTATTAGTTTTTTTTTTTTCGCAGTTGTGGTTATTGTTGTCTAAAGTAGTTATGGAGTATGTAGGTAATTTTGATTTTTAAGTTTTTATTTATTTTTTATAAGAATTAAAGAAGACATTGAAATAGGTCATACAATGGAAAATGGACAGAGAGATAAAATAAAATAAAATAAAATAAATTGGACAAGGGCCTGATGGTTGTTTCTTTAATGCCTATAGACTATAGTGGCTGCATATTAACTAAAAATTGGTTATATAGGAACTGATCGAACTATTTGGGATGCCTGTACTAAAAGCAAAAGGTGAGGCTGAAGCACTATGTGCCCAGTTAAATAGTGAAGGTCATGTAGATGCATGCATCACAGCTGATAGTGACGCGTTCCTCTTTGGGGCTAAATGTGTGATAAAATGCATCAAACCCAACACAAGAGTAAGTCATTACCTTGCTTATTTTGCTGATGTAACCAAATCGTTATCTATTTTTGTTCAATTGTGCCTACTAGATATAGAAACTCTTTTTTCATCTGAAGATATTATTTGCTGTCTGGCTTTGGTAATAAGAAAAATGTGGCATAGATGATTCCTTATCAGACTCTGGAAACTTAAAAGATATGAAGAACGGTCATTAATAGCTGTTTCTGTTTTGAGTGAAACTTGCTTAATTGTTGTTGGTGTAAGGCCTTGTATTACATAGTAACAATAGATTTTCTTCTGTTTCATCTGAAATTTTGTTCTCTATTTTTGTTTGACCTCTTTCTTTTTTCTTTTTGAGTGCTTGGCTACAATCATCATAGAGTCCTATGAAGTAAGAGATGCTCTGTAGAGAGAGAAAAAGAAGCTCTTTTTTCCCTCAATTGTTTGTTGTGCCTTAATTTTTGTTCCTTCCTTATACATTTAGTTGCTTTTTAGATTGGTTGTTTTTGTTTGGCAAACATGAGAATCTCATTGTATACAGGAACCATTTGAATGCTACTGTATATCAGATATAGAAGCTGGTCTTGGGCTGAAGAGGAAACACTTGATAGCCATATCTCTTTTGGTTGGTAATGACCATGATTTAAATGGGGTGCAAGGGATTGGGCTTGACACAGCTCTTCGTTTTGTCCAAAAGTTCAGTGAAGATGAGATATTAAATAGGTATTCTTCTAATCTGGTTTGAAGATTAGTTCTCTTATTATTTGTAATTGTAAAGAGTAGTATTAAAGCTATAGATGATGCTGTACCCTGCTCATAATCGTATCTATTGAAGATGAAAATTTCTTGTAGCTTACATGAAATAGGCAATGGGGATATACCACAATATCAGAGTGGCATTGAGTCTGCAGATGATGTTGTGCCCTGTTTAGATGAAAGCTCCCCAAAGAAAATATCTCATTGTTCCTTCTGTGGGCATCCAGGCAGTAAGAGAGCTCATTTCAAGTTTTCTTGTGAATATTGTTGCAATGGTGATAGTGTGGATTGCATTAAAAAGCCAGAAGGGTTTAAATGTAATTGTTCCAACTGCATTAAGGTACAACTTTGCTGTAATTTCCATTATTTATTAGAACATGGTGACATGTTGTATCAATATATGGACATTTTCCTTCTTATATCTTATTAATAAATTCTACTGTACTTCAAACTCCATATTCTGTAACTTGCAGTAGTTTTGCCCTTTGATTAGAGCTGTTTTGTGGTGGTATGTGCTTCTTCTGTCCTCATTAAAAGCACCTCATGGTATTTGAATGGCAGAATAAAAAAGACAAGGAGCAAAAGAAGCATGAAAATTGGTGGATTAAAGTTTGCAACAAGATTACTATGGCGTCAAATTTTCCAAATGACGAAATCATTGGAATGTATTTATGCGATAATCATGGAAACTCTATTGGTATGTTTGGTAGTAGTCAGAATTATTGAGTTGGTTTATTGCTCTGGGATTTTTCTTGCTATATTTTGAACATTATTTACGATTACGATTATCATGATTTTACTTCTGCTAGGACTAAATGCATGAATTTTATTTTATTTTATTTTTTGTGGCTAATCAAATGCATGAACTTCGGAGCGCATTCCGTAGATTTTTATACAATTAACAAAGCCTCGATTTTTTCCTTTTCTTAATTGATTTTGTAGATCTTGTTCTGACTCATGAAGTCTTCTGTATTTTTTTCAGCTGCTGATGGCCCTTCTATATCATGGGAAAGCCCAAAAACTGAAATGGTAGTTGATTTCTTGGTTTTTCATCAGCTTTGGGAACCATCATATATTCGTCAAAGGATTCTTCCGATGCTGTCCACCATATATTTGAGAGAAATGGCTACAAATCCAGTGAAAACTTTGCTATATGGGCAATATGAATTTCATTCTATACAGCGTGTGAAGACAAGATACGGACATCAGTCTTATGTGGTCAAGTGGAAGAAAGCTGCATGTGCAACAGGCAATGTTATGTATGCTGTCCCTGTTGAAGATTCCGAGTCGCATCAAGAGTGCATGGAAGTCAATGAATCCGTTGATTTGTTGGATGAATCAAATAGCCCTCAGATTTATGTTGATGATGGGTGCTGGTTTTTGCTGACAGATGAGGATATGGATCTTGTGCATTCTGCATTTTCTGGGGAAGTTGATATATTTTTGCGAGAAAAGGTATAATTTTTACTTCTCTTGTTTTCTTTTGCCTGGAAATCTCAGGCTTTGGAGCTGTTGTGTGATTATTGTTTTTGCTCTTAAAATTTAACAGGAATTGAAAGAACTGAAAAAAAAAAAAGATTCAAGGTTAAGATCTGAAGGGTCCAGTAAAAGATTAGAATCGCCAAACCCAAAGGGTGTACAGCTTAGCATTACCGAATTTTATCGCTCAACCAAAGTACAACTTCAGGCAAATTCAGGAGAAGATATAACCAAGAATTCCAGTAGCCAGAGTGATCAGACATCGAAAGGGAAGAGGAAAATGTCAAGTCTTAACCTTTCCAAGTCTGCAAGGCGTCGCCTTTTATTTAACTAGGAAATTTTGAGGGTTCCTTTGGCCTCTTTTGCTTTATTGATTTAGAGATGTTAAATTAGTTGCCCCTAGTCTTTCAGAGTGTTTTCTTAAAACATGAGAAAGAAAATTTTGTAATTAAAGGTTAATATGATGTAGTAGTATTTTGTTTTTCCAGAAATCTATCTGTGTTTAAGTCATCATCTCTCTACACAAGTTGCTGCCCCTCTCACTGTATCTGCGCTGATGCATTTACTACCATGGTGCAGGAACTAAGTTAAGTGCTCTGAATTTCACCCGGTTGATTTATGTAGTGATACTTTGATTGAATTTCAGGTTCTTTAGACATTAAGCTATCTGTGGAATAATATTTAGACATTGAAATTTGATAAAGGCGCGGAAGAACCTGGACATTCTGACAGTGATAGATGCCCAGCAATTTATATTTCACCAGCCGCAGGCGGAAATTTCGGCAGCCCATAGGCTTGGGTTAGGCCAGAAGAAATAATTTAGAGTCTTGAGACACAACAGCGATTGAACAAGTCAATGCTTTGCTGTATTACCAAATAGAGAAAAAAAAATCTGTCATTGCTTGATATGGTTACTAATTATCAAGCAAGCTGGATTCTCATAATATTTGGATTTGGTATGACAGCCTTAAGGGCATAAATGCACTTCTATATATGTATTTGACTATAGACCAAAGCCAGGTAAATTACATTTGAGTAACTGTTGATTAAATATTTCCATTTGAGATTATGCAAATTCATCACATATCAAATATAGAGGTTTGGTTTTCCCTTTATATTTGGTTACCAATCTAAACTGTACTAGTGAGTTTTGCTTGTTATTATTTGGTAACTTACAAAGGTGTCTGTAGATCAAACTGCCTATGCCATGAACACTGGGGAGGTAATCACAGTGGAATCTAGTGAATTTGATACGCTATTATCAGCAGGTGTTAGTATTTTGCTTGTGGATGATGATTCTATATGTCTTACAATTCTGTCAAAAATGCTGCTTAAATTTGGATATAAAGGTAAACAGTTGATTTCTTTTATTTTAGATTCTTGAATATTTGGGAGATTGCATGTTTCCATGTAAATGAAGTAATTGTTCTCAAGGCACTATTGATTTCAGGTGCTTCATTACGATGTGTGTATTAATTTTTCCATTTCTAGCTGCCTTTTGATGAACTAACACTTAAGATTGAGTGTTCGCATCTCTTTCTAGCTTTGGTGGTTGAGAGTCGCCAATGGTTCACATAAGCTCAAAGGTTTATCAGTGTGATTGGAAACTCTTTTTCTCTGATACTGTGATTGTCAAAGAGCTGTTTACTGTTTTTCGTCTTAGGATTCAATTACACGTCTTTCGATTGTAGGGACACGGTCAAATCATTTAAATGTGTTAAAATCCACATTCATTGTTTGTTGCTTTGTCTTAAATTGCAACTATGTGACTGATTGTCTTAATTTGCAGTCATCACGGCCAAACGGGGCACCGATGCATTATCCATTGCACGGGAGAGAGAAGACGAACTTGACCTTGTCCTGGCTGAGACTCACTTGCCTGATATGGACAAATATGAGCTGCTTGAGACAATGGGAGAAATGTCTACATTTCCAGTTGTTAGTAAGTGGCCTCCACTAGTCCACTTGTGCTATCTCAATTTGTAACTGCAAAATGTTTACTGTGCAATTAGTTATCTCTCTGATGATATTGCTTTTGATCTGTTTACATTCATAACAGTCATGTCTGCGGACGACAGTGAAAATGACATGTTAGGTGGCCTGTTTAAGGGGGCTGCACTTTATCTTGTGAAGCCAATCACCATGAACGATATAAAAAACCTTTGGCAATTTGCATTCATGAAGAAAACAGATAGAACAGTGGCCGCCGAAGATTCAAGTTGCATTTCATCAGATCATGATACTGAAAATCAAATATTTGCGAACACAGGGAGGCAGAGTCACCAAAACGGCAAAAGGAAAGAACCAAAAGAGATGGAGGAAGATAATGATGATATATCTGTCCTCAAGAAGCCAAAGCTAATTTGGACTAATGGGCTACATAATAGATTCTTACAAGCTATCAGAGTGCTAGGCATTGATGGTAAAGTGTTTCAAGGTTTGATTTTCAAAGTGCATATTTATTAAATTGGTTACTACCGGTAATAACCTAGTAATCTATTTTCATCTTATATCTTTTAATTTAGGAGCGCATCCAAAGAAAATACTTCAGCATATGAATGTCCCAGGTCTAAAGAAAGAAAATATTTCGAGTCATTTACAGGTGTGTTCTCCATATATAAGTGGCATTTGCTTGTTTCTGGAATCTTATGTTACTTAAAGTACTAGCACTGTGGTGTGACCAAAGAATCTGTTGTAAATCTGATTTTTGCAGAAATATCGCCTGGCCTTAAAACGGGAGCAACGTATAAAGAAGACTATGAACAGGGATTATGCTCAATCACATCTTGCGTCATACAATTCATCTACAGTCGATATACAAGGAGACTTGTATCAAAATCCGGAGATGCAATCCTTGACATCTTTTCAACCAGAATTTGGAAGCCATGAGCCAGAGAATGTCAGTAGTTGCAGGTCTATGCCTTTTCTTGGTTATACAAATTCCCTTAATCATTTAGGGCCAAATTGTAATGATTCATCAAGTTGTAAATACGGGCAACTGACACTACTCGGCAACCAGCTAGATTCTACTTATCCCCGTTCTAGTTTTACTGGAATCAGTGTCACTAGCAACGGGAAGTTGGCAGAGTTTCGCCCCATGGTAGATTCTAACGGAGAAGATTTTCTCAAGGGAAACAAAGTAGAAGAAAGTAAACAACAGCAACAACAAAACCTTCTACCACAAAATAATGGAGACGAGATGTTTGATATGGCAAAAGCTCCTAATCACCGGTTCCTTGACAAAGAATTTAATAATGTATGGTAGATCAACGGGTTTGCTCCCAGTTTCTTAAAATACGCATCTTTGTTTAAGTTTGATCTAAATTGTTTGGTTGAATTTAGGATAAGTTGTTATTTTGACTTGAGAAGACCGTCTCATCAATACAATGCTCATGGCCTACAATTTTTTGCTGAAAATAAAAAAACGCCCACGGGTGCTGTTAGTTATTATAGTCAACTTAAAATGACTGAAGGTAGTGAGTTTTATTTTGTTTTTATTGTTTTGGACCAATTTTTATTAGTTAATAAAAATCTTGTGTACGAGGCGTCATCCGTAACTGTAAAGCATGACAGTATAACACTTAAATTCATGAAGTAGACGACTTGCCGTTTCATATCTCATGAAAGGCACGACTTTTCATCTGGTCCTTCCTTTACATGGATGAGTAATTAACTAATTACTAATACAATTTGGCTTGAAAGAAGTTAGCAAAGGGTGAGTATTTTGTCATCTGTACCGTTACTTACATGGATGAATTATTACCGTTTATATTTGGATTAAATGAAGTTAGCTGAGAGTGAGTAAGCATTCCCCCTACACAGACATTTCCATGGCCATATCACTTCTCTTCCCAAATCCTCCCTTAACAAACCCACACAGCCGATACAAACCTACGCTTCCGGCGTACAGTAGCACCTGCGGAGCTAAAAAGAGAGCAGCATGCATAGTTTGCGCGAAAAGCCAAGACGACTATCACGCCACCCTTAAAGCCCTTAATTCCAAAGGCCGTTTTCCCAGAAAATCTCTTGGCCAGGTCTTGGTCACACTCATGTTATGTTGATTGCGGATATTTTTCGAACACTTGGTGAGCATTAATGGTGTGTTACGGTTTTGCAGCATTACATGTTGAATTCTGAAATAAACGAGCAACTTGTTGGCGCTGCTAATATCAAAGAAGGAGATTTGGTGTTAGAGATTGGACCTGGAACCGGTTCCTTGACCAATGTACTGCTAAATGCTGGTGCCACAGTCCTTGCCATAGAGAAGGTGAGATAATTGTGCTTTTGTTTTCATTACATGTTGGATTTAATTAGGCGTTAGATTTTTATTTTGACGTTATGAAAATACGTGAAGGTAACGTTAAAGTTACAAACTTTTAATAACCAGTTTACTGAGAAAATGAGTGTTAATAACCTTTTTTTAGTGCATATGGTTATTTTATTTTATTTTTTTTAGTTATGACATTGGTATTATAATATACTTTCCCTTTTCTTTGAATGTGAAGTACAGGATCCTCATATGGTGGGTCTCGTGACAGAAAGATTTGCAAGTACAGAGCGGTTCAAGGTGATATATTTGCTTGCTATTTGTTGGTGTTAGAGATTGCTTCTTTTTTAATTGAATAGCTCTACTGTTCAGGTTCTTATCTCATTAACTAAAATCTCTAGGTTTTGCAAGAAGATTTCGTCAAATGTCACATCCACTCTCATATGTTGTCATTGTTTGAGAATAGAAAGTCGTCAAATGCAAATTCGGCTTATGCTAAGGTGAGAAAATCCCATAGCCCCTTTGCAGAAGCCATCAACAATTTATTCTAATATTCTCTGACATTTTATCAATATTAATTTCTGAAGCAGATGCAATTTTCATTTGATGTGAATACAGAATTACCATAAAATGTATTAGTATAGACGGGTTGCTTTCAACATGTGTGAGTCATGAATATGGTTATCAAACCTGACACTTCTGTTGTACTAGTGTATTATTTTAGACCAAATACTATGCAGTAACATATCAATGACTAGGAAGATTTGTGCGGTATGGTTTATATATACATATATGTTGAATTTGGGTCCCAAATTTGGATTTATAACGAGTTGCCTAATGTATTATATTCAAGCTGCGTAAATTTTTTCTCTTCTTTTCATCATGTTAACTTTAGATGTATTTAGTCTATATTCACAGTTTCTTCTTTTCAGGTTGTCGCCAATATACCTTTCAATATAAGTACTGATGTCGTCAAGCAACTTCTTCCAATGGGTGACATTTTTTCTGAAGTTGTTCTCTTACTTCAGGTAGTAATATTAACTGAAGTAACAAGAGCTTTGATAATGGATTTGTAGATAAAAAAAAAATTAGTAAGTTTGAAATGATGTGTATTAGACATTTATGTCTTACCATGTCACAAGTTGAATCAGATGTATATATTTAGAGGTTTGCCTACTTAATGTCACTGTAAGTGTTGAATAATTTCAGGAGGAGACAGCCATGCGCTTGGTGAAACCATCCTTGCGGACATCTGAGTACAGACCCATCAATATCTTTGTCAATTTTTATTCAGGTATTTCACCAGAAATTACCAGTTGAATAAACTACATAACATATAAATTGCTTTTGGTCAGTGTCATACCTGTATTGTCATATGCTTCTGAGCTTTATGCTAATTTGCAACTGAAATTATAGATAAAGGAGATCTTCATATTCCAGAGAAAGATTGACATCAATAGAGTCTCTGTATGTAAGGCTGCTTGGTCAGTAGTAATAATTTTTAATTAATTATAGACAAAATCTAATATATGTAAATAAGGTTAGCCAAATTTGTGTTGAGAGGTATTTTACCTAACTACAAAATTCAGTTACGTCATAAAACATAACACTTATTCAGTACTTGAGAGATAATCCTTATTGATTTCAAATTGAATAAATAGAAATCTAAGCATGTGTCAACTAAGTCATTGAGAACCTCTCTTTTCCAGTCCCAGATCACATACCTTTTGGTGTCTTACTAATGGTTTTCCCATTGCAATTTTCTTTTCAGAGCCCGAATACAAATTTAAAGTCCCAAGAACAAGCTTTTTCCCTCAGCCGAATGTAAGTGGTTTAATTTACAAAATATTGCAAGTGCATGTTTTGTTTTACACTTGCTATTTGCTTTTCATTCTAGAAGGCAGAGAATTTTGCACAACTTGGGTCGCCCATTGTACAGTTTGATGACTCGTATGTATGTGACCATGTATTTGACCTCTATATTTATATCTCCATCTTATATTTACCAAGAATATGAAATTAGCCAAAATGCCAGCTTAAAGTACACATGTTCCTCCCAATTTGGTGGTACTCTGGTGCTCTTAGCCACTGTAGTTGCTTGAAGAGATTTGTCTTATTTTGAATATTTGTCAATTAAAGTAAATAGCAGAGTATTTAGTGTTGATTATCGTAAAGAAGTTATCACCTTATGCTTTATGACCTTCATGCTTTTGTAGGTTGATGCAGCCGTTGTTACATTTAAGCTGAAGCAAGCTATTGACTATCCCTCAGTTACCTCCCCAAAAAGCTTCTTCTCAATGGTTGTTTCAATTTTCTATGGCTTCCGATTGTGCTTTTCATCCTTATATCTTTTGTCATTAAACATGATAATGAGCTTTGGTACTCCAAGAGTCCACTTCATTAACAATATTGTTCTGCATAGAAACATCTTTTGAAACTCCGGATTTTAAGTTTTTAACTCAGCTGGCAATATATATAAAACATGTTGCAACTACATTAACAAGAACACTGCCTTCAATATTCTTTCTTGAATGTCCATTGAGGTTCTAGTAACATGCCTTCATGGTTTATGGATGTAGGTCAATTCGGCATTTAATGGAAAACGTAAAATGTTGCGGAAATCACTTCAGCACATATGCACGTCTCTTGTGATCGAGGAAGCTCTTGGAGATGTTGGACTTCCAGCAACTGTATGTACTCCTAATCTTTGGGCATTGTTTACTATTTGATTTGTCCGCTGTCGCTGCATCAAATTTGTGATACTTGTTAATTTCTCTGAGTGGATTCTTCAACTTATATTTAATTTGTTCGATTGTTCATGCAGTCAAGACCAGAGGAGCTTACCTTAGACGATTTTGTGAGGTTGCATAATTTAATTGTGGAAGTATAGTGTACCATGAAATGGTTTTTCAGATAAAGCCTCTTGTACCTTGTCCAAATCAGATAACAATGGAAAACTACAGCAGTGAAGTCAGTGTGTAGTATAATCTTTCCAGCAGTAGTCTTCTCTGAAAAGAATTGGCAATGACGAAATGTGCATTGTAAAAATTTTGTACCATAAGCAACTGTATAGTATTAAATTATCCAACTATAAATGTACACCCAAAGCTTCATTGAATCTAGAAGTCATCTTTCTTCATTTTGATATTGTATTATGACGAAGAGAGCAAATCAGATAACTGAGTACATATGGGAGCTTGTTCCTAATAGCCGAATCAAAAAGAAAATTCATAAATAAAGCCCTAATTTCTAACTGAAAATCCATTTTGGTGTGTTTCATCCTCAGCTATGAAACTGGTACACAAGATCCAAAGCCCTTAACTTTGCCCCATAAGGATCAAATCCATTTACTCCCCCAACAAACCCATCTTCATATAACCGTTTCTCCTCCGCCACCGCCACTGAAGATGGCGAAAGAGGCCGCTTGGTTCTCTTATTCTTGATAAAGCAATCTCTCATTCTCTCCTCAACTTTATCAACACTAGTCTTGGAGATCTCTTCTTCATCATCATCAGCCAGTAGCATAGGCTCTCCGCTGTTTTCATCGGCTAGGGCGGCGGCTCCGGTGGCAGAGGAGAGGGAGTTTTCAGCGGTCGGTGGTGGAGGTACACGGGTATTAGAGGAGAGAAAGGAAGAGAGACGTTGATTGGCTTGGTGAAGGAAGGAGTGGATATGGAGAAGAGAGGAAGGGTGAGTGGTGGTGTGAAGTTGTTTGGCCATGATGGTTGCTTGTTCAAGCGATAGTATAAGCTCTGTTAATGGTGGCGGTGGTTGTGTATCGTCGTCGTTCATCCTTTTCTTTCTGGGTTGGTGTTGTTTTGAAAATGAAATAGAGAAAGGGTTCCAGCAGTAATACCTATCTAACTCCAGGTGACTAATTTCTGTTAAATTTGCAAAGCCAGCACTAGCATCTTCAGCTCTCTCACGTTTGTTTCCAACGACGTCAAAGCCGCAGAATTGTTCATCTATAGACCCTATTAAATTGAAAAGAGTAGATTCCTCGTCTGCTGCTGCCTTTTTTTTTTTTTTTTTTCCCGGGGAGGGACCGGGTCTGCTTCTGATCACCGCCTAAGTTTAACTTTCAGAACTATTCCTATTAATAATTAAGATCAACGGAACTCAAAATCTCTTGGGGGAATGATAATACCTAAGTCTTTATTCAATCACTCCACCATCCAGATAATTATTGTGTGTTGTCTTCCTTTCCTAAGAATTAATTAGAAAAAAAAACGAGTGAAAAGTATTGGAGAATAAAAATACTCTGTGGATATTTATTATTTATATTTTATTTAACTATTTTTTAGAAATAAATCCAACAAAATTACGATTATCTGGCTGTCTGCATTGCTATTCATGAGTAATCAACCCCAGTAAATTTTTTTTTTTTTATAAAAAAAAAAAAAAGAAGAAAATCCATTGCTCATTCTTAACAAGTGATCCACAGGTAAGAAAGAGCTTTCTTCTCTTCGTTTTCAGAGATTATGCACACTTTCAACAAAAAAAAAAAAAAAAAAATCATTGCTCATTCTTAACAAGTGATCCACAGGTAAGAAAGAGCTTTCTTCTCTTCGTTTTCAGAGATTATGCACACTTTCAACTTTTTTGTCATAATCTTTTAGAGTTGTCAATTTCAAACCAACTGTAAAAACATTCAGGAACATTCGAGAATGCAATTAGAATTTGCTGAAGATGGGGTTAAACAAATTTATAAGATATCTGGCAAATAGAAATAAGTTTCAGCTTGGTTCAAAGCATACATATATTTCTAATCCAAAAAAAGTTATTTACATATGGATATTGCTGTTTAACCGATGCCTACACTTTCAACATCCGTAAATAATCATCTATTATTGACAGGGCAGATGAACGGTAACCAGAACCAAAGAGATTGTAATGATTCAAGTAATGATACAACATGTAAAGATCTCTCCTTTTCTCGAAGCCTGGTTGTTTGGGCATCACCTGGTAAATAGAAGAAACTTCATCACAATATTCACAAAAAGATAAACCAAGACAACTGAAAGTTAAAAATGCAAATGCATATAGCCTATAGATTGAAAATTAAGAGAAAAAGAAAAGGATAAATAGAGCCAAGTCTCCAACTCAGTCTCAGACAAAGTTGTAACTTGAAGGGTCTAGGCTTATAAGCTTGACTAGTGTCAAGCCTTTTTCATTCTCGTCACTGGAAGTGCAAAATTTAATTTGAAATCAGATTTACACCAGTCTAGCCTTAGAGCTGATTATCATAATGTCTACTTGTCAGTTCATCGCAAATTATTTGCATGGAAACACTGATACCTCAAAATAGGATTTGTAAAATGATCCTCCAAAACCAGCACACCATGACATTCCAAATTCGGCTTCATTATGTCCATCTATAGAGCAAGATAATCAGCAAAGACATAAGGATTAGCACATCATGAATCTACACAAGTTCATGCTTTCAGTGATTCAATGAACAATGCAACTCAAAAAAGAACAAACTCTCAGTCTCAACTTCTTGAGGTCAGGATTTTACGCTATTGGTGGCAAAAAGCATACAAATGTCACAACTTTTTGTGGTCTAGAACCAGATTTCTCCAGAATATTTATGAGTTTTGTCAAACAATAATTCTATACTTACAAAGATTTCTATACAAAGTGAGGTGACAAAAAATGAATGGAAGAGTCAAACAAAAAGTCAAACTTATAATTATCATTCTTTCATTCATTTTTTACCTCATCACTTTATATGAGGATCTTTGTAAGATTTCTTCGTAAATATAACATTACTCTTTGTCAAAATATAGCTGACAAGGTCTCATTTGTTGTTCCACTAGATGTTAGAGTTCTGTTCAGCAAACCTTTAGTTCACTGAATTAATCAAATCAACAAAAAGGTCTGCAAGTATTATAAAGCAGGAAGGTTAATTTCAGACTTACAGTAACAGGCTGGATCAAGAATAACAGGCTCGCCATTCTTGTCAGAGCTGACATTCCCACTCCACAAGTCTCCATGCAGTAAGCATGGCTCTATGACAATATCTTCAAAAAGAGGTGCCAAGTTCTTCATCAGTCTCTGTCCTGTTAACAAAGTTTCATATAAACATCAACTTTACTAGAGTTCATGACAAGTTACAATACACCACAAGGGCAGAAATTACCATGAAAGGAAAAATTATAACAAGAATACCATTACCTCTTTGATAAATAGTTGAATCGCCATACTGGTCTGATGCTAATCTCAGCTGGTAACCCAATCTATGCTCTGCATAAAATTCAATCCAATCTGATGTCCATGTGTTTATCTGCGGAGTACTACAAAGGTAATTTAAATGAATTAGTTAGAAGTGAATCAATGTTCAAGTTTAGTTTCCATCATGAATTGATCAGCATAACACCATAATGAATTGAGGAATTATGAGGGCAAAATTCCGCTAAAAACCATAAACAATGCAGATGAAGACTTTAATAGTGCCCGTGAAAACTAATAAAATTGATTGAACTAACCTGCCAATGGTATTATCAACATCAAAACCAAAACCTTTACTGGATTTCCCAGCTTTATGCATTTCGGCCAGCTTCCTCCCTAAAACAGACTGCAAAACAACGAATGTTAAGAAATAAAAAACAGAATGCTTGTACTATTATAATTTTAACGTAAAACTCCCAAGCCTCACCTGATCACCTCTAGAAAAACCAAACTCAATGAATTCCATGATGATATATGATCCGCCAGTTGGTAAAGGTCCAACCTACAACAAGTTATGCACAGATTCGGTCCCCAAGTAGAAGACTAGAACTACCACCAAGAAATATTGATCTATCACTGGCAAACTGTTCCTTATTAGAATAAACTGAGACTTCCTCACCTTAAATGGCCTAGGTACTCGGATTGTTCTGGTTTCATACATTGCGCCAAGACCAAGAGACTCCCCCTCAAACATTGATGGTCCGATACTCCTGATCCAACATTTCAACATCATGAAATATGTAATTCCAGTCTCTTATTCCTTTTAACAATAATAACAAGGAAAAATCAAGAACCATTCAACACTTGCATGGTGGTAGAATACATTCAATTTATAAGCATCACATACCACACCTGTTTGTTTTAACAAAGAATGAACCAGCATCAGTGTCATAACGACTAGCGAGATTAATGCAACCACCACCAATAGGACTAATCTTTGTAATTTGGGTTGCCTTTCCTTCTGTGAGAATCCACTCACGTACTGGGTCGTCACTCATTGCCGCCACTGTCAGATATCCAAAAATTAATCTCTTTAACTGAAATTCACAGCACAAACACATAAATACTGATTGTAATTTCTGCAAATCAAGATTGTTTCTCGTGTGACAGAGCAAGCTCTATATTAATTATTTTTAGAACCCTGAAATTGTTCAAACAACAGCCATTTGTAGTGCCTCCAAAGCAGACACTCCAAAGTAATAAGAAAAGGTCTGACATTTTGAAGTTATATTATAGCAGAAAAGTAACGAAACCCTTGGCGAGAAACTTTCGAAAAGCCTCAAAAGAATCCATCACAAGGGGTGCTTATATGAAGTTCAAAGTACAGTGGATAAAAAATAAAAAGAGACCACAACAATTGAATGTTGCCTTGAAACGCATAAATGAGTCCTATAAGAGGGAATTCATCATCTAAAAGGAATAAAGAACAGCTAAAAAAATAAATTTCCTGAAGTAAAAAAGAAATTGATAGAATTAATTACTAGCAAATGTTGTGCGTTTGTTGAAGGAGCGAGGAGAGGAAAGAGAAGGGAAGCAAGAGCTAAAAGAGAGAACTCCCATTTGTGCTATTGCCACCATTATCTCACTCTCACAAGTCACAACACAGTTAGACTTGGCGGAGGCTTGCCTGTGTCTGTGTGGTGTCCGCTTTCTATTGGCTTGATTCCAGAGAATGTTGTGCTCAGTTTGGGGACATGGGGTTTGTTTGGTATCAGGTTTAATGTGCACTAACCAAAGATAAATTTATTCTTTGGTCGATTTGTTTTTTTTTTTTTTTTTTAATGAGAATGACTGTGGGCTGTGGCAGTGAGACAGTAATAATAAAAATTGATTTATAACGATTGGATGGGCAAGGCAATGAGCGAGTCCCCCAGTTCTCATAGAGTTTGACCTCACTTGAATTGAAATGGCGGATCCAGCGCTCCACCAAACCCAACCCATCCAAGAAATTGCCATAGACTACACTCCAGAAGCATGCACACATTGTGTTGACACAAACTCCATCACTCTCACCTACGACCACCGTGGAGGTGCTAGGTGGCGCTCCACCACTCGCTTCCTTTATGGCACATTCAGCTCCCTCATCCAATGCGCCAAAGGTAACACAAGCGGCCTCAATTTCAACATTTATCTCTCCTCCTTAGAAGGTGACAAATCTCAAGATGAGATCGACTTTGAATTCCTTGGCAAGGACAAAACCATCGTACAAACTAATTATTACACCACAGGTATTAAAAAAATGAAAACTTTAAATCATTTATAACATTTCTCATGTATCAGATATTTCAATTTTTCTTTTTATTAATGTGATCGTATTAATGCAGGAACTGGGAACAGAGAGGAGATTCATGATCTGGGTTTTGATTGTTCTGATGGGTTTCACGAGTACGTGATCAAGTGGGGTCCGGATTTAATCGAGTGGTTGATTGATGGGAAGGTAGTGAGAAGAGCAGAGAGAAAAGAAGGTGAAGGGTTCCCAAACAAAGCAATGTTTTTGTATGCTTCAGTTTGGGATGCTAGCTACATTGATGAGGGAAGGTGGACTGGACCGTATGTGGGATGTGATGCACCCTATGTTTGTCTCTACAAAGACATACATGTGCCTGTTGGATCTGCTGTCAACTGTTCTTGTGATTCTTGATTTGGTGAGTTGGGGTTGTTTCAACGTCTGTTGTTAAGATTTTGTCTGTTCTCCAATTATTTCTTCTTTGAATTGCAATGTGATTTGAACATTTTGGTTTTTATGGGTATGGTTGTGCTTGTTGCTAACCAAATGTATTGAGCAGTTTCAATCTGTTGTAACAAATTATTTGATTCAGTAATCTGATTTACTTTCATTTTTAGCACGTTATTGTATCAAGCATCTTACTTATGTTATGGGTTATGGTTAGTCTTCTTGACTTTTAACTTAAAATATAGGCAAGAACCTCTAGATTTATGATTCTGACTGCTGGAAACAATTATGGTGATGAGAAACTGTTCTTTAAGTCACAATGAAATGGAAGCTTGATGTTTTGCATTTCAATCCTAAGAACTGGACTCATTAATTGATTGGCGCACTAATGCTTTGAAATCTGATCATCAAGTAGAGATGGAAAGTCAGCCATTTAGTAGTTCTGGATACCAGCTTGGAATTGTGTCTAAAATCTAAAAGTATGTCTAAGTTATCTGTCTGCTAAAAAATGACATTATATGGTAATTTAGAATCTTAGATCTGTCTGCTTAAATTGACATTATATGGTAATTTAGAATCTTAGCAGTTGATGATAAGGTGACTCTGATAAGTTGGGTATCTTACCCCGATTCTTCTTGTTAGTTCTGACAACTATCAGCTACTCCATGTGCTTGAGCCTAATGTTGGGTGTTAGTAAATGAAGATATTTTAGGAGTGATTTCTTGATTAATGAGATTTTCTGAGCCTATAATTGTATCTTTGCAAGAATTATAGAAGTAATCTATCTTCTACTGTTTTGTTAGCTATTATCATCTCTAAAGGATGATATGACTCAAGAAGGGGAAGAAAAATGGCATTTTTGGCTATGTGAGATATTGATTTGCTTGAGGTTAAGTTGGTGATTAGGCCTGTGGATACTAGAGATGGTAATCATCACATTTGCAGTACTCATATTGGCATGATTTCTAAATTTTTTGAAATATTACAATATGATTGAAATTCAAATACTCTAAACTGCTTGGAAATGCCTTTCTCGACTGCCTTTACATTAATTTACTAGCTAGTTGAATGCAATTGTATTGCTGTGTATAACAGGTTCAACTTTGTTTGTTGAGCAGTTTGTCGTAGAGCAGGTTCAATCATTTCTTCTTTGAATTGCAATCGTATAGGCTTGGTTTACAGGGATCTGCTTTCTTTTGTTGCCTTTATGTTGTAAAATGCAAGGAAAGACCAAGGAACCTTCATTTCAGTTTTTTCTCATCTTTCTTTTGTTTTATGCATCAAATTAAGTTCAAAGTAGTCATATAAAGGATGATACCCCATGATAAAAGTCTTTAGTTCGCATTTAATTTAGGTATTTCCAGTTTAGTTGGGCTCCAACTAGTCTTAGACAATTTTGTATCGCTGATCCAAAAAAGCAGATATTGACTTGCAGTTTTGCTCTCGACTGGGTTTACCTGAGTGCTATCATTTTCCAAGGGACAGGAGCGCGTTTTAAACCATTAGTTCAGGCCACCCACCCTGGATTTTGTGGTTCTGGTTTGTAGAGGAGCTTGTAATCGAGAGAGAAGCGTCAACTCAAGGAAAAGTCCAACATGACTTGGATTAAATCATCAAGAATTGTAAATCAAGCACTAAAATGTTGGTGATACAGACGGTCAATTTACGTCTGGTGATACAGAAGGTCAATTTACGTCAAGAAAGGACTTTGGAGGTCAAACGCTATAATCAAAATCTTAAAGAGAGATATTTTGTGGAAATAGATACGGAATATTTCCAGGCAATTTGTTGCTCAAACCAGGGCTTGACTAGGAGAACACTATACCAAATTAAGAAAGTAAGCATGCCCTCATTGGAATAATTCTCTCTTACCAAAATTTCAGAAATTGTAAGCATCAATGTAAACCTTAAAAAAAAGAAAAAGAAAAAGAAGGTTGAGCATCAATATTAGAGAACAAGTACCTTGTCAAAGCTTGCAAGTTTACTTGTTAATTTTTAAAATCAATATAAAACGAAGAGAATCAATCCATGAAAATGATAGCATTTGTGCTGTCCCCTTCATAAAATATTTAAGAAAACCAGAATTATTGGGTTTAGAAGGACTAAAGTCTAGGCCTTACCTAGAACCAGTAATGTAGAAGAATCATAGATGCAAAACACACAACACAACGATGATTCTCGGCCTTAATAATTTCAAAAATCACCAACGGGAAGAATCTAACGTCATTTGTTCTTTTATATTTTTATTTGTTTTTACTGTTGTAAAGACTTTTGCCCGCCAAAACCGACTACCCGCCTTAATCTCAACCGTTTGATATTAAACTAATTAACTTCTGTGGGTCCTCCATTACTAGGGACCGCACGAAGCATGTATGCAAATTACTAAGAGAAGAAAACGACCTGTCTTTTTCCTTCCACAACTCTCGTCTCATCCCTTTGAGTCCACCCAAAGCGATTAGGATTCCATATGCATAGGTTTGTTTAGTGGATTTGCATTAAAATCTTTCCATTCCTTTTAAATTCTTGATCTGGGTTTTTGTTTCTCTTCTTTTTTTGCTGTGTTTTTCATTACCTTTCTGCTTTTGCGAATTGGGTTCAACAAGTAGTGAGTTAGAATTAGAGATGTGGGGTTCTGGTATGAATTTGATAACAACGGTTATTGGTTTTGGGATGAGTGCCACTTTTATTGTGTTTATTTGTACGAGAATAATTTGTAGAAGACTTCGAGGGGTGGAGTCAAGGCCAATGTTTGAGATTGAATCCAGAATTGATCTTGAACAGGTAATTATTTCTCTATTTGCTTTTTCAGAATTGCTTGCCTAACTGTTGTCATTGTTGTTGTTATTGTTATATTTTCAGTTTTATAATTGAATTATTGGTTCGGTGAGTTGTCTTCGAATTGGTTTAATACAGAGAATAATTATTGATCCTGTAACTGAGAAATTTTGTTCTTATGAACCCTGGAAGCACTAATTTGTTTGTTTGTACTTATAATTTTTCTTTGTTTCAGCCGCCAGAGCACCGGACTAATGGCCTTGAACCTATGCTGGTTGCTGCAATTCCCACTATGAGGTTCAACCATGAAGCATTCAATTCCTTAGNTTTATTGTGTTTATTTGTACGAGAATAATTTGTAGAAGACTTCGAGGGGTGGAGTCAAGGCCAATGTTTGAGATTGAATCCAGAATTGATCTTGAACAGGTAATTATTTCTCTATTTGCTTTTTCAGAATTGCTTACCTAACTGTTGTCATTGTTGTTGTTATTGTTATATTTTCAGTTTTATAATTGAATTATTGGTTCGGTGAGTTGTCTTCGAATTGGTTTAATACAGAGAATAATTATTGATCCTGTAACTGAGAAATTTTGTTCTTATGAACCCTGGAAGCACTAATTTGTTTGTTTGTACTTAGAAATTTTTCTTTGTTTTAGCAGCCAGAGCACCGGACTAATGGCCTTGAACCTATGCTGGTCGCTGCAATTCCCACTATGAGGTTCAACCATGAAGCATTCAATTCCGTAGAAGATGCACAGTAAGTTTAACCACCTACTTTCGGACAAGAATTGTCTTTTAATTGGCTCATGTTTTTCTGCTTATTATCGGGAACACCTTCAATGAATAAATGCACTTTGATTGGTTAAAATTGTATCTAACACGTTTTATTCTTAATGCGAATTAATTATAGCATGTTAGGTATAATCTCAATAAGAATAAAAGTACTGCAATCTGGTAGTTTAAAATTGGTCTCATAATTTCCATAAAATGAGGGGTCGTCGTCCTGTCTTGCGCTAGGAGAGTGAAAAAGTTCAATAATGTAAAAATTGCCTTTAAAAAGGTGTGGAAAAACACTGTTGGGTTAAGGTGCATCTGTTGTGATTTGTTATTAGAAAAGTAACTGGTGTCCTAATATTTTTCCTATAAGATAGATTGAAGTGTTGTGTCCTGCAGGTGTTCAATATGTCTGGGGGAGTACCAAGAGAAAGAAATACTAAGAATTATGCCCAAATGTGGTCACAATTTCCATCTCTCTTGCATTGATATTTGGTTGAGAAAACAGTCTACATGTCCTGAATGTCGATTACCATTAAACGACGCTCTTGAGAAAAAGAATATGAGGCAAGCTACAGCTACATTCAACAGTCCTCAGACTTCAATGCACCATTCAAGCCAGTGGCGGCTACCTGCCTCTGAACCTTCAATAGCGACTGGAAGTAACCAAGGACGCATCGACTCTGTTACCGAAAACACAGAACCAGCTTCTGGAGCATCAGAATCAACGCATAGATGAATTAAGAGGATTAGTGTGATCTTGAGAGCTTCTTTGAGTAATGTTTTCCAATGCAAGTCTTGTGGTTGAGCAAAGTGTATACTATTTGAGGCTTTGTATAGATCATTTGTACATAGAAATAGATAGAGTTGATTTTCTTTTGTTGCGACAGAACTGTCATTGTTTTGGTAAGTTCAGAAAATAAGCTCAATTAATTGCTATAAAAATAGCGTTCCCATTTCAAATCTGTAGTACCACACTGGCCTACTTTGCCCAAAAAGAGCTTTGTCAAATCAGCGGTTTTCATCTACCAATTGATTGATGTGCCTAGCAATAGCATACTTTAACCGTCACTCAATCTTTGATAACAAGCTACTGGCAGCTACTCCATGACAAAACACGTAAAGGCTCTCATTCGAACCAACATTTTTCTTTTTCTTATTTTTTTTTTTAGGTCATTTTACTGGTTTCAGTTTACCCACTTCTCCATCAACTAAGTGCGAGCTCTAAGTCAAACATCCTACCAAACTGCAATAATTCCCACCAATTCTCATTTAAAAGCCGAACCTCCATTAATATTTTCTGTTACTTTCGGGCTCTCGAAGCGGCCATAAGCCATCTCCGCAAAATTTAGATGCAGCTACCACTCTACCAACTACCAAGTCCTTTTAAATTGAAGACCAATTTTTTTTTCATCTCACATGCTATTCTGCAGCCCAATTCAATTAGCTCTTCTTTCGGTTGTATGGAGAAAGTTTATCCTAAAAAACAAATAGGTATTGGTGATTTTTGGTAATGAAAAACTCTCGTAAATTAACACATCATTTTTTGTCTAACTCAAGAAAGAAATTTCATTAGTATATTAGATCAAGCATGGAATTATCGTAAGTTTTCCATTTAATTGGGAGCATGCTTTATGTTTTTTTATGAATAGCCGCAGGGAAGTGGCATAAAGTAAAAAAGCCAACAGATCATGGAATCATCAGATATTTTAATGATATTATATGGCAAATAATAAAGCTTTTTATTTATAAGATTTCTTCTGACTAGTCTGGACTCTGGACTCTGGAAGAAGATTGGTTCAACTTCGATCTATTGTAATTATCGAGGCATGAATGATTAAATTTTGCTACCAAACATGGATTATCAAACAAAGATATAAGTAAGTTAACGTAAAGGGGAACATGCTGCCTCATTCTACAATAAATGACCATTGGATTCTCTTACTTAATCATAGATCATTAGGTCATATAAGATGGATTTAAATTTAATAATCTTTCTAATTGTAATCATTTAGTTAGAAACGGAATGTGATTGGGCAGGGTAATTCTCGCACGTACCACGTGTCATTCCACACGTGTCGTAACCACAAAATCCATTAGCTAATCATCAAAATTCTCACTTCCACCCGTAAGAGAATGAAAGAATTGGGAATCTAAGGCCGCATTAATTACGTGACTATAGTCATAATCCAAGGGCCATTGATTAACATTAAGACAAAGTTTTGTTCCTTAATTACCCACTAATCTTATGCTAAAACAAATTAATGATCCATAAGTAATGATATAATTCTGTTCAAAATAATGGGCAATTTGGTGAGGAAAGTAACAACCACCATAAAAGACAATACAGAGTTTATGGAGCCCACAAGTCACTCAATCACCAAGTGCTAAAATCCAACGGTAACCTCCACGTCACTCTCAATTAAACTAATTTTCCCGCCGGATATTAAAATTTGGAATGGGTATCCAACGTTCCAAATCCGTTCTTTATTTACAAGCTGACAAACTCGAACCGCCTTTCTTCTGTCTTTTTGTCTCTGTAATTTTACATGATTAAGAGATTTAGCTTGTTCTAATCTCATCAAGCGGCTTGCTCTTTAATTCTTTAGCTGATGGCCTTCCACTTTTCTTGGCGGTGTGGTCTGTCATCATGGAGATATTTACTAGTATTTTATTTTTCAGCAACTGGCAAGTGGGTTGGTGGTTCTTGCCACTACTGAACTTAAAACATCTTGAATTTATGGAAAGAAAATGCATACAATAGTACATGTTGGAAGTGGGTTCCCTGTAAATTATGCCTAGCTAATTGGAGTTGCTTTCTATCTGAAAGTTATTGGTCATATCAACTTGAAAATTCAAACCTCAGATGACGTAGTTGCTTTTCTAATTAATTGATAATGAACGATTATTATCGATCTCTGAATTTTATATTGAAGTAGGAATGGCGAAGTTTCATAAGCCGAGTTCATGGATATTGAGCCAAGCCGTGGCAGTTTGCAAAGTTCATCATGTACACGATTGAAGATTAAAAAAATATAGGAGGAAGAAGACAATATAGGAAATATTATATAGACCGGTATTATTCACTTATACTCATAAATCATCAGTCCGAGCTAGTGGCCACCTTATATATATAGCACCAGATGAGTACTTTGCACTCTTCATAGAACAATTTAATTTTCTCCCTTCACCAAACTTTGAAAAGCCTAATCAAAAGCGAAAGCTTGGATTTATTGTAATTTAGGTATTCATGGCAGGGCCGGAATCAACTAAACAGACCACAACCACCAACAACAAGGTTCAAGCTCAACCAACCAAACAAGTGGCTCGTAGGTTTGTTGGAGTCCGGCAAAGGCCCTCGGGCAGATGGGTGGCAGAAATCAAGGACTCATCTCAACGTGTGAGATTATGGTTAGGAACATATGATACACCAGAAGAAGCTGCCAGAGCCTATGATGAAGCTGCTCGAGCCCTACGTGGGGAAAATGCTCGAACCAATTTTGCCTCGGTTAATCCTTCGAGTCAATCGGGTTCTTCCCCTTCTAACGGAGGGTTCATGTCTGAATCAGATGATCAGCGACCTGGACTTAGCTTCTCTACCTTGAAGGCCAAATTGAGCAAGAACCTACAAAGTATCATGGCTAGGAATTCAGAAAATAATAAGTCAACGAAAAGTAGAGTCAGTGATCAGTGTACCTTTGCTAGTATATTCCACTTCAGGAGCTACCAACACCAAAGCCCTATGAATATAAAGAACATTGAAAAAGTGGTGCAACCTAGCATCATCGTGCCCCATGTAGCAGACGAACCATCTTCTTGGGAAAGCTCCAGTGTTTCTGACTGTAGCAGTGAATGGATAGGGTTCCGGCAACCTGGGGTGGATTCAGACGGGTCAGATATTGGAGAAGTTAGCGCTGGCGATCAAGGGTTCATGGATCAAATGATGGGGTGGATTGATAGCCCAGAAATTAGAGCCAGTCATGAGGAGTCGAGGAGTAAAAGGTTTAAGGTTTCTTCTTCAGTTGTGGTTCCTCCAACCTTTAGTGGGTCCCCACCTAATGCTGAGAAACGAAAGGAGTACTATTATGGAATAAAGTAATTGCTATGATCCATCTTCGTGTTAGATAAATCAAGCCAGCTAGCTTCTTTACAAAGGGATGAGAAGCTTAAGCCATTTGAAGTTGTTGCATGCTGTTTTGAGTGATGATAAACATAAGTTTGGAAACATGTACAGTAAGACTTATGAGACTTTAGAATAATAAGAGACCATAAGGCATTTGTTTTACTGTTTACGAAGTTCAGTTGCTGCAAATAATCATAGAACAAGCATGTTTAAAAGTTAGCCTAGTAACTATTTATTATGTTCCTTCGGAGACTCTTTATATGTTACATGAACTGTTTAATTAATTAAGATGATAATAAAGTTAACATATAAAGACGTGAGGTTTTGTTCTATATATGTGTGAGATGTGATCTGCGATAATACCTCAATAATTAAGTCATAGCTATAGCCTAGAAAGAAGTAAAACATGTTCCCAGTATGATTACTTGAAGCGGTTCACTATAACTTTTAAATGTTTCCCTTTGATTGTTATATTGATTTCTTTTTCTTTTTCCCTCTGTTGTGGCGCTGACAGAAAGAAGTAACTATCGCCACATATCGTTTACTAGCTCCTTTCTATGAGACTACCCGTACCGCAGTAGTAGTACTCAACAAGAAGTATACGTTTGGAGGCCTCTCTTATTGTTACAACTCCAACAGTGCATATATATGCCATTAATTTATATACTACTATTCTGAGCTTAATTTGACCTAACATCATGCTTCGGACATCTCAAATTTTGTATATAATTGCCTAATTGGTGTTTAGGGCGCCTGGACGTCCTGAATATTTGATGCTAATGTTGTCTCTAATGCTATATCAAGAGAGCTGGTCAATATTCAAGTCGTCGATCAGATGGTTTTCTTGATTGCTTATAATATACGCGTAAGGCTCACACTCACAAACACCTTTCTTTCTAATCATCTTGTAGACCTATTTGATCAACTATACGGTGGTCACGTCATCATTCTTTCTACTGTGTTTCCAGTGCATGTAATTCCAAGCGTCCAATTCTTAATATATTTGTATTGATAAACTGTACAATATGAAAGTACAAGAGCGGTGAAAACAAAATTGAGAATCTCACTTTGATTGATAATTGTAACACTACCTGATGGTTAATTCTTTAAGAAAATTCGCAGTATTTGCGGTAGTTTATTCGGCTTGCGTAAGAAAGGAATTTAGGAACAGGGTTGGTCCTGTAATATCAAGAGAGAATCGCCATTAGGTAAGGGAAGAACAAACAACACAAAGGACAAACATTATATATCTCTTGCTACACGTGTTTACGGCTAAATTATACATGGCACAATCAGTCTAAATCATGGTTAATTTTTAGTTAACTTATAAAAGGTTATTACTTGTCACATAGTAAATTAATATTAAGATTATCAATCATTGAGTGATACAGATTGGACATGCACATTTAACATATAATGATCTCTTAGAATTCTTTTACATGAAGGTGAAGGGGAAACTTCGATTTTAAAAGTATTCTATCGCTTACCAAATGAATAAATCAAGCTCACTATTATACTTTTATCTTTACTTTGTTGTCACACGATCGATGATTATGATGATCAATCAATCGCATAGATTCTCAATTGTAAGCTAATAAAAGCTAAAAATTCTTTTTACACCAACCCTTCTTAAGAGAACCACTCATAGAGAAGCAAAAGTTTGACAAAGTGTTTTTGGAACTTTATTGGAAAGTGGATTGTCTCACTCAATGGCTTATAAAGCTAGATAATGGGCAACTTTTTTTGATGCCTGCTGCTGTGAACTTTGATATATGCTTGGATTGATATTCTTCTATGCTGTAGGTCATGGTTTATGAAACTTTCATTTCAATGTTTGATGTCCTTGTCAATACTGTATCGTATTGTATGGATTCATTGTACTCAAATTTAAGTTTCAAAATCTTGATAATGGCCGGTGTCTAGGGATACTTTCAACAATTTACAATCTAGAAAAACCCAGTTAAGCGTGCATCACACGAGGTTCAAAACTTGTAACAGTTGACACTTTGATGATCAATATTATTTAATTGCTTCATAATCCTCTCCCCTGGGAAAAATTTAGACGCTCCTTTTGGAGTTGAGAGAAATGAGAACCGTCTCGTTCCTGTTTGCAGGTTTTTCCACACCGAGACACGAGCCATTGGGTCTCGAATTAAACTGTCAATTCTCAGCTGCAAGAAAAATTTTATATATCAAATTGTCACCCTTGTTGGATTCGTGGATTGGGCAATACAAATTTCAAATATTGTCCTTCTAGGGCTTAATTCTTTAATTCTGGGGAATGGCGGCTAGTGGGGAGTGAAAGATTTGCATGAAATTAGCAATTATGCATGCATTTTAGGTCAAACTTCCCGTGTAAATTCCAACATCCAAAGATACGATATTGCTTTAGGTAAGATCACGCATAATTGAGTTGGTATGCTTTCAATTTGAATGTGTGGTCACTAAAAGTTTCTACTGACGCCATTGAGATGATGGAAAAATTGAGTTACATTATTCATTTTGAAATTCTCCTGTACTTTGCTCCATGAAATTTAGATAAAGTCAAAATATATACTATAACATACAACCATATAGTAACAAACGAGTAGAGTAAAAACGAACACATACGGCTCTGTTCCTTTTTCTAATTTAGATGACAGACAGTGGTACAATTTTATTGGCATCGTTCTTAACATTTCAGGGACTCGTGTTATTTTGTAGTGTACGGGTGGGTAGAAACAGCCAAGAAGGGTGGGTGAATAGGCCTAGACAAACATAAATTCATGTCCTGCCCATGCAAGGCCTGGGCCCATACACGCGTCTTAGTACGCCCGCTCTAACGCTTTAGCTTAAAGCCTGTTTTCGTTTTGTGCTGAATTTAAAACTCCACCCTAGTGTGTAGTATGTACATACAAAATGAAACTGTTTCCACTCTTCTTTTAAACAAAAGACCGTTTGGAATTTTGAACAATTTTTTAAATTTAGAAAATTAATTTTTGAATATTTTAAAAAACTCTTATAAAATATAAAATTAGATCCACATGATAACATTTTCATGAACTCATAGTCTCAACATGTTAATAGTAGTGTATTTCAAAATTTGAATTTGATTATCAATGTAATGTGTTCAATTAAATATTAAATAATAATAATAAATTATGATTGGATTTGGAGTACATTAATTAACCAGGCCCCATGTTACATTCTTCCAGCTGTCCCTATTTAAATACTAGTGGCATTTTCGGATATTAATATTCATGTTAAGAGCGATTTGTAACCGCACACTACAGCCAGGCCACACCCTTTTCCACGACTTATCTTTATCACACGTGCCAACTTTAATTACCATGAACACTAAACTTTGAAAAGTCATTACCGTCCCTACACACACGTGGCGTTTAACAGCCACATCATCATCTCGGTAACATAAAAATTCGAAAAGCAGATTCAAATTTCACCCCATCCCAACGGTCGAATCCTCTGCCTTTAGGCAATCACAACCGTACGATGGCTAATGATGCTCGACAGTTAAGCATCTTTGTCCGTTTCAGATCCTTTTTATCTCTCCATGAGCATAACGTTCTCTTTCTTTCTCTAAAATTACTGCTGCATAGAATATAAAAAAGAAATAATCTTTTTTTACAGAGAGAATCCAAGAGACACCGAGACAGAGACTGACACAGCTAGCTTCTATTAGAGACGAGAAAGAAGACAGAGATTTGAAGAAATTTGATTTTTGAATGTGATTGTGATTGTGATTGCCATATTATATCTGTGTCTTCTTTTGTCAAAGCTTAAATATTTTATTCTATTAGTATTTTCAAACCTAAGTTTCTTCTTAGTTGAAGATTCTTGTGGTTTTTTTTTTTTTTTTTTTTTTTTTTTTTTTTTGGAGTGATTTCGACTGTTTGGTGTCGTTCTCTAATAGGAAACGAGAACAGTTTATGGGTATTTCTGATTTTGTTCCAGACTGAGAGAGAGAGAGTTTTGATGTAGCTGTGGTGATTGCTGAGTTTGGAGGCATTATTGGGATTAAGTGCAGAAACAGAGAGAGAATAGAGTTGAAAAAAGAGTTGGCGATTCTTGATCATTTCTTGGTTGCAGTTGGGAGAGAAGTTTGAAGATCAAGCTACATATTGGGCTGCTTTCGGCAGAATAAAAGAAAACAGTTTCCAGTTTCTCAGTCTTAAAGGTTAATTCTTGAAGTATTTTTTAGGTTCTTGCTTTCTTTGATTCTACTCGGTGAGTGGAAGGATAAAAGTGATTCCTTTGTCCTCTCTAATTTCTGTTTTTTTCCTCTGCAGTCGGGTTTCTTTAGTTTTCTTCATCTCTTGTTTCTTTAAAATTAGTCAAATTCGTTGGCTGTCTTAGTCCTTATGTGTTTGTTTGTGCTTATTCTGAAAATGAAGAGAAACAGTCACTGTTTGGTGGCTGTAAATATCCCAAGTGATCTAAATTTTAAGGGAAGTCAAAGCAATTGAAGGTATTTCTTAATGATTTTGATTTGTAATATTTTGTGGGGTTGGTCCATCTTGGAGAATTTAAATACACTCTACATGCATACAACTGTAGATAGAGACCCCTGTCTTCTCTTCTAAGTAAAGCCTTTCTATTTCTCAAACCAGCTAGCTCAATTGGCAAGGATAAAATTGGTAGTACATTTAAGACTTCAACTTTTATCTGTCATTCGAAAAATATTGACCGTTGGATGTAGATCAGAGCCAAAGAAAATCAATCATATATTGTAGTCTTCTTTTTTTGTTGAAAAGTAAAGTTACAGCCTTGATTTCTTCTTGTCAGTATGCCCCCGGAAATTACTATAATACTTACTGGTTTTGCTTAATAAATTACTAGCCGACGTTCTTAATTAGACGGCACTCTTTGGCAGTGAAATGTAACTTCTTTCGTTGTCATGAACAATATTTTAGTACTGTTGCGTCTCAATGAGTGCCTCTTTTTATAAAAAAAAAATTAATTACGGTTGGCATTTAATGATCACTTGACGAAGCGATAGGAAAGATTGTGGGGCATCTATAGGTACTTCGATTTTGTTGGTCGGTTATTGTTTTCAGCAAACAAGCTTTCTGTGATTATACAAGATTCTTGAGGCTCTTGATGTTGGCCTATCTGTTTTTTATTTCTGTCTTATTTTAATGGCAATCTTAGTTTATAATTTACTTGTTTAATGATTGCAACTGCTACACTGCCTTTTGAGTTTTCTATCCTAGTATTCTTTCTTAATATATTTTCTCGTCTGGGTCATTATCTAAAGGTTTGGTTTTTCTCTTCAACTCGGTTGAAACAAATTCTCTGACCTTTTTGATTGGAAACCAGATTGTAATCATGGTGGAAGATGGTGGCAGTAGGGTCTTGGCAGATATTCAATCAGCTGATGACTGGTTGTTACATGCACAAGAGCTTGTTCCAGTGGCTCTTGATAAGGCTAGAGAGGTTAGAGGGTTTCCTGGTAGGTGGAAGATGATCATTTCGAAATTGGAGCAGATCCCGTCACATTTATCAGATTTGTCAAGCCATCCTTGCTTCTCCAAAAATGCACTTTGTAAGGAGCAATTGCAGGCAGTGTCAAAGACCTTGAAGGAAGTAATTGAATTGGCAGACTTGTGTGCGAAGGAGAAGTATGAAGGGAAGCTTAGGATGCAGAGTGATCTCGATGCCTTATCGGGGAAATTGGATTTGAATCTAAGAGATTGTGGACTTTTGATCAAGACAGGGGTGCTTGGTGAGGCTACTTTGCCTTTGTCTGTGGCTGGTACTTCAGCAGAAGGTGAGACTGCTGCAGCACATGGCAATTTAAGGGAATTACTTGCACGGCTTCAGATAGGACATTTGGAGGCAAAGCACAGAGCTCTTGATAGCCTTGTGGAGTTCATGAAAGAGGATGAAAAGAATGTTTTGTCAGTTTTAGGACGGAGCAATATTGCTGCTTTAGTCCAACTGTTAACGGCTACATCTCCTAAAATACGAGAAAAAACTGTAACTGTAATATGCTCACTTGCAGAATCAGGCAGTTGTGAAAACTGGTTTGTTTCAGAAGGTGTTTTGCCACCTCTAATTAGGCTTGTTGAATCTGGGAGCTCAGTGGGTAAAGAGAAGGCTACAATTTCTCTTCAGAGATTGTCAATGTCGGAAGAAACAGCCCGAGCAATTGTTGGCCATGGTGGGGTTCGACCTCTGATCGAGATCTGTCAAACTGGTGATTCTGTTTCACAGTCAGCAGCAGCATGTACTTTGAAGAACATATCAGCTGTCCCTGAGGTTCGACAAACACTAGCTGAAGAAGGGATTGTCAAGGTGATGATAAATCTACTAGATTGTGGAATTTTGTTGGGGTCTAAAGAATATGCTGCGGAGTGCTTGCAGAATCTCACTGCCAGCAATGAGAATCTAAGAAGATCAGTTGTTTCAGAAGGTGGAGTCCGAAGCCTATTGGCATACCTGGATGGTCCTTTGCCTCAAGAGTCTGCTGTTGGGGCATTGAGGAATTTGGTTGGTTCAGTTTCTATTGAGATTTTGATTTCTCTTAATTTCCTTCCTCGATTGGTTCATGTGCTTAAAGCTGGATCATTGGGTGCACAACAAGCTGCTGCTTCAGCTATTTGTAAGGTTAGCACCACAGCAGAGATGAAGAAATTGGTGGGTGAAGCAGGGTGCATTCCTTTGCTTGTCAACATGCTTGAGGCTAAATTAAACTGTGTTAGAGAGGTTGCTTCCCAAGCAATTTCAAGCTTGATAACCTATTCTCACAATTGCAGAGAAGTAAAAAAGGATGATAAAAGTGTACCAAATTTGGTCCAATTGCTTGATCCGAGTCCTCAAAACACTGCAAAAAAATATGCTGTTTCCTGCCTTGCATCTCTCTCTTCAAGTAAAAAATGTAAGAAGTTGATGATTTCATATGGAGCAATTGGATATCTCAAAAAGCTTTCAGAGATGGACATCCCAGGTGCTAAGAAGCTACTTGAGCGATTGGAAAGAGGGAAGTTGAAAAGTTTGTTCTCCAGGAAATAGCCAAAGACAAGATAATCCGCCTTCTGTATCTTCTCTATGTAGTTTCATTATCTGTATGAAACATAGGTATCAATGATATCTGTTGTGTGTTGATGCTGAATCATATGCTAATTAATGATATCAATGTCATAATACTTATAAATGTATAACATTTCTCTTTATTTCGCTTCTCCTCTTAACACCTTGTTGACCCTTTGCAGCCAAATCCTTCTCTTGCCGTTCAGAGAGATGGAAATGGTTCTTGAATCTCCTAACTGACGATAATTGTGTGATGGAAGTTGCATATTAGTTTGGCCTTCACTCTTCAGAACTTTTACAAATCGATTTTACTAGTTTATTAAATGTTGATTCTGATTCATGATAAGGTTTCATCATTGATAGTTTTCGTTTCACAAATTTATGATTCTTTGTTATATTTCTTAGTTTTCAGTCTCTTATTTCAGTGGCTGAAAGTATTAATATTAAGAATGCTGTTGAAGTATGTAATTGAATTTTGGACGGGGTTGTTTACCAGCACCAGCAGCCACCAACCAATACAGGCTCTTCTAAATTGCTATAACTCTTCCTTTATTTGTAAGAAAGAAACTTTATTAATACCCCTAGTGTGTTACCATGATTCACATTCTGAATACTAAATTGCTAAGTAGAATTGAAGTGACTTTAAGCATGTCCAAAAAACAAAAAAAAAAAGAGCTGCTTGATGTTCATAGCTACAATGGTGCTGCTTGTTACAGTGTACGACTTGATATTGTAAATTTCCTTCTAGGAAATGAGTGTTCTTGGTTTCCAGTAATGTGAGTATATTTCTCCCATAACCCATAAACTGAAATGAGTGGAGTTATGTACTAAATCTCCAACAATGCTTGCAGATTTGCATTATTGGAGATTGGAATAACAAACCTGACATCACAAGAGATATTGTTTATTTATTTATGCACCAAAACCTAACTCCACTCCTTTCATGTGTTTGTGTTTTAGTGAATCACCAACCACCATCTTAATGAAATTGTTTTGGTGGGCTTTTCTGCAGGTGTCGGTCAATTTGTGGCTGCAGTGCATAGCTCATTAATTCAGCCCACATTTTAGCAAATGGGTTGGTTTTTTTGGGGCTAGTTTAAAAACCTAATCCAGTTATGGAAATCCGTTGTCCCCGCGTCCAAACAACCGTCGATTTGAGAATTTTTGTAAAAAAAAAAAAAAAAAAAAAAAAAAGGTTCAATAATCCAGATAGGTAATGAAAGAGACTCATTGAGATAGCCGTCGATTTGAGCATTCTTGAGATGTGAACCATGTGACCATATCATGGCAATCTCGTCCATTGGCTAAAATTTCTTTGTCTACTATCAAATTCAAACGTAGTGATAACATGATCAATCAATTTTTAATAACAGTTGGATCTGTATGGTATCTTGATGATGAATCAGCCGTCTATTAATTTTTGGGGCAACGAACTTACACCTATCCAAGGTTTTCTATAATGACGATTAATACGCAAAAGATTTGAAAATGACAAACAGATACCTTCCACCATGTGCTGTCAGTGATTTCCGTTTGTTAATAGTGAAAAGACTAGAATGCCCTTGAAAGCTTGATATTTTAGTTTTTTATAAATTTAAAAATTTATAAAAAAAAACCCCATAAGCTTGCTAATTTAACTAAACACCCCAATATATAAAAATTTTGTAAAATAACAAAAACACCCCCACCACCCGCAGTGCCAGATTCTTGCCGCCACCATCGAAATCTGGTCGAAAAATTATGTTACGACACAGACTGGTCCGATCTGTGTCGTAACGCGTCGATATGACCTTTTTCGATCAAATCCACCACGGATCTGGCCGGAAAAAGCCAGACCTACGGCCAAATGTGGCCGTCAACAGCCACAAAGGTCCGTTTTTGGCCAACGGCCAAAGGTGTGGCCGTCGTTGTCTGTCAGAGATGGCCAAGATTTGGCCATCTCTGACGGCCAGATCAATGAATTACCGACAATTTTTGGTGGTGGTGTAGACCGTTGTAACAGATTCTGGCTACCACTAGCAGTGGTTGCCGGAATCTGGCAACTATGAGTGGGTAGGGATGTTTTTGTTAATTTGTAAACTTTTTTTTGAGAGTATTTATGAAATTAATAAACTTAAGGGGTCTAAAAGTAATTAAAAAATAGACTAATATTTCTCAAATAAAGTTTGGTGATTGTACATGAAATTACTGTATTATCCTTTTGCAAACAAAAATCAGTAACAGCACATGATAAAAAGTATCCGTTTGTTATTTTCAAACCTTTTGGGTACCAACCGGTATTAAGGGCAAACCTTGGGTAGTTCGGCCTTAATTTTTATTCAGAAGGAACGGTGACTGATGGAAGTGGACTGGGCCCTCCCTGATGCTAAAAAAAGTAAAAAGAAAAAAAAAATCGTGCGATAAAAATTTGTTTGATTATAGTAGAAAAGAGAGGACCAAACAAGGCCTTATCATTAAGGTAAGCGTAGATAGAGAGAGAAGCAAAAGCACAAGATTGCTGACGCTACAAAGCTAAGCTCTACGGAGAAGCCTTAAACTTTTCTTTCTCTGAAATAGGTGAGGAAATATCACCCATTTTTGTGCTTTTCGAGGCCAATTCGTTGGGCACTTTTCTCGGTATTCTTCTCTTTCTATCCATCTATATGCATAAAACTCATGTCTTTATCATTAATTTAATATAAAATCATTTCTTTCTTTCTTCATTTATTTTCCCTTTTCCAGTTTTGATCAATCTTTAGGTATCCAAAGAATCGGTTTTTACTGGATTTTTGTTTAGTTTATGCTTTGCTTCGATTGATTTGTGTATTCGTTTGATATCTAATTGGGTATTATTTTTTACTCGTTCGTTCATTATTGGTTTTTCTAATATATGATTTGGGTTTTATTGGGATATTTCTTACTTGATTAATCTGTTTATGCTTTTATGAGTAACAGTGTGACAAATAAATTTCTTTTTCGTTATTATTATTATTATTATTGCTTTTCTGTGCCTATGGGTGTTGGTTTGAGGATTGTTGCTGTGCTTTTTAATATTTAGGTATATGGTCTAATTTTACCACACGGTTAGCCCTAGTTTTATTTGTTTGGTTAATTGGTGAATTATAATGAAGTTTGAGTAGTTTGAATTTGCAGGTTTAAAAAATGAGCACACTAGATGCAACTAGAGCTGAGCTTGCTCTTCTAGTTTTGTATTTGAATAAGGCTGAAGCCAGAGACAAGATATGCAGGGCTATACAGTATGGTTCCAAATTCTTAAGTAATGGACAATCTGGTACTGCCCAAAATGTTGACAAGAACACCAGCTTAGCCCGGAAAGTTTTCCGTCTTTTTAAGGTACTTTATTTCTCTACTCCTGTATCAATCAACTAACCGCAATAAAGTCACTTTTCATCTGCTTTTTGTTGGTTTAATTCTATAAAGAACGAGAAACATTTGAAAGAACTTAACAATGATAGCCTTTATGTGATATTTACCTATTTTATTTCATGTTTAGAATTGAAATCTTTGGATAATTATTGATACTGAATTTACATTTCTATGTTTATCATCTTGGCATAATCTGTTTATTACTCTGTCAATTTTGCAGTTTGTGAATGACTTGCATGGTCTTCTTAGCCCAGTTCCCCAAGGAACTCCCCTTCCTCTAGTTTTGCTGGGGAAGGTATAAATGGACTACTAAATTGGTTTATATCTAGTAATTTAATATATTCTTCCTCTTTGTCCTATTTCTATTTTAATTATATGCGTTTTGCAGTCAAAAAATGCATTATTGTCAACTTTCTTGTTCCTGGATCAAATTGTTTGGCTTGGCAGATCAGGCATCTACAAGGTGAGGTGCACTTTGCATTTTCTTCAGTTCCTAATGTTCTTTATTGGTTTCTGCCTGAAATCTTAGCAACGGCCAACCAAGATGTTTTATTTGCTGTAGAACAAAGAACGTGCTGAGTTGATAGGCCGGATATCTCTTTATTGTTGGATGGGTTCCTCAGTTTGTACCACCTTGGTTGAGGTTTGTTGCTTCCTGTTTCTTTTAGCCACTGGATTCTATGTATAAGTGTATTTTCCCTGATTACTAGTTTGCTTATCCATTCTATCCCATCATATGCAGATTGGGGAGCTGGGTAGGATTTCTGCATCTATGAAAAAATTAGAGAAGGATCTTAAGGACAGTGATAAGTATAAAGTAAGTCCATCTAACTCTTCATGGTCAGTTGATAATTTATATGTTTAGCCTCATGGGACATCAACTAACCCCACCTCTTCTCTTTCCTTGTGTTCTGTTCATGCAGAACGAGCAGTACCGGGCTAAACTTCAAAAATCAAATGATAGGTCCCTTGCCCTTGTCAAAGCAGCTATGGACATTGTGGTGGCTGTTGGACTGCTTCAATTGGCACCCAAAAAAGTTACTCCTCGTGTAACTGGAGCCTTTGGATTTGTTACCTCTCTTATCTCTTGTTACCAGGTACCAATTCAACTCTGTTGATATCATGATTACTGTATCAAACTAGGTGTTGGCATGTCGAATGTGAACTATAAACTTCATTGTCTGGTAAAAGGAACATACAAGCTATAAGTTTGATACCCAGAATTGAGATTATAGCATGTGAGCAATTCAATTCTTAGGGTCAGTTTGTAGTTGTGAATGGTCCAGTTCATGTTGTAAGAGGATGTTTCATGTGGTGATAAGATTTCTGCTTTCTGTAATGCAGTTACTTCCAGCTCCAGCAAAAGCCAAGGCACACTGAAACAGCAGCCTGTTCTTCTCAACAAAGCTTGGATGTCATTTAAATAATTGTTCCTACTTGTTAGATAAATGAAATGTTTGGTGTAAGCTTTTGAGCAATTTGACACCTTGTAGGGTGACATTAAATTCTACATTTAGCAACTTTGTTGTCACACCTATACATTGTCTTCTTATAGTGGTAATAATAAATGTTGTTTTCTCATTCGTGATTCATAACTTATGGGGTTAGGTTAACGAGGAAACGTGACGTTTTGATGGATATATGAGTTTGAGCTGAAAGTAAATGGCAATTTTCTACATATTGCAAATTTCGGGGGTATAATGCCACTGTATTCCCAACCATAAGTAAATTGGAACGGCTGGAAATTTGATATTAGAAACCGATAAGAAAATTGTAGATATGAAGTCAATGATGGTATAACCTATTTTCTCTCAATTTCCAATTCCAAAAATGGTGAATAGCAGCAGCAATGGTAAGCAGCGAAACATCATTATTTGTTAAAGAGTAATATCACACACAGTTTATCAGCATCGTTTACGGATATTAAGTTTGAGATTCAAAAATTTTTAAATTTTAAGTCGTATATTAACTTTTATCGAGCCATGTTTTCTTTACAGCTAGCACGATGCATCTATAAATGTGATTTGTTTCGGCTAACAACGTAACAGGAAACTTTTAACTTAAAAAACAAAGGTAATATTACCATCACACCTCGACATTGAAACGGAAAGAAAGGTGATACAAACAGAAAGACCCAAATACATTTCTGCCCCACGACTCTCATTAGAGAGGCTTGGTAAATGCGTCTCCAGAATCCAGATGAAATATTATTTAGTCCAAAAACAAAAGATATTATTAATTTATATATAAAATAACAGCTATTACGGAAGAAACTCATCATCTGAATCATCCTCCTCGCCCCATTCATATTCTGGCCCATCAAATACGTTTCCCCGCAATATGTTTATAATCTGTCCCAAATCTGCCACACTCCTCCGCAAAGATACACTAGGATTGGCACTCGAATCTTCACATTCGCTGGGTTTGGTATAACTGTTAACCTTCAACACAAATTTTCCGGAGGGCTCAAGAATATCAACCCCAAAGGTAGGTGACAACGATCGTCCCACAATCTGAACATGAGACACACTGCAACATGCCAATAAAATGCAGAAATTTTAATATGCCAATAAATAACTTAGCTAAATCATACCAAAATGGATCATCTGCCACAACAGTGTATCAACCAAAAGTCATGCAAATGCCCATCAATTTCAAATTAACTAGCACATCAACTCTGAAAATGTTCCCCATAGCAATTACACGCTAAGTATTGAAACAGAACACGTAAATAGCGTGCAAGCAACTAACCAAATATAGTATAAGCCATCCATTTCTTGCTTCTGAATCCTACCCAAAAGCTCAATCTTCAAAATCCCACCAATGCACATAACAGGTTCTGGCAGCTTGAATTTCTGCAAACGATTCTCCTGTTCAAGATGTCACAATGTCATTTAAGTGATTATTTTTTCTTTAATGAGCATTACCATGCAGTTCAAGGGGGAAAAGAAACCATGGAATCATGCTGAGAATTGCATAGCCACTCAGAAAACAAATAAGGATTATAGAAAAATAAATAATGAGAATTTGAGCCATAATTCATAAGAACGTCTACAGTTTTTAGTTATGCATACTGAGTTTGCAACCCTAAAAACTTTTCCAGCATCAAAAACCAAGCTTTTAAGGTTTTATATTGTAGTTCATCGACCCAGAAATCTGAAACAAGCTAAATAAGGGTGTATTCTAACAAAGAAATATATAACCGTGCCCAAATTTTGTTGAACTGCCACGTGAAACACCCATTTGAATACTACATAATGAAACTTGAGTCAGTAAGCAAAATTTATACTCCATGATCAAATATTTATTGGAAGCTCCACTATGATCTTGGTGCACAGAATGTACCAAAATTTTATACGCCAAGACAATCTTCTACAGGTACATCGGGTAAGTTTTGGTGCAAGTGAAAGTATTTTGATGTTTTATCCTTAGGATGGAAACCAAGTTTGAGCATCTCATATTTACTACAGCTATTCAATGCAATAAGTACAAACTGCCCCTCGAGCATGTTGTATACATTGTTTAATCTATTTAATTACAATCATGTAGATAGAGGAGTGTTAGAAGGCTGCTATCATTAATTTCACAAAAGTTGGCCAGCACTAAAAGCACTTCTCATGAGCCCTAACTGCTTCACAGTGGCAGCATGAAACGCAGCTTAAATGTACAAGAATATAATATCATCATTCTGTCAAGTTTTGGGGAAAAAGTGCTAGCAGAGAGTGCATTTAATTTAGCAAAATCTCCTCGGGTGATTGCAACAAAAGAGGAAAGTAAAATTAAAAAGAGAGTGGAAAAAGAAACCAAGTGTGACAGCTTACCTGAGCCATTGGAAACTCTTGTGAAGTGTAAGTCCATACAAATTTATCATCAGTAGAATCGTTTGATGCCTCACCCATTGGGTCATCTATTGGAGACTTGGCATGACCCATTCGGAATCTCACAGCTCTGGCTGAATATATGGGTAGACCCCACTGAAAATAAGCTGGATGCAAAAACACAACTTATCATCAATTATAAGAATTAAAAGGTTAGGATAAATTGGAAAAGCAGATATTTTCCTAAACCTTCAGAATATTAACCTTTGAAAGGTTGTATGTTGATTTCAGAAATAACACACAGATCACCAACCAACTTATATATCAGTGTCTCAGGCACAGCAGGATTGCTATGTCCTTTACTTGACCAGTATGAAGCTCTCCTAGCAACTCTATCGCTAGGTTCCAGAGTATTGTGAATGCTTTCCTCTGGATAATTATCAGTGCTGGAAGCATAGATTGGCTCAAAAATCAATCCCCTGACAGGAAATGATGTACAACCTCGAGCTAAAAAGGTATAAACTCTATTCTCACTCTCTGAACTCTGCCCTTTCACAAAATTTTCAGATTCACCTTCAGCAGGCTCTTTCAACCTGCAGCTTGGTTCAACTACATGATCAACTTTAGATAACTGCGGAAACATTCTCAAGCACAGCTGCTTACAGAGCCCATTTTCAATCACTGCAAAACATAGAAAAGCATATGTTACTTTCAATTACAAGACAAACGTTTCTCAAAGTTCCTTTACTTAAAGCTTTTTAGGAAACAGTGTGGCTTTCTTATTCTTTTCCATCATGAAAAATGAATCAGGAAGTAAACATACAATTTAAAACCTGCTTTCAAAATATTACAATCATAAAGTTGGTACAAGAACATAATTAGGAATGGCTAAAACATGATCTCTTTAAGCAAGGCTATACCTAAAAATTTTCTTGTTTCTTTCCCATGAAAGCAAGTAGTGGCAAAAATCCATAAACATATACCAAATACTTCAACTTACCATGATGTCGCCAAGACGGTGAGACACAGCTAACACGAACAAGGTCAGATAGATCATCCAAACACATGAGAATCTTCATTGACATATCGCGATCAAGACTATCCAAAAAATCAATAGGATTCTCCATTCTAAGAAACAATCTGAAACAATTAGCAGTTCAGCTGTCTCTTGCCTCAAAGCCTGACCTAGAATCACATAGCAACGCATAAAATAACTTTAAAACATTGATTGAAGTAAAAAAATAAATAAACATAATCCAAATAGTTCGAAAGACACACAGAGGCACTCGGATTCATCACAGCTCTTACACATTTGAACCCTGAAAATCAACCCTAATGTTTAAAACATTCTAAAGACAAAATTACCACGACAGAAATAAACTATGAAAGTTGAAATGAAGTGAAAGCACCCACAATTATCGAAACTCAATAAAACTTGGGTGTATATCTAAAATCTGAAATTTATAAGAAAATTCAAAAGATATAACAGCAATTCCAATCGGATACACTTACCTAATACAAAATTTGAAGAATTTAGTTGAAGCCCGGATGATAAACGATTCAATTGAACGGATTAGGTTGGATAAATGAAAGTACATAAAGTATTTGTAAAAAAATATCACAAAATCAGAATGAAAATTGAAAAGGAAACAAAAACTGAAAATTGACAGATGAAAAAAAATCAGAAAAAGGAAAAGAAAAGAAAACTTTAGCGGGAGACAAATAGAGAGAGTTACAGTATGTCAATAAGAAAGGAGAAAGTTTTTACCTATGAGAAAAGTAAGGTACAATAAGAATCAGGAAAAAGCTCAAACCCTAGAGCATGAAAGGAAGCATAAACAAAATTCAGAGAGAGAAATGTTTGTTCATCGTCGCCGTGGAGTGACAAAAGACAACCAATTATGGCAATCAATTGAATAAAATTTTTATATAAATTATAGTGGAGTAACCTACATTTATATCACTTTTTTTTTTTAATAAATGTAGCATTACTCTAATCATTATAGGGTATGGTTCATTATTATTTTTCTAAATCTTGTCTTACAGACGTCACTTTATGATAAGTTTTACTTTACCTTAAGAAGATAATAAGAGCTAGGCCTCTTGTTACTTATTTTCTGACTTTCCCACTTCAACACTCTCACATCATATGTCTTGTAGGCCCCATCTTTGTTTTTTATAATTTTTTTCTTTTATTATTATTACTTATTGTTGAGTTTAAGAATATGGTAACGTAATTTATATGGATTTAATAAGAGTCGATTATAAATAATTAAATATCTCAATTATTTCAGTTATCAAAGATTTAATTTCATTTATTAATCGTACACCTAAAAATCTAGAAGGTGCTCGACGCCAACACAGCAATAATTTGATGGGCCGACCTTGGACCTTTTGGCAAGAGGACTGAGTTGAATTGCAATCGCAATATATTTAGGAGAAAACGACATATTTTCACCCAAGGTTTCACGAAATTTTAAGTTGGTACTCAAAGTTTCATGTATTCCAGATTCTTACCCTTAAAGTAACAGAAAATGATTAGATATAACGACTCAAGGGTAAATTGATCATTTTACAGAGGAGGCGTACATTAGCAGATTATCGCCCCTAACAAAGCTCCGATGCACGTTAGCCAACATCATCATCGACGTTTTTCGCCCTTTTTCGGCTATTCTTCCACCCAAAATCACCCTTGTCACCACCATTCGAACTCTCATCATCCCCTCTACAAAACCTTACCCTTCACAACCCCTCATCACTCGTCGATCGCCAGCCACGACAGCTGCCACATGCCATTGGTTTTTGTTGGTCTCCACTAGTAAATGGCCACTAAACGGTTGCTGAGGACATAGGGGTTTTGTAAATTTGGAGACGTTGGATGCAGTGGTGATGTCCAATTGGATTTTCGTCGCCAGAATCCAATGAAGAACAACAAAAACCTAAGCTTGACAGCGTCGACGATTGGAGGGGCCAATGAGTCAGGAACCAAAGGGGTTTTGGACGACGGACGATAGGGAAGATGATGGAGGTGACCAGAGGGTTTCACGCCATCGAAAACAGCCTAGATCCGGTGAAAACCGAGAGGGTGCACGGTCACTAAGGGTGTAATTGAAGTAATTTAAAAATAAGATAGTTAATTTTATAATTTTAATAATTTAGAGATTAAAACATAATTTATTAATTTAGGGTTAAGGGCATTATGATAATTGCACCCTCACTACCCTAAAAATTGTTAACAGTGTTATTTTAAGGGTGAAAATCTGGAATAAATGGGACTTAGGATACCAACTTGGATTTCATCAAACCTTGGGTGGGAATATATCGTTTACTCTATATTTAGCCTGGAAACCTCTAAAAGCATAGATCACAAGTTTCCTTAAACAGAAAATCAAGAAATGAATGTAAACTATCAGGTAATTACTAGAGTTCTTACTTGGTTGATAATTCTAGGATCTCGAAAAATTAATTGAAGTACATGTAAGCTAATCTGAACATTTCCGGTCATCCAAAAAAAAAAAAAAAAAGAATAAAGAAATAAATGTACATTTTCCCAATGGGAAACCTTCCAATTGATAGAGAATATAAAACTCAACTACCAACAATTAGTATTGTTTCATCGAAAAATATATATATAACCACAAAAAAAAAGATATATACAGAAGAAACACACCGGAAGGATTAGTATGTACATCTCTCCTAAAACAGCGTCACACCCACGAAACCAACCTGAATCTAAATGGCTATTGACTATGGGGCTCCCACGCCTTCGTATTTTACAGGAATGATTTAATCTAATCAGTTTTCAGAGTAGAGGGGTATATCAGAACACTGTCTACACAAAGACCGCCTTTGGTGTGAGTACAATCGATCTGAGTTGATGAAAATTTGATCCTTGTCAGTGCATTAGGATTCGCAACTACAAACTCTGCTACATGGTAGTGAACCCATGTTCCAGGATTATCCAAAAAGTATTGGGATACAGCATGTTGACCATCTGAAGTTGTTAGCTCGAAACGTACAGGTTTCATATCCCACCCGTGGATGTGTTCAGAGTTGCATACACGCCGACCTAGTTTCTTCGATGGCTTCCCAAGATAGAGTCTGAAGAATAGGCTATACGTCCCTGAAGGAAATTGAAACTCAAACTCTCCGGCTACTTCAAACCACCATATTTGTTGAAGATATGCCACTGTCTGGAATCTACACGCAAAGAAAGTTAACCAAGAGAAAACACTGCATTATAATTCTCAGGCTTGTCTATACTGCCATCCCTATGAAGTAAAAACCCATTCTTTTTCGAGTCATGATGAAATCATTTATATTAGTTGATAGCCAATGAAGTACCGTTGTTAAAACTAAACTAAACTAAACTATGTGAACTCATAAATCTGGAATGACAAGCTTATACTTAAGAGGGCAAAAAAGAAAAATCAAACTGAATTTTGTTTTAAAAAAAAAAAAAAAAAAAATCCAGTTGTGATCTGAATTCTGAATTTTATCCGTGTATGATAATACCTAAATTTTGTGTGGGAGTCAGGTTCATGACTTCAGAAAACACATATGCGCTCCCTTTAGCAGGGCAAAACAAATCCAAATCTTAGTAATATATTTTGTTATAACAAGAGTAAGAAAACAACTCATTCCAGTGTGATCAAACACTAATAATCATAAACAAAATCTCTTGAATTTCTGACCTCTCACAATTCCACTAATCATCCAAACCCAATTAAATGCAGAATTTCAAAGTTTTAAAAAAGTTCTCACCTTGATTCCCGAACTGAAATGGGAGTCCAGTATCTCCTATCATCTATCCCAGTAATCTTTAAAGCTTTAGAAGAAATAGAAACACAAACTCCACCAGTAATTTTATCCAGCCATATCTCCTGTACATATATAAATAACCAACATCCCCGTCACATCTCCAATCAAGAAACACATACGAAAATTCAAAAACATAGGAATACAAAACAAACCTTTGTGCCACCGTCAAAGGGATTGGGACAGCAAAGCATGGCGTAAAGATCTTTCTTGCTCAAATTCACTGTCTTTTTTGTATTATCACCAAACACTTTCTCCATAATGAACCCATAATTGGAAGGCAATTTCGATTCCCATATAAAATTGGCTGAAGAAGCACCCCGAAAAGCCCGATTCAGTCGAGCCAATTGGCAGATCTCAGGTGGGTCTAAATGCATCAAAACCATTGCCACACAGCTCTCTGGAATGTCATCTAATCTTGGCATCAATGAAGACAAAGCGTCTCCATTGGTGTCTGATACAATACCAGACATAATAGCCCCCATCAAACCCAGAACCCAAACTCTGATTCTGGATTTTAACGAAGAAACAAGAAGAAAGAAAGAAGGCTTTAGTTTGAAGCTGAATATATAAATTAGAAATTGACAATGTTTCAAGTCTCCACTGGGCCTTTAGCGAGAAGACACGTAACACGTAGAGTCGACCGAATTTCAGAGAGAGAGAGAGTTTGTGTCCCACGGGACATTAAGTCAAGTTTCTGAATCAGCAGTCAGGTCTGGTGGTTTGAGCCTTTGAGGTGTCAGCAAGGATCTTATCCAGTACAACAATTAAAGAAAATAAAAAAAGACAAAGCTATCACTTTGTCCTAGGTTTAGAGGGATGTGACTACACGCGCTTGGTTGTAAGTGGCGGTTGTGTTTATTTCTATTTCAGACGCACTCTAAGGCTCGTGGATAATACCTGGATTAGTTTTTAGTTAGTATTTCTTATTGGTGTTTGAATAATAATACGGGAGAACGACATTTTTTCACCCAAGTTTTGGCGAAATGCCACTGTCTCTCCCGTCAAGTTTTAAAATGGTATTTTTTCACCTTTTATCTGATTATATTAGTATTTTTTATTAATATTTAATTAAAAAGATAAAAATACTCTTAAATAATTTATTATAAATTAAAATTTAGTTAAGTTATAGTAATTATTTGTTAGTTTAAATGTAAAGATATCTTTTCTTTCTTTTGTTTATTTAATTAATTAAAAATATTAATTTTTTATATTAATTAGTAAAAATAAAAATATTATATTATGAAAAATATTATAAATTTAGTAGATTATTGAATAATAGTAATAGATATTGATGATATTATAAATAAATATTAAAGTCATTTAACTTTAAACAATTTCATAACATTACTCCTAATTTTTTAGTTGAGATTAACTATTTTTTCTTTTTTGGTCTTTTAATATTTGATTTTTTGACTAATTAAAAAATAATAAAAAATTTATAAATTTAAATATTAAGGATATTTTTATTTTTTGAATCAAAACATAACAAAACCTAACCAATTGTAGAAAAGTATCATTTTATCAAATCTTGGGTGGAAAAATATCACTCCCTAATAATATTAGCCAAAACGATAAGTATTAAGGTTCAAAAAATTAAGAGTAATGGTATTTAATTAAGCTCTTGTCCACATCTACATGGTTGGTTGGGTGGCATATTTTAACTTTATCTTTTAATCATATAATTTTACACTTTCACTAGATAGAAAAGTTGTCGTAGCCACAGGTGTCCCAATACTGCCATTACTTTTTGTAAAAGGTAAACCAACCACATTTCTTTTGATTTAATTAAGATAAGGATAGAAACTTGATGGCTTTTCCTAATTTAATTGATTAATTATCATCCACTGATAGGGACTTTCGTGAACAGAGAAGTGGGTAATAATTTAGGAAATGAAATATTATAAAGGACACGTGTAATATATTCACCGAATATAGAGATGCAGAAAGAGACAGAAAAACCATTATCCTGTTTATTGTTTATTTTAATGGAATTAAATTGCTTCATTTAAAAACTCATTATTATACAACAAAACTAGTGATACAATTCCCAATAAGAAGACAAAAAGAATTTGCAGTTTGGAATTTTTGGTTGAGTTTTGAATATTTTAACAGTATCGTTGAACTTCAATTTTTTTTTCTATCAATTTTTCTTTTTCTAATTTAAACGAGATATTCAGATTAGTTTATACATATTTTAATTAATTTTTAGACGTTATTGATCACTCTATAAGCCTAAATAATCAATAAGTCACAATATTATAGTAGTAGGTGATCCTAAAGTTTAAACTCAATAACTCAAATAAATGAACAAACTTCCTTGACCGTGAGATCAATCCCTTCACGTTAGGTTCAGGAAATGATATATTATTGAGAATGTTATCTTAATGAAAATATAGATTATCTTAAAAATTACGGCGAAAGTTTAGGGAAATGTGTTTGGTTGGTTAGAATAAATTAGTAGGTATGTTATATTAATATGTTTGGTTGAGAGAAATAAATTGGTGTATGTTTTATATAATTTTCTAAATTGCTCTCCTTTTTAAATATTAACATAATATTATTTTTATTTAATTTTTTGAATAATTTCTTTTAACCGCCTACATTTCAAATTTAGCTAAAACACCTCAGCAACAAAAAAAGTTTGAAACTTAAAAAAACACCCCCAATCACCCCAAGCCACTGCCGACAGCTTGCCACCACTGCCGTCAAATATCTTCACGGCCAGATCATGGTCATTTCATAGCCAAATATATTTGGCCGTGAAATACTAGATCTGGCTGTTTTCGACCATGGATCACATATCCGTGGCCGAAAATAGCTGGTCGGTCGTTCGCCATTCCGTCATCGCCAAAGGTGGTTTTCAGCGGTTGGTGGTAGTGGCCAGATCCAGCCACCACCCTTAGGTAATTTTGTATAATTTTATGGGTATTTATGTCTTAAAAACTTTGTATATAAGGATAAAATAGTTAATTGATACTTTTGTAAATTATTTTTAAAGCAAGGGTATTATTGTCCTAAAATTTTATTAATACAGGATAAAATTGTAACAAAAATAAGATAACCAAGTAATCTTAAAATATCTTAAAAAAAATAGAGGTAATTAGATTACCTCATATATTATCAACAGTAACTACTATTGATATTAGAAAATTACCAAAATCTTACATTACTTAACAATCAAATATAATAGTAAAATAATATAAGATCCTCAATAATCTCATATAACCTCGACCAAACAAACGGTTTTTTTCTAGTCAAAATTGCTAAGCTTTGCCATGTCTTCTATAGATCACTGTCTATTGGGCTGCGAAGTCATTTACAAAGGCCTTATTAAAGTTAAGAGTGTATTTTAAATCACGGCCTACTTGACCCATTTTGTTCTTCGTAATATTAAATGATAAATTTGTGCATTAAAAAATAATAACAATAATACTCATGCATGTTGAATGGTAATTTATTCATCTACTTCTTTCCAAATTAAAATGTTGAGCTCCTGCAACTTCAACAAAATCCTTTAAATTTATTCACGCATGTTGAGTGGTAATTAAAATAAACTGATTTGTTTTAAAAAAAAAAAAAAAAATCCAGTTGTGATCTGAATTCTGAATTTTATCCGTGTATGATAATACCTAAATTTTGTGTGGGAGTCAGGTTCATGACTTCAGAAAACACATATGCGCTCCCTTTACAGGGCAAAACAAACTCAAATCTTAGTATATATTTTGTTATAACAAGAGTAAGAAAACAACTCATTCCAGTGTGATCAAACACTAATAATCATAAACAAATCTCTTGAATTTCGACCTCTCACAATTCCACTAATCATCCAAACCCAATTAAATGCAGAATTTCAAAGTTTTAAAAAAGTTCTCACCTTGATTCCCGAACTGAAATGGGAGTCCAGTATCTCCTATCATCTATCCCAGTAATCTTTAAAGCTTTAGAAGAAATAGAACACACAACTCCACCAGTAATTTTATCCAGCCATATCTCCTGTACATTAATAATAAACCAACATCCCCGTCACATCTCCAATCAAGAACACATACGAAAATTCAAAAACATAGGAATACAAAACAAACCTTGTGCCACCGTCAAGGGATTGGACAGCAAAGCATGGCGTAAAGATCTTTCTTGCTCAAATTCACTGTCTTTTTTGTATTATCACCAAACACTTCTCCATAATGAACCCATAATTGGAGGCAATTTCGTTCCCATATAAAATTGGCTGAAGAAGCACCCCGAAAAGCCCGATTCAGTCGGCCAATTGGCAGATCTCAGGTGGGTCTAAATGCATCAAAACCATTGCCACACAGCTCTCTGGAATGTCATCTAATCTTGGCCATCAATGAAGACAAAGCGTCTCCTGGGGTCTGATACATACCAGACTAATAGCCCCCATCAAACCCAGAACCCAAACTCTGATTCTGGATTTTAACGAAGAACAAGAAGAAGAAGAAGGCTTAGTTTGAAGCTGAAATATAAATTAGAAATTGACAATGTTTCAAGTCTCCACTGGCCTTTAGCGAGAAGACACGTAACACGTAGAGTCGACCGAATTTCAGAGAGAGAGAGAGTTTGTGTCCCACGGGACATTAAGTCAAGTTTCTGAATCAGCAGTCAGGTCTGGTGTTTGAGCCTTGAGGTGTCAGCGGATCTTATCCGTACAAATTAAAGAAAATAAAAAAGACAAGCTATCACTTTGCCTAGGTTTAGAGGGATGTGACTACACGCGCTTGGTTGTAAGTGGCGGTTGTGTTTATTTCTATTTCAGCGCACTCTAAGGCTCGTGGATAATACCTGGATTATTTTTTAGTTAGTATTTCTTATTGGTGTTTGAATATATACGGAGAAACATTTTTTCACCCAAGTTTTGGCGAAATCCACTGTCTCTCCCGTCAAGTTTTAAAATGGTATTTTTTCACCTTTTATCTGATTATATTAGTATATTATAGGGTATGGTTCATTATTATTTTTCTAAATCTTGTCTTACATACGTCACTTTATGATAAGTTTTACTTTACCTTAAGAAGATAATAAGAGCTAGGCCTCTTGTTACTTACTTTCTGACTTTCCCACTTCAACACTCTCACATCATATGTCTTGTAGGCCCCATCTTTGTTTTTTATAATTTTTTTAATTATTATTACTTATTGTTGAGTTTAAGAATATAGTAACGTATTTTATATGGATTTAATAAGAGTCGATTATAAATAATTAAATATCTCAATTGTTTCAGTTATCAAAGATTTAATTTCATTTATTAATCGTACACCTAAAAATCTAGAAGGTGCTCGACGCCAACACAGCAATAATTTGATGGGCCTACCTTGGACCTTTTGGCAAGAGGACTGAGTCGAATTGCAATCGCAATGTATTTAGGACAAAACGACATATTCCCACCCAAGGTTTCACAAAATTTTAAGTTGGGACTCAAAGTTCTATTTATTCCAGACAAAAAATGGTTAGATATAACGATTCAGGAATAAATTGGTTATTTTATAGAGAAGGCACACATTAGCAGATTATCGCCCCTAACAAAGCTCCAACGCACGTTAGCCAACATCATCGTCGACGTTTTTCGCTCTTTTCCGACAATTCTTCCACCCAAAATCACCCTTGTCACCACCATTTGAACCCTCATCCTCTCCTCTACAAAACCATACCCTTCACAACCCCTCATCACTCACCGATCGCCAGCCACGACAACTACTACATGCCACTGGTTTTCGTCGGTCTCCACTAGCAAATGGCCACTAAACGATTGCTTGGAACATAGGGGTTTTGTAGATTTTAAGACGTTGGTTGCAGTGGTGATGTTCAATTGGATTTTCGTCACCGGAATCGACTAGAATCCAGAGAAGAACGACGAAAACCTAAGTCTGACGGTGCCGACAATTGGAGTGGCCAATGAGTCGAGAACCAGAGGGGCTTTGGACGACGGACGATGGGGAAGGTGATAGAGGTGACTATGAGGTTTAACGCCATCGAAAACAACCTAGATCTGGTAAAAACCGAGAGGGTGTGTAGTCACTAAGGGTGTAATTGAAGTAATTTGAAAATAAGATGGTTAATTTACACTTTTAGTAATTTAGGGGTTAAAACATAATTTATTAATTTAAGGTTAAGGGCATTATGATAATTGCACTCTACTATCTAAAAATGTTAACAGTGTTATTTTAAAGGTGAGAATCTGGAATAAATGAAACTTGGAATACTAACTTGGATTTCGTCAAACCTTGATCGGGAATATGCCGTTTACTCTATATTTAGCCTAGAAACCTCTAAAAGCATATATCACAAGTTTCCTTGAACGAAAAATCAAGAAATAAATGTAAACTATCAGCGGTTCGATAGGAACTCTTGAGTTTAACTTCTTTCTCTTCAGTTACTAATAGAAGTAATTACTAGAGTTCTTACTTGGTTGATAATTTTAGGATCTCAAAAAATTAATTGAGGTACATATAAGCTAATCTGAACATTTCCGGTCATCCAAAAAAGAATAAAGAAATGAATGTACATATTCCCAATGGGAAACCTTCCAATTGATAGAGAATGTAAAACTCAACTGCCAACGATTAGTATTGTTTCATCGAAAAATATATATATAACCACAAAAAAAAAGATATATACAGAAGAAACACACCGGAAGGATTAGGATGTACATCTCTCCTAAAACAGCGTCACACCCACGAAACCAACCTGAATCTAAATGGCTATTGACTATGGGGCTCCCACGCCTTCGTATTTTACAGGAATGATTTAATCTAATCAGTTTTCAGAGTAGAGGGGTATATCAGAACACTGTCTACACAAAGACCGCCTTTGGTGTGAGTACAATCGATCTGAGTTGATGAAAATTTGATCCTTGTCAGTGCATTAGGATTCGCAACTACAAACTCTGCTACATGGTAGTGAACCCATGTTCCAGGATTATCCAAAAAGTATTGGGATACAGCATGTTGACCATCTGAAGTTGTTAGCTCGAAACGTACAGGTTTCATATCCCACCCGTGGATGTGTTCAGAGTTGCATACACGCCGACCTAGTTTCTTCGATGGCTTCCCAAGATAGAGTCTGAAGAATAGGCTATACGTCCCTGAAGGAAATTGAAACTCAAACTCTCCGGCTACTTCAAACCACCATATTTGTTGAAGATATGCCACTGTCTGGAATCTACACGCAAAGAAAGTTAACCAAGAGAAAACACTGCATTATAATTCTCAGGCTTGTCTATACTGCCATCCCTATGAAGTAAAAACCCATTCTTTTTCGAGTCATGATGAAATCATTTATATTAGTTGATAGCCAATGAAGTACCGTTGTTAAAACTAAACTAAACTAAACTATGTGAACTCATAAATCTGGAATGACAAGCTTATACTTAAGAGGGCAAAAAAGAAAAATCAAACTGAATTTTGTTTTAAAAAAAAAAAAAAAAAAAATCCAGTTGTGATCTGAATTCTGAATTTTATCCGTGTATGATAATACCTAAATTTTGTGTGGGAGTCAGGTTCATGACTTCAGAAAACACATATGCGCTCCCTTTAGCAGGGCAAAACAAATCCAAATCTTAGTAATATATTTTGTTATAACAAGAGTAAGAAAACAACTCATTCCAGTGTGATCAAACACTAATAATCATAAACAAAATCTCTTGAATTTCTGACCTCTCACAATTCCACTAATCATCCAAACCCAATTAAATGCAGAATTTCAAAGTTTTAAAAAAGTTCTCACCTTGATTCCCGAACTGAAATGGGAGTCCAGTATCTCCTATCATCTATCCCAGTAATCTTTAAAGCTTTAGAAGAAATAGAAACACAAACTCCACCAGTAATTTTATCCAGCCATATCTCCTGTACATATATAAATAACCAACATCCCCGTCACATCTCCAATCAAGAAACACATACGAAAATTCAAAAACATAGGAATACAAAACAAACCTTTGTGCCACCGTCAAAGGGATTGGGACAGCAAAGCATGGCGTAAAGATCTTTCTTGCTCAAATTCACTGTCTTTTTTGTATTATCACCAAACACTTTCTCCATAATGAACCCATAATTGGAAGGCAATTTCGATTCCCATATAAAATTGGCTGAAGAAGCACCCCGAAAAGCCCGATTCAGTCGAGCCAATTGGCAGATCTCAGGTGGGTCTAAATGCATCAAAACCATTGCCACACAGCTCTCTGGAATGTCATCTAATCTTGGCCTCAATGAAGACAAAGCGTCTCCATTGGTGTCTGATACAATACCAGACATATTAGCCCCCATCAAACCCAGAACCCAAACTCTGATTCTGGATTTTAACGAAGAAACAAGAAGAAACAAAGAAGGCTTCAGTTTGAAGCTGAATATATAAATTAGAAATTGACAATGTTTCAAGTCTCCACTGGGCCTTTAGCGAGAAGACACGTAACACGTAGAGTCGACCGAATTTCAGAGAGAGAGAGAGAGAGTTTGTGTCCCACGGGACATTAAGTCAAGTTTCTAAATCAGCAGTCAGGTCTGGTGGTTTGAGGTGTCAGCGAGGATCTTATCCAGTACAACAATTAAAGAAAATAAAAAAGACAAACCTATCACTTTGTCCTAGGTTTAGAGGGATGTGACTACACGCGCTTGGTTGTAAGTGGCGGTTGTGTTTGTTTCTATTTCAGACGCACTATAATGCTCGTGGATAATACCTGGATTAGTTTTTAGTTAGTATTTCTTATTCATGTTTGAATAATAATACGGGAGAACAGCATTTTTCCACCCAAAGTTTGGCGAAACGTTGCTGTCTCACGCTCAAGTTTCAAAATGATATTTTTATATCTTTTATTTTTATTAATATTTAATTAAAAAGATAAAAATATTTTTAAATAATTTATTTTAAATTAAAATTTAATTAAGTTATAATAGTTATTTATTAGTTCAAATATAGAGATACTTCTTTTTTCTTTGTTTATTTAATTAATTAAGAATATTAATTTTCTATGTTATTGAGTAAAAATAAAAACATTATATTATAAAAATATTATAAATTTAATAAATTATTAAATAATAATGATGAAATATTAATGACATTATAAATAAATATTAAGGTCATTTAACTTTAAACAAATTCATAACATTACTCTTAATTTTTTAGTTGAGATAAACTATTTTTTCTTTTTCGACTTTTTAATATTTGATCTTTTAGCTAATTAAAAAATAATAAAAAATTTATAAATTCAAATATTTAAAGATATTTTTATTTTTTAAGTTAAATATTAATAAAAAACATAACAAAATCTAGCTTGATTTTTATTTCAAACTTTCTATGATTTTAAAACTTAAAGGGTGAAAAAATATTGTTTCGCTAAACCTTGGGTGGGAAAACGTCGCTCTCCCTAATAATATTAGCCAAAATGATGCGTATTAAAGTTCAAAAAATTAAGAGTAAGGGTATTTAATTAAGCTCTTGTCCACATCTACATGGTTGGTTGGGTGGCATATTTTAACTTTATCTTTTAATCATATAATTTTACACTTTCACTCAATAGAAAAGTTGTCGTAGCCACAGGTGTCCCAATAATGCTATTACTTTTTGTACATTTAATAAAAAGGTAAACCAACAACATTTCTTTTGAATTAATTAAGATAAGGATAGAAACTTGATGACTTTTCCTAATTCAATTGGTTAATTATCATCCACTGATAGGGACTTTCGTGAACGGAGAAGCCGGTAATAATTTAGGAAATGAAATATTATAAAGGACACGTGTAATATATTCACCGAATATAGAGATGCAGAAAGAGAGAGAAACCATTATCCGGTTTATTGTTTATTTTAATGGAACTAAATTGCTTCATTGATTGATTTGGGGTTAAAAACTCATTATTATACAACAAAACTAGTGATTCAATTCCGAATAAGAAGACAAAAAGAATTTGCAGTTTGAAATTTTTGGTTGAGTTTGGAATATTTTAACACTATCGTTGAACTTCAAATCATACAATTCAAAATTAACCTGTTTTTTATTTTTTTCTATCAATTTTTCTTTTTTTAATTTAAATAGGATGTTCAAATTAGTTTACGCATATCTTAACTAATCTTCAGAGGTCATTGATCACCTTACAAGCCCAAATGACTAATAAGTCATAATATTATAATAGTATGTGGTCCCAGTGACAAAACTAGGATTTTTGTCGAGGGAGGCCTCCGCGGCTCCGCTATTATTTGTCAAATAATTAGTAAAAACTTTAAAAAATTACCAAATTTTAATAAAAAAATAATACAATATTAAAAACATGAGAAAAAAGAATATACAATAACACAATATTTTCTTACTTGAATAAATTTATGAGAAGCAAAATTTTGAGTAAAAGTGTTAAGTAAACCTTAAACAAAAACTTCTTTTAATATTTTTATTTTTGGCTTTCAAATATTATAATATAAATTTTTATAGCGTTGATCAAACCTAGCCTAATTAAGTTAAAATCATCCAAAACTTATATCAAGTCAACGTTATGTTGACTTTTAATATGAATTAATAAAATAGGAGAAATTTTTTTAGTATAAAAATAGTTAGTAACTCAAATTTCTTAAATAATTTTAAACAATTGAACAGTGACGTTTAAAATGTAGGAAAGTGGTGGGTGAATGATGAAGAATAACGTCCTTTAAAATATAGTTTAAGTTTTTATTTGAGAAAATAGATTCATTCTTAGACAGAAAATACAAAATAAACTACAAGATTAATATCTTTTTCTCTCAAATTATAATAAAAAACCTAAAAGAGAAAAAAAAAAATGATTCAATCCTTAAATAAACTAAATTGAAATGAACAATACATATACTTAAAATCGATAAAACAGAAAACATAGCTAATTATGACACCTTGAGTAGTGAAAATTTAACAATTTCAGTCTTAAAAAATTTTAAGAGCGAATAACATGAGAAAGAGAAATAGAGAGTAAAGAATTTGAGGATAAAATCATAAAAAAACAAGTAAAGCTGTGTAGAAAAACACCGGAGAGAGTTTTAAACTTTTAACATGATGTGGGCTTAGAATATATATATATAATAAGTTTTTTTGTAGACCTTAGTATGTATAATAGTTCTTATTTTTTAAAAATCTGAAGGTGGGTCTGGGTATATATGTTAATTAATAATTTTTTATGGCTTCTATATCAATAATTTTTTTTTTCAAATCTGAGGGTAGGCCTGGGGGTTGAATCCGCCTCTGGGTGGCCCTAAAGTTTAAACCCAATAACTCAAAGAAATGAGTAAACCTCCTTGATCGTGAGGTCAATTCTTTTGCGTTTAGTTCAGGGAATGATATATTAATGGAAAGATAGATAATCTTAAAAGTTACGACAAATGTTTAGAAAAATGTGTTTGATTGGTTGAAATAAATTGATAGGTATGTTATATTAATCAATAATATTATATTTATAAAGAAAACTTATAAAGATTTTCATACAAAATGAGGTGGCAAAAAATGAATAGAAGAATGAAACAAAAAGTCAAACTCATTAAATTAATTCTTCCATTCATTTTTTGCCACATCACTTTGTATGGAGATCTTTGTAAATTTTATTTGTAAGTGTAGTATTACTCTATATTAATATGGTTGGATCGGGTATGTTATATAATTTACTAAATTGCCCTCCTTTTTAAATATTAATATAATAGTATTTTTATTACATTTTTTGAATAATTTTTTTAACCCTCTACATTTCAGATTTAACTAAAACACCTCAAAAACAAAAAAAGTTTGAAACTTAAAAAAACTTCCCCAACCACCCCAAGCCACTGTCGGCGGCCTACCACCACGCCGCCAAATATCTTCACAGCCAAATATATTTGGCCATGAAACGATCAAGATCTAGTCGTGAAAGGCTAGATCTGACTATTTTCAGTCATGGATCTGTGATCCATGATCGAAAACAGTTGGCCAGTCATCCGCCATTCTGTCACCACCAGAGGTGGTTTCCGGCGGTTGGCGGTGGTGGCCAGATCCAGCCACCACCCTTAGGTAATTTTGTATAATTTCAGGGGTATTTATGTCTTAAAAAAATTGTATATAAGGATAAAATAGTCAATTTATATTTTTGTAAATTGTTTTTAAAACAAGGGCATTATTGTCCTAAAATTTTATTAATATGGGGTAAAATTATAATAAAAATAAGATAACTAAGTAATCTTAAAATATCTAAGAAAATAGAGATAATCAGATTACTTTCTATATTATCAACACTAACTACTATTGATATTAGAAGATTGTCGGAATCTTATATTATTTGACAACTAAATATATTAATCAAATAATATAAGATGACATTACCTCACTAATCTCATATAACCTCCGACCAAACCCACGGTTTTATTCTATCAAAATACCTAAGCTTCGCCATGTCCAGTTTCGGCCTTCTAAAGTCACTGTCTATTGGGCTGCGAAGTCATTTACAAAAGCCTTATTAAAGTTAGAGTGAATTTTAAATCACGGCCTACTTGACCCATTTTGTTCTTCGTAATATTAAATGATAAATTTATGCATTAAAAAACAATAACAATAATACTCATGCATGTTGAATGGTAATTTATTCATCTACTTCTTTCCAAATTAAAATGTTGAGCTCCTGCAACTTCAACAAAATCCTTTAAATTTATTCACGCATGTTGAGTGGTAATTAAAATATGATATTTGGAAAATACATGTAATTTCCCCCTCCCCCTCCCCCTCTTTTTTTTAACTAAGATGTTTGAGTTAACTTACGCGTACCTCAACTAATCATCGGGGTCCATTGAACGTCTATAAGTCCAATTGGTTAGGTAAGTCACAAATGTGATAAGTAGTCACTTTATGGAACTCGAATACAAGACCTCTGGATAACCCACCAAAATGACTAAAGTTTTGACATCCGGCCACAAGACTAATATATATAACAAATTTAACAATGATAAACCATTATGTAATCTTACTAATATGTTATGGAAATGAAAGAACAAGACACACACACACATATATTGTCGTATCATATATAAGTAGATGGGATGTAGAAATGTGCAGCATGTGAAACGATGGTTGTAAAAAGTAAGTAAAAAAGTAAAATGCATGTTCCAATCTTCTATGGTAGAGCAATCGCTTTGCATGCCAAATTTCACCAAATGCATGTTCCAAACTTCCATTGTAGGGCAATCACTTTTCATGCCCGTGTATGGCTAAAGTCAAATTTCACAGATTTTAGCTGGTTTTAAAGCAGCCAACTCAATCAAACATGGATTCAAGGGACCCATTCATTACACCTGTTCAATCAAATGAAATGAAATTACTACTCTCTTCCTAACTAGTATCAAATAAAAACCCTAGGTAAAGAAAGGTATAAGATAACCAGCTTTAGAAAAAGAGCTTTTTCTTCAAATAAAGTTATCTCCCTCTTTCAAGATTTAGCACGATTCATTTCTTGTCATCGTAGGCGACTCATGTTCATGTCCCATGCCATCACTAAACTAATCTGCGTTTTCTACATTGTGGACCAGTCATGGCATGCAATTACGTATATGCATTATTAAATCAGCCGATTTAAACACAGCCCACAGAGATTAATTTAATGGTATGCCCGCCCCAGTCCCCACCGCTCGCTGCATGAAGAATGGTTTTTGTAAGACTAAAAATTGATTGGTATTATATAATCAGTTCTTAGCAACTCTGTTTTCTTTCAAGAGTTTTAAATTAAAATCAAATGAAACTAATCATTGACCTTTTTTATACGTATAATGAATGAAAACCATGCACTAAAATCTAGCCAAAAATGTAGTAACGTGTGGCGCAGTCCTTACAAAATTCAATGGATGCATGTGCCCCCACTTAATTAATTAAATATTAGTTTACGAATCTTAATTCTCCACTTAAAGATAGCCATATATGTATTTTATATAAAATGGTTAAAGTCAAATTTTACCGGTTAATTAACAAGAAACAACTCTCATGGCCCATTATACCTAAACTCCACCCAAAAATTACCTATAATAAACGCCTGGATCAAGCTCAATGTTAAAGAGACTTATCACGAATCCGGAACAAAAACCCCAATACAAGAAAACTTCCACTTTCTGTGACTTCATAAATACATTACTACATACAAGTTGTGATGGAACAAGTTTTTGTACTAGAATTTGATCAAAACGACGTGTAGGGCCACAACTGAGATTAGTTAGTACATCATGAACAGAAGAAACTACGGCTAGGATAGTTTAGTTTTAGGCAGATACATATGTATATGCTTCTATGTCACTTCGACTGGACCTTCCTAATGATAAAAGGGATATTCCTAACTTTATTTCACAAATAAGACCTGTAAGTTTATAATTGATAGTTCATAATAGGTTTTATCTATCTAATAATAAATTCTGCTGGATTAAATGTAAGTTGATCAATTGTAAACTATCATGTTAACGTTTATGAAAGAAAGTTATAAAAAATATTTGTCAATCTATCTTTATTCTTATTTTAGACACACCCTTTTCAAATTGTGTTCCAATTTGATGAAATACTTAATTTAATTACCAAATGGATTTATTTTATAATAAAAAGATTGACAACAGATTGTCTTCATATTTACTTCTCAAATTCAATAAACATATTTACTTATATATTTTGTAGTTAACGTGTATTTTTTTTTTTTAATGATTAAGAGTGTTTGAGGTCAATTTACATACACCTCGATTAATCTTCGAAACTCTAAAGTTAATAATCATATAAACCCTATTTATCTCTATTAGCAAATACAACAAGCTCTTGCTCAATCATATTCGTCTCATCAACGTTACAACCTGATACTGAAAAATATATCTACTTTTTGCCAGTTAAATACAACTAAAAATTAACCAAAAATACAGTTATTTTTAATATTTACTATTAAAGAAAATAAAAGAGGGCCGGAGAATCCGTCTCTTTGATTCTATTACCTTAAACTGCACGCACGTTCAATAAATACAGACAAGCTATTGTTCAGCCAGATTCGTCTTTTATTACATGAAAGGAGCGCGTCACCCGCACGCTGCTGAAACCCCACCATTTCATTCATTAAGTGAATAAGTGGCCTTGAAAAGTTCACTCGTCACCATTACGTTTAATCTAATCTCTACAATCTCTACAGTCTACACAGACAATATATACACACACACTCTCAATTCATTCCTCTCCCATCTCCCTCTCCCTCTCTCTCTTTAATTTTGTTTTTTTGTTCTCTCTGGTTCTGTTTCAATGGCTCTGTCTTTCTCCTCGAGATTATCATATCTCCATTTCAAAACCAAGAAAACCAATCTTTATTATATAACTCTAATCACAATCTTGTGCACAATCTTTTATCTCGTTGGTGAATGGCAAAACTCTGGCTCTCCAAGTCCTCTTGCAACAAAATCTAGCATCATCGAATCCTTGTCATGCACCTCACAACATATAAACACAACCACAGAACACGTTCTTGACTTCTCAGCCCACCACTATGCCCCAGACCCTCCTCCTACGACGGCGCGTGTCACGCACATCCCTCCCTGCGACTCTAAGTACACAGAGTACATCCCATGCCATGACGTTCAAAGATCGTTGAAATTTGATAGAGACAGGCTTATTTATAGAGAGAGGCATTGCCCTGAAAAAAACGAGTTGTTGAAGTGTCGTGTACCGGCTCCCTACGGCTATAAGGTGCCGTTTAAGTGGCCGGAGAGTAGAGATTTCGCTTGGTACGCTAATGCGCCACATAAGGAGTTGACAGTGGAGAAAAAAAACCAGAATTGGGTCCGGGTTGAAGGAGACCGGCTCAGATTTCCTGGTGGCGGGACGATGTTTCCTCGTGGTGCTGATGCGTACATTGATGATATTGGGAAGCTGATTAATCTCAAAGACGGCTCCATAAGGACCGCCATTGATACTGGCTGCGGGGTACGTAAAACAATCTTTCTTTCATTATCAACTACATTAATTTTTTACAATGGTTAACTGGACCGCCCGGTTCATTTTAAACCGGATGGTTCATTGGTTAATATGCCTAACGTGAATGGCAATGGCTTGCCAGTATTGACCGGGTGAGTTGTTACTTATTAGGTTAGGCCGGCGGGGCAGGTTGAATTCGGGATGGTTGAATATTTTCTTCTACTTTTTTTATTTTTATTATTTATATATATATTGAGTTAAATAAGAAAGAAAATAGAAAATTAGAAGTGGGTTACTATTATTAAAGTTTTTATAAATATAAAAGGGAAAGTTTTTCTTATGGAATAATTGAGGGAGCGTAAGCTGTTTCAAACACCTTAACTAGAAAAAGATATTAAAGAAAAATTAGGTTAAATATAAAGATATGATTCCTTTTGTTATACTATAAGTATAGAAATATCTTAAATTTGGATGATTTTATAAAATATACTTTCATGTGTTACCAAATAATTCTAGATCTTAGAATCAATGTAATTTTGGAGAAATCCAGCTATAAACAGTTGGCCACTTGACCCATTCTTAAAAACAAAGTTAAAAAGTGGCCATCTTATTTACTTTTGTTTCACTCTTTTGGTGAAGTTTAGATAAATAATTATTAATATGGTTTTAAAACTAAATTAATCGTTTTATATAAATTCTTAGACTTTAAGTAAAGTTGTTCACCAAGAATAATAATAATAATATCTTCATGGGTTTCCAAGCTATATCTAACAGTAACTGGGGAAATAGGGTTGGGTCGGTTTGGTTATATCTAAACTATGATTATCACTGAATTGTGGTTGAAGGCACTTTTTAATAAATATATATATATAAATTACAGTTGAATGCTAGTTTGAAGGTGATAACATAGAGAAAGGGAATAGACTAACCAAACTCATAATTAATTTTCATACCTTTTATGGCTGATTCTCGGTACTTAAAATTCTTCTTTATTACGTACCATAAACTCATACCAAATTTGACTTATTTCTGTTTGATTATATTTTCACCAACCGTTAGGCAACTGACATTGATTATGTTTTTTGATGTTGTAACTTTCCAGGTAGCGAGTTGGGGAGCTTACCTTCTGTCAAGAAATATTATAGCAATGTCATTTGCACCAAAAGACACTCATGTATCTCAAGTGCAGTTTGCTTTAGAACGAGGAGTTCCAGCATTGGTTGGAGTCATGGCTTCTATGAGACTTCCTTACCCTTCAAGAGCTTTTGACATGGCACATTGTTCTCGTTGCCTCATTCCTTGGGGCCAGTATGGTAAACACTGCTTCAATGTTTCTTTTAATTTTTAAAAAACTTCCAATTGTAAAATTTGGATTAATGTTTTGATAAACTTGAGCAGATGGTCTTTATTTAATCGAAGTTGATAGAATTTTACGCCCTGGTGGGTACTGGGTTCTGTCTGGGCCACCAGTGAACTGGGAGAATCACTGGAGAGGCTGGAACAGAACAACTGAAGATCTTGACGCAGAACAGTCAGGAATAGAAAGGGTAGCAAAGAGTTTATGTTGGAAAAAACTGAAACAGAAGGGTGATCTTGCTATTTGGCAAAAACCAACTAATCATGTCCATTGTCAAGCTAATAGGAAGGTCTTTAAACAACCACGCTTTTGTAAAGCTCAAGATCCTGATATGGCATGGTAATACCATAAATCCCTGTATTTTTTTTATTTTTTTTTTTTGTTAATTTTTTATAATTTGACTGTACCAGAAGAAGCTTCAGATTTTAAAAAAGATGACAAAAAGTACTGCTACATAACACTTTAGAAGTAATACCAAAACCACTGAGAGAATAAAGGCACACGACAACAAAAACATTGTCTAACACTTTTTGTTAAACTGTTCAACCACCTTAATGCCTGNATATAAATTCTTAGACTTTAAGTAAAGTTGTTCACCAAGAATAATAATAATAATATCTTCATGGGTTTCCAAGCTCTATCTAACAGTAACTGGGGAAATAGGGTTGGGTCAGTTTGGTTATATCTAAACTATGATTATCACTGAATTGTGGTTGAAGGCACTTTTTAATAAATATATATATATAAATTACAGTTGAATGCTAGTTTGAAGGTGATAACATAGAGAAAGGGAATAGACTAACCAAACTCATAATTAATTTTCATACCTTTTATGGCTGATTCTCGGTACTTAAAATTCTTCTTTATTACGTACCATAAACTCATACCAAATTTGACTTATTTCTGTTTGATTATATTTTCACCAACCGTTAGGCAACTGACATTGATTATGTTTTTTGATGTTGTAACTTTCCAGGTAGCGAGTTGGGGAGCTTACCTTCTGTCAAGAAATATTATAGCAATGTCATTTGCACCAAAAGACACTCATGTATCTCAAGTGCAGTTTGCTTTAGAACGAGGAGTTCCAGCATTGGTTGGAGTCATGGCTTCTATGAGACTTCCTTACCCTTCAAGAGCTTTTGACATGGCACATTGTTCTCGTTGCCTCATTCCTTGGGGCCAGTATGGTAAACACTGCTTCAATGTTTCTTTTAATTTTTAAAAAACTTCCAATTGTAAAATTTGGATTAATGTTTTGATAAACTTGAGCAGATGGTCTTTATTTAATCGAAGTTGATAGAATTTTACGCCCTGGTGGGTACTGGGTTCTGTCTGGGCCACCAGTGAACTGGGAGAATCACTGGAGAGGCTGGAACAGAACAACTGAAGATCTTGACGCAGAACAGTCAGGAATAGAAAGGGTAGCAAAGAGTTTATGTTGGAAAAAACTGAAACAGAAGGGTGATCTTGCTATTTGGCAAAAACCAACTAATCATGTCCATTGTCAAGCTAATAGGAAGGTCTTTAAACAACCACGCTTTTGTAAAGCTCAAGATCCTGATATGGCATGGTAATACCATAAATCCCTGTATTTTTTTTATTTTTTTTTTTTGTTAATTTTTTATAATTTGACTGTACCAGAAGAAGCTTCAGATTTTAAAAGAGATGACAAAAAGTACTGCTACATAACACTTTAGAAGTAATACCAGAACCACTGAGAGAATAAAGGCACACAACAACAAAAATATTGTCTAACACTTTTTGTTAAACCGTTCAACCACCTTAATTCCTGTTGAATTTTCCTGTAACTAGGTACACCAAAATGGAGACTTGTTTAACACAATTGCCTGAAGTGTCAGATATTAAGGAAATCGCTGGGGGAAAATTAGCAAATTGGCCAGAGAGGTTGACTGCAGTCCCTCCTAGGATTTACAGTGGAAGTTTGAATGGAATTACAGCTGAAATGTTTAGAGAAGACACAGAACTATGGAAGAAAAGAGTGGCACATTATAAAACCGTGGACTATCAGTTGGCACAAAATGGGAGGTACAGAAACTTGCTTGATATGAACTCTTATTTGGGAGGCTTTGCAGCAGCTTTAGTTGATGATCCGGTGTGGGTCATGAACATGGTTCCTATTGAAGCTGAGATCAATACCCTTGGAGTCATCTACGAACGAGGGTTGATAGGATCGTATCAAAATTGGTAAGTTTAGATAATATTTTAAATTAAGCTGAAAATGAGTTTTGATCTCTACCTTACTAATTTCTACTTGTATATTAGTCTTGGAAGCAGATAAACTACCACAACCCCCAACTTATGGTCATGTTTACTCCTTTCGGAAAACAACCAAAAGTAGCTTATTTTGGCCATATCTTTTTCGTTGGAAGTTGTTGTTGCTAAATATTTTTTCTTGTAGGTGCGAGGCCATGTCTAATTATCCCAGGACTTATGACTTTATACATGCTGACTCTGTATTTAGTCTTTACAAGGACAGGTAATTAATTATATGAAGAAAGTCCTTGAGTGAGAATTTCATCATGAATAGTTTAACTAATTGTGACTAATTGTAACAGATGTGAAATGGAAGATATATTGTTAGAAATGGATAGGATTTTAAGGCCAGAAGGTAGTGTAATTATCCGAGACGATGTTGATATATTGGTGAAGATCAAGAGCTTGATAGATGGTATGCAATGGGATGGCAGGATTGCCGATCATGAAGATAGTCCCCATCAGAGACAGAAGATTCTTTTTGCAGTTAAACAATACTGGACAGCCCCTGCTCCTGACCAAGGAGCCGCTACAGCTTCGTAGTCATAATATTGCTCTTGTTTTCTTAATTTTTATTTTTTGGAAAGATTTTTTTTTATTTAATTCATTATTGGTACCAATTTTTTTCCCACTTTATGTGGGTATGCTCGTACGAGTTTAAGACGGTTGGTAGATATTTTATTATACATCAATGAAAGGTCTTTCAGTCCTTCTGTCCCTTTCTCTCTGGATCAAAACAAATTCGTTTTGTTCATTCTATTTTACTTATTCTTCAAGTAGTAAAGCATGCAAATTATAACAGTAATTGTGAGTAAAGGAAGTTCTAACTCGTGCAGAAAGTGATTAGAGGCGTACCGTGTCCGTTGTCACAAATAAAACTTTTGTTCCTCTTAATTTTGCATGAACTGCTTACTGCTCTGACCATCAGGATTTGATGGAGCTTAATGAAATAAATGACATCTAATTCTTGTTCTTTGTTTTCTATGCCTTTCAAGCAATGAAAAGTGAGGCCAACCGATGCACACTTCCAACTTTTGCAAATAATATTCCTGCATTCTCCCTTCTCTATCGCTGTGACATTAGTTTCCTAATATAGATTTAGGTGGAATGGTCAATTCCCACCAAAAATATTGAGATGTCGAGGTTTCTTTGGTATACAGTTGATACCCAATTGATGTCTCATATGCAACTAAGCAATTCCATGCCAAAATAACACATATGGGGCAGTTTTTTGTCATCATGGGGTTTGTGTTTCTATTCAGTTAGTTCTACAATTGATAACAATTTCTGCATGCATAGGAATAAATCTCCGAGTAGCTTGTGAAGTTGTAGCATGACTGTCATGAACATTGCACATATACCCATTAAAATGCAAGAATGCTTTCAAATTTATTTGAGCATACCAACCAAAGACTACAAACCTTTGCAATCCAACCTAATTTCGTGTCAAACTTTGTTCACATAGTTGATACGTTATTTGAGCTCTAGAAACAATGCTTCTTGTTTGCTGGTAAGGCCAAGTTCGCTAAAACTTAATGAGGCATCACAAATATCAAAAGCACGCCGAGGGTATGGTCTCACCTGTCCAGGAGAAACGAGAAATGAGTCGGAGTACATATATGTTTTCTTTAATGTTGAAAGAAATACACAAAAATATGTATGCCACCTAAAGTTGACTTGATCAGTCCACCGCCAGCTATAATAGAAAATAACTAGAAGAGGGGTCAAGAAAACTTACCACTCTGTAAGTGCCAGGTTTCACTACTCTACCAACATCTATGAAGTCAAATAGAAACTGCAAAGGAACAAAGCACAGTCAGTTGAACCATAAGACAATTGGTGCAATCATTTAAATATTTCAATCTACCTGAAGCTTGTCTGACTTGAGAAAAGGTCGGCCACGGCGGCTGCCATCTGGCATTTTAACAAGAAGAGTAACAGCATTCTCATCCTCTAATGCTGGCTCAGGAGGAAGAGAAGTTTCTTTTACAGCTAGCCATCTTTCAAGTTTCTGTCAACAGTGATATCAAAATGCAAATCAATGCCTTGGCAAGAACTGAAGAAATGAAAAAGCCTCTCTCTCTCTCTCTCTCTCTCTCTCTCGTAATTGTCAACAGAGAGCAAGTAATATTACACATATACTAAAAAATACACTAAAAGGACTTTAACATTAAAAGGTGAAAATGGGCAAATGATCAACATGTCACTAAGTATCTATTCAAGTTCACATGCAAAAGGCAATGATCCGTTGATCAAGCATGCTTAAGTGGGTTTTAAGTTAATACTATCCGCTTACCACATAAATAATCTCCCCACTTATACCCCCAGTCAATTAGTTGATTTAGATTCCATAATGACTTGTCTTAATAATACAAGTACTAAAAGAAATAATAAAAACCGTTAAAAAAACTAAGGGAAGAATCAAAAGTTTCCAATTTACTCTTCCTATCACCTTTTCACATTAGTTTCCTTGAGACAAACGTTTCTAATAATTGTTCGTGATAGTACAAACCATTTCCTCAGAACCTCAGACAGACATCAATTAACATTAATTCCATTATAAAAATAGAAAAAAAAAAAAAAAATCCAAATCATTATCTTGTTAGAATGGTTATCACTGAGTCAAGTTCACTGAATTTTAAAAAATAACATGGTGAATAGATGAGGTAACCAAATCAATAGATACGCTACCTCTTCCTCAAGCAATTTTTTATGAGTCTCATCTTCCTTCAAGTGAAGAGATTCAGCTTCCTTCAAAGCATTAGCTTCTTTTTCTCTGTCAGCCAACAGAGATGCCAAATACTCATCATCCTGCAAGCACATTTAAACAACATGTCTTAAAAAAAACATCATCAAGCATGCAATTGATATGGGGAAATTCTTACCTGTTGTTCACGTAATAACCGCTTTTCCATTACAGAGGATGATGGCTGGTGGGGAGCTGGACGGGAATTTGGACCCACACTTGTGTCTGGACCACTTTGTAGCTGAGGTTCATGCTTAGAGCGATGTGGAATGTCACCAAAAAGTTCTGTCTCAATCCTAACTACTTCATCAAGCTCTTCGGAAGAAATACCACCCCACTTGAATGTCCAGAATAAGGACATGATCCAAATAAGCAATTAGAGCAGTAATACACTTTGTATTATACTCTCTTTATTACATGAGTAAATTGAACATTATACTTAAACAAAGAAAAATACCTCATCAGAAGGTAAAACATATTTTTTGCTTTGGGGATGATCACCAGCGCTGTGTAAATTAGACAAGTAACTTTCAGATGATTGTGCTCGCACATCTTCAGCTCCCTCTTGGACTGACGAGTTTCCAGGCTTAAACTAAAAACAGTATCCCGTTAGATGTAATGATACCGAAATGTAAAATACTGCTGGCAGCTTCCATCAGATTGGCGATATCAACTGACAAGGACATTGAAATGCCCAAGAGTCTATATGAAAAAGATGAGAAACAAGAATAGTTTCTTACCTTCCTACTGCTACTGTCAGTTTTCTCTGCTTCTATACCTAAACCGCAGACTCCCGGTCGTTGATCCCTGTCTTTCAATACTAGTTCACGCATTGCTTTCTCTCGCTCTGCTGTCTGAATATAACTCATAAGAAACAAGGACCAGTAAGAAAAGGAAAGCAGCCAAAAATAAATAAACGAAAACAATAGACAATATTTACAAACCTGTAAAGACAATGAAACTGCATGAGATAATTCATCATCTTCTAAGTCAAGTTGCCTTTGCATAAATCCAATACCAGATGAATCCTGCATCAAAAAGTGAATAGAAAGAACTGAAAAAAGATAATCAAGGGATCATTCAAAAGTAAAATAATCTAAGATCCATAATCCAGGAACCAAATCGCTTATTCAAATAACCCTCTTTAACCTCTCGTCTTGAAGCCTCAATAGCAGCTTGAATCATTTCCTCTTCTATATCATTGCCATACAAATGTGAATCCTCATCTCTTGAGACATTCCCCTGAGTGTCCAGAATTTGAGATGATGGGGTTATTCGTCCATTATAATCAGATGGCATAAATCCTGCATGATGAGGCTGCTCATTCCAGCTATTGAACTGTCCGGGCACTCCTCCTGTATTGGAAACAGGTGTATGACTATTGAAAGCAGAAGCACCAATCTCATTTATTAGATTTCTCCTGTAATTGGGATCAAGTAACAATGATGGCCTGAAAGTTCTAGCAGCAGATAGAAGTTGTAAAAGTCTGTTTGGCCCAGGTTGAACTCGACTGTTCATATCCACAATATTATCTGGAGGAGAAAAACCAGCTGGTGGATTTGAACTGAACAGAAAAGCAGAGAGAAAATGATGGTTAATGAACAACCAGACAAACAAATAATACAAGTTAAACGTTATGCCAAATTCTAAGGAAACAAAGAGGAACTTAGGATTAATGAAAAAGAACAGAAGAAATAATTTTACAGATGAAAACTACAAACAAGAAATGTCATACATGTATCTGTCCCCTTCAATAAAATATGCATTCACAGCTTCATTTAGATTGCCTCCATATTCCTGTTCACCAATCACAGTGTATCAAGCAGCCAAAATATCATTAGAAATTTAAAATACATATTTTATAGCTTTTGAACGAGAGATAATAGTAAAGAATCATCAGGATTTTATTTTATACATATGAGACAAAAACAGACTGGATTATATTCAATATTCTTGATTAGCCTAAAGCATGAATAATGCATTGTATATCACATTGCAGAAATTAACTTACAGATACTCAAAAGACAAATAAAAAAGTAAAATAAGCTGTAAAAGTAACTACAAACCCTAGAAATTAGTATAACTATAAAGAGTTCAGTGATGGAGCAAAATAAGCAAAATTGAAAATCGAATAAGAAATTAGATGATAACCAAAGTAATAGACAATTATGAGCCACAATTTGCATATGTAGTCCACTTAAAATTTATAAAGAACAAATTCGTAAGAATATATACATTGTTCAGTTAAACGAACCAAGAAACCCTAGAAAACAAATTGAGAACTGTTTCTTGATTTTGACAGTTAAATAATGCAACAGTGATTATAATAATAAGAAAATATAAAGAATCTTACAGGGACGATTTCTTGACATTCTTGAAAATAAACAATGTTTGTTTCCAGAAATTAAACTGATCGATGAAAACAACAGTTGAGTAAGTAAGAAAAAAAAAAAAAAGCACCTCCAATTTTTGAAACGCGACTGACTCAGAAGCGCCGGTGATTCTCGTGAACGTCTCGATTGCTTCTTGATTTGGTCTCGCCATCACCGTCAATATCGAAAATGTGTATGGATCTAAACAGAGAGTGTTTTAAAAAGAGATTTCTTTCTATTGATAGAAATTTTGCGTACGAGATACATGAATACGAATTGTAGAGGAGGGGAATCTTTGCGCGCGCCTTTATTTAACTTTTATATTAACCGGATAAAGTACCGTACTACAAAATGCGTGGCAAAAGATCTAACGTACACGTGTAATACAGTCGACCGTACTGTTGAACTTTTTTTTTTTTTAAGTTACCGCTCCTCTCTTTAGCTTTAATTTTAAAGAAAAAAATTTGGGAATCGTAAGGGAGTGATTTTTGTTATTTGAGAAATGTGACTTTTGTATCCAGAAGATTTTGAAATGCGAAATTGGTAAATTAATCACACTTAATTAAAATATTATAATGGAAAATTGGAAATTAACGGGTGCGTTTGGTTTATTATTTTGGGTAGAATTTTGGGGATAGTATTGAATAGTTGAATAGGGGAGTATTACGAGATAAAATTTAAAAATTTATGAAAAAGCCCCCAAGGTTTGCTAATTTAATAAATACCCTAATATATTAAAATATTGTAACATGATAAAAACACCCCTAACACCCAAAGTGCCAGATTCTGGCCACCACCGCCAAAATCTGGCTGGAAAATTGGATAACCACAAAATCCGGTCGGATCTAGCAGGCATTCGATCGATCTGGCCTTTTCTGGCCATATCTACCACAGATCTGGCCGAAAAAGGCCAGATCTAAGGCCGGATGTGGCCTTCAACGGCCGAAAAAGGCCAACTTTGGCCGTCAGCGACGGCCAAAGATATGGCCGTCGTTGTCTGTCAACGATGGCCAAGATTTGGCCGTCGTTGACAGTCAACACTGGCCATTTCTTTGGCCGTCGCTGACGGTCAGATCTAGCCTTTTTCGGTCAAATCTGGTCATTACCGGCCATTGCCGGTGGTCATATGACTGTTGTGATAGATTTCGGCTACCACCGGCGGTGGTTGTCAGAATCTGGCAAGTATTGTGGGTGGGGGTGTTTCTGTTAGTTTTTAAACTTTTTTTTTGGGTATTTATGAAATTAATAAACTTATGAGGTCTAGGAGTAATTAAAAAATAGACTAATATTTTATGAATAACGTGCCAAACAATATTTGTAAAATAGGATTGGGAATATAGATAAAAACAATAAGCAAAACGCACCCATTTTTCCTCACCCTCCTAATTTCAATATTCTCAATACCCTTCACTGAGCACCGTTTTCTAACGCCAAGAAATCAAAAGCAATGGCTAAATCAGTCTTTAAACAGCGAAAAGATTTAAAAGCAAAAAATCTTAACAGAGCCCCCAACGCAACAAAACCCAGTATAACGACACACCTCCCTACCGTCACAACCAGCCACAACCTTTCAAAACCCATCACTTTTTCACTAACGTCGCTTTGCATCTGGTTGGCGGCGTTGCCAGATTTGGCTAAACGACATGGCCATGTCGTTTTGTTTCAATTAAGATTGGAGGTGGACGGGGTGGTTTGAAGGTGCACTAGATGAATTTTTGTAGTGATGTTTGTGAGGATTTTGGTTTTGATGAACGTGGTTTTAAATTTATTTTGTGATTTTCTGGAATTTTATTTTCAGATATTTTTCTTTTTGATGGGATGTTGGAGCCAGTTTGCGTGTTTTTTAACTAATTCTTCGGATCTTGAAATTGACGACGGGATAATCCCCTCAATGATCACCTATTAGCCCATGTGGGACTCTCATGTATACCGTTTGCTCTTTTACCTACAGTGGCTGTTATTTTCATATTTCATTGGTTGGTCTCTTTGCAATGGCAGTGGTGAATTGATTATCTGTTAGCCCTGTTAGTCTTCTAAAAATGTCGTAGTCAATGGATCCATCTTCTTACTATCTCTTATCACATGTCTTCACGCCCATTTAAAATTCCCCCTTCTCTCTCTGTAAAATTAAATGATGTTAGGGTTTAGCTTTGCCCTTTTTATGCTCCACGGAACATGCTGATTCGAAATCGACTGTTCACGCTTTTATCCATTATCATCTGCATCTCTATCTTCGCCTCCTAAAGAATGTCCATTTACTCTCTCTTTCAAATCCAACTTCTCTCACTCCATCCTTAGCCCGAACCCGGGTCCAAACCCGACACCCCATGTGACCACGGCTTCAAAAACCACAAAACAGTGGCAACCCATGTCAGACACGGCCCAGTTCGTCCGGACCCTCCTCTTTCTACCGCCTGGTGTCGACGCGGACGAGGTGACTGAAGACATGATTTTGCCCGGGTCGAATATCGTGGTGGGGCCCTATGCAGTTCATTCCCAGATTAAGGAAGTGGAGTTTGTAAAAAGCAGTGGTCGGGCCAAAGATTGCCCCAAAGATGACCGACCTGAGTTTGCAATTGTGGGTCGCTCCAATGTGGGAAAGTCCTCGCTTATTAATGCTCTGGTTCGCAAAAAAGAAATTGCTCTCAGTTTTTTGTTTGTTCTTTTCTTAGATTTTTTATTATATATAATTTTTTGGTTTTAATCAAATTATGTTTATGCAGGGAAGACTCAGCTAATAAATCATTTTTTGGTGAACAAAAGTTGGTATATTGTTGATTTGCCTGGTTATGGTGGGTAAGCTCTTTACACTTTATATGTTAGTACTTTGGGTTTTTTTTTAAATTGTTTTTTAACGTTTTACTTTACTTGATTTTGTCTTGTTAAGCCGTTTTGTGGTGTGTTTTTAATGAGCGTATTCAGTGCCCCTTTTTATTTTTCTTGTTTTTGCTAGGGAACCAGAAGATTTTTATTACTAATAAAAACAAATAAATAAGCTAACCACAAAAACAAGGTGTAGCTAGTTGAGAGAGGTCAATCAAGTATTAAATCAACCTAAATCTTCAAGAGACCCAATCAAAAACAACATAAACCAACTATAACATTGAAGCTTCCCAATGATGATCAATAAAAAAGAAGCAACTCTGAGGAGACATAAGCTCGTACAGAAGCCCAAAATTTTACTTTATCCTACTGAAGGAAACTTCTTTTCCACTAACATCTTCAAAAAATATTTTATCTATCTCCATCCGAAAAGCCTGGAGAATTGTTTTAGAAGCACAATCCCTTCTTACCACCTCTTAAAGGTACATGCCTCTCAACAATACATGGTTGTTCTTACCACCTCTTAAACAATACATGGTTGAGCTATATAATAACTTAACTCCCTGACCTTGTTTGGGACTTCAGATTTCTTTAGCTTTTAGATTTCTGAAAAATTTTAGATTCCAACCCCAATGAGAAGTTTCCAGTTCAGTTCTTTTGTTACCATCTAACCTTGCTGGGATAAAGCCTAAATCTCCCTTATTGACTGTAATTTGAGCTTCATGGAGGGAGGAGCAGTTTTGAGTTCTTCTAATGATCATGATTAATCCTCCACTCATAGCACTTATTTTCTCAAAGACTTCTCTATTCCATGAGTGAAAAGGAAGCCCCTGTAAGCCCAACCATGCTCACTTAGATATTAATTTACTCCTTACAATGTTACTCATTGGTCTCCATCTTCGAACCCTAACAAAAATCTTTCTTTTCAACATCCTTCTGCCTATTTTACCCATTTACTGTGCACATTTTGCTGACTTATAGAAGAATAGTGCCTTGTCGACCTGGAAAAGTTTGAGGGAAATTTTAGGTTATGGAAATCTAGAAAGAGCTTTTTGAATTTTCCACCATGGATATGATCCTTTGACTCTAGCACAAATCAGCTCTCTACTGTCTCTTATAAGCCAAGCAATCAGCCTAACTGGTGCTACTTTCCAAGCTCTTGCTCTCATGCTTAGAACTGAAATGGTCTGAAAATTCCTTGCCCCTCTTAGTCAAACTGATTTCGTACCTTCTCCCACCCTGAATAATATTGATTATAGTTTCAGCTAGAAGTCTCCAATCTTCAACCTTTATGCCCTGAGGATCAATTACCTATTGAGAAAATTCATTGAAATTGCCATTATCATTGTTGAACTTCTCTAGCCAAGCTTCGAAATAATTTGCTCTGAAAAGCTTGAAGAAGCTAGTTCCTTGCTTCTATATGAACCTTTAGTAATCCATGACCCAGCCAAGAAGTACAATCCAAATCAATGAAAGGTCACAAAGACCTCTCATGATTTCACCGTTTTCCTATAATTTCTTTTATTATAGCTAATTACAAGTTAATGCATGATATTGGTACCTTGTTAAACCCATGGAACAGTCTAAGAAGCTGAATGCTTCTCTTCATATATGCAAAACTTTGTGCGACCATGAAATATTTGTTCTTTACTTAATACTTGGTGGATTCCTTTTGTCTTTAGTTTTGCTAAAGCTCCAGATGCTGCTCGAATCGATTGGTTCTCATTCACAAAAGGCTACTATCAAATAGAGAAACTCTGGTCGGTGTCCTCGTTCTCATTGATGCAAGTGTTCCACCGCAGAAGATTGACCTGGACTGTGCCAATTGGCTTGGACATAGCAATGTAAGCTGCTCCTGAATCTTAAACTCAATAATTCTATCGTCCTTATATCTAGTTTGTTGAGGCAAGCTTAAATCCAAACTTTCTCACGTTAATTTGTTGCATTTTTGTTGTGTTCGGGTGCATTTGTTTAGGACCACTTTGTAGCTGAGGTTCATGCTTAGAGCGATGTGGAATGTCACCAAAAAGTTCGTCTCAATCCTAACTGCTTCGTCAGTCTTCGGAAAGAAACCAACCCACTTGAATGTCCAGAATAAGGACATGATCCAAATAAGCAATTAGAGCAGTAATACACTTTGTATATACTCTCTTTATTACATGAGTAAATTGAACATTATACTTAAACAAAGAAAAATACCTCATCAGAAGGTAAAACATATTTTTTGCTTTGGGGATGATCACCAGCGCTGTGTAAATTAGACAAGTAACTTTCAGATGATTGTGCTCGCACATCTTCAGCTCCCTCTTGGACTGACGAGTTTCCAGGCTTAAACTAAAAACAGTATCCCGTTAGATGTAATGATACCGAAATGTAAATACTGCTGGCAGCTTCCATCAGATTGGCGATATCAACTGACAAGGACATTGAAATGCCCAAGAGTCTATATGAAAAAGATGAGAAAACAAGAATAGTTCTTACCTTCTACTGCTACTGTCAGTTTTCTTGCTTTATACCTAAACCGCAGACTCCCGGTCGTTGATCCCTGTCTTCAATACTAGTTCACGCATTGCTTTCTCTCGCTCTGCTGTCTGAATATAAATCATAAGAAACAAGGACCAGTAGAAAAGGAAAGCAGCCAAAAATAAATAAACGAAAACAATAGACAATATTACAAACCTGTAAGACAATGAAACTGCATGAGATAATTCATCATCTTCTAAGTCAAGTTGCCTTTGCAAAATCCAATACCAGATGAATCCTGCATCAAAAAGTGAATAGAAAGAACTGAAAAAAGATAATCAAGGGATCATTCAAAAGTAAAATAATCTATGATCCATAATCCAGGAACCAAATCGCTTATTCAAATAACCTCTTTAACCTCTGTCTTGAAGCCTCAATAGCAGCTTGAATATTTCCTTTCTATATCATTGCCATACAATGTGAATCCTCATCTCTTGAGACATTCCCCTGAGTGTCCAGAATTTGAGATGATGGAGTTATTCGTCATTATACAGATGGCATAAATCCTGCATGATGAGGCGCTCATTCCCGCTATGAACTGTCCGGGCAACCTCCTGTATTGGAAACAGGTGTATGACTATTGAAAGCAGAAGCACCAATCTTTATTAGATTTCTCTGTAATTGGGATCAATGACAATGATGGCCTGAAAGTTCTAGCAGCAGATAGAAGTTGTAAAAGTCTGTTTGGCCAGGTTGAACCGACTGTTCATATCCACAATATACTGGAGGAGAAAAACCAGCTGGTGGATTTGAACTGAACAGAAAAGCAGAGGGAAAATGATGGTTAATGAACAACCAGACAAACAAATAATACAAGTTAAACGTTATGCCAAATTCTAAGGAAACAAAGAGGAACTAGGATTAATGAAAAAGAACAGAAGAAATAATTTTACAGATGAAAACTACAAACAGAATGCCATACATGTATCTGTCCCCTTCAATAAATATGCATTCACAGCTTCATTTAGATTGCCTCCATATTCCTGTTCACCAATCACAGTGTATCAAGCAGTCAAAATATCATTAGAAATTTAGAATCACTTTTATAGCTGTTGAACGAGAGATAATAGTAAAGAACCATAAGGATTTTATTTTATACATATGAGACAAAAAACAGACTGGATCATATTCAATATCTTGATTAGCCTAAAGCATGAATAATGCATTGTATATCACATTGCAGAAATTAACTACAGATACTCAAAAGACAAATAAAAAAGTAAAATAAGCTGTAAAAGTAACTACAAACCCTAGAAATTAGTATAACTATAAAGAGTTCAGTGATGGAGCAAAATAAGCAAAATTGAAAATCGAATAAGAAATTAGATGATAACCAAAGTAATTGACAATTATGACCCACAATTTGCATATGTAGTCCACTTACAATTTAAAAGAACAAATTCGTAAGAATATATACATTGTTCAGTTAAACGAACAAGAAACCCTAGAACACAAAGTGAGAACTGTTTCTTGATTTTGACAGTTAAATAATGCAACAGTGATTATAATAATAGAAAATATAAAGAATCTTACAGGGACGATTTCTTGACATTCTTGAAAATAAACAATGTTGTTTCCAGAAATTAATCTGATCGATGAAGTTGAGTAAGTAAGAGAAAAAAAAAAAAAAAAAGCACCTCCAATTTTTGAAATGCGACTGACTCAGAAGCGCCGTGATTCTCGTGAACGTCTCGATTGCTTCTTGATTTGGTCTCGCCATCACCTTCAATATCGAAAATGTGTATGGATCTAAACAGAGAATGTTTTAAAAAGAGATTTCTTTCTATTGATAGAAATTTTGCGTACGAGATGTATGAATACGAATTGTAGAGGAGGGGAATCTTGCGCCGCGCCTTTATTAACTTTTATATCAACCGGATAAAGTACCGTACTACAAATGCGTGGCAAAAGATCTAACGACACGTGTAATACTAGTCGACCGTACTGTTGCTCTTTTTTTTTAGTTAAGCTCCTCTCTTTAGCTTTAATTTTAAAGAAAAAGATTTGGGAATCGAAAGAGAGTGATTTTTTTATTTGAGAAATGTGACTTTTGTATCCAGAAGATTTTGAAATGCGAAATTGGTAAATTAATCACACTTAATTAAAATATATAATGGAAAATTGGAAATTAACGGGTGCGTTTGGTTTATTTTTGGGTAGAATTTTGGGATAGTATTGAATAGTTGAATAGGGGAGTATTACGAGATAAATTTAAAAATTTATGAAAAAGCCCCCAAGGTTTGCTAATTTAATAAATACCCTAATAATAAAATATTGTAACATGATAAAAACACCCCTAACACCCAAAGTGCCGATTCTGGCCACCACCGCCAAAATCTGGCTGGAAAATTGGATAAACACAAAATCCGTCGGATCTAGCAGGCATCGATCGATCTGGCCCTTTCTGGCCATATCTACCACAGATTGGCCGAAAAAGGCCAGATCTAAGGCCGGATGTGGCCTTCAACGGCCGAAAAGGCAACTTTGGCCGTCAGCGACGGCCAAGATATGGCCGTCGTTGTCTGTCAACGATGGCCAAGATTTGGCCGTCGTTGACAGTCAACACTGGCCATTTCTTTGGCGTCGCTTACGGTCAGATTAGCCTTTTTCGGTCAAATCGGTCATTACGGCCATTGCGGTGGTATATGACTGTTGTGATAGATTTCGGCTACACCGGCCGGGTGGTTGTCAGAATCTGGCAAGTATTGTGGGTGGGGGTGTTTCTGTTAGTTTTTAAACTTTTTTTTTGGGTATTTATGAAATTAAACTTATGAGGTCTAGGAGTAATTAAAAAATAGACTAATATTTTATGAATAACGTGCCAAACAATATTTGTAAAATAGGATTGGGAATATAGATAAAAAAAATAAGCAAAACGCACCCATTTTTCCTCCCTCCTAATTTCAATATTCTCAATACCCTTCCCTGAGCACCGTTTTCTAACGCCAAGAAATCAAAAGCAATGGCTAAATCAGTCTTTAAACAGCGAAAAGATTTAAAAGCAAAAAAACTTAACAGAGCCCCAACGCAACAAAACCCAGTAACGACACACTCCCTACCGTCACAACCAGCCACAAACCTTCAAAACCCATCACTTTTTCACTAACGTCGTTTGCATCTGGTTGGCGGCGTTGCAGATTTGGCTAAACGACATGGCCATGTCGTTTGTAATTAAGATTGGAGGTGGACGGGGTGGTTTGAAGGGGCACTAGATGAATTTTTGTAGTGTGTGTTGTGAGGATTTTGGTTGATGAACGTGGTTTAAAATTAATTTGTGATTTTCTGGAATTTTATTTTCAGATATTTTTCTTTTTGATGGGATGTTGGAGCCAGTTTGCGTGTTTTTTAACTAATTCTTCGGATCTTGAAAATGACGACGGGATAATCCCTCAATGATCACTATTAGCCCATGTGGGACTCTCATGTATACCGTTTGCTCTTTACCTACAGTGGCTGTTATTTTCATATTTCATTGGTTGGTCTCTTGCAATGGCAGTGGTGAATTGATTATCTGTTAGCCTGTTAGTCTCTAAAAAGTCGTAGTCAAGGATCCATCTTCTTACTACTCTTATCACATGTCTTCACGCCCATTAAAATTCCCCCTTCCCTCTGTAAAATTAAATGATGTTAGGGTTTGCTTTGCCCTTTTTATGCTCCACGGAACATGCTGATTCGAAATCGACTGTTCACGCTTTTATCCATTATCATCGCATCTCTATCTTCGCCTCCTAAAGAATGTCCATTTACTCTCTCTTTCAAATCCAACTTCTCTCACTCCATTCCTTGACCCGAAGAGACAGAAGATTCTTTTTGCAGTTAAACAATACTGGACAGCCCCTGCTCCTGACCAAGGAGCCGGTACAGCTTCGTAGTCATAATATTGCTCTTGTTTTCTTAATTTTTATTTTTTGGAAAGATTTTTTTTTATTTAATTCATTATTGGTACCAATTTTTTTCCCACTTTATGTGGGTATGCTCGTACGAGTTTAAGACGGTTGGTAGATATTTTATTATACATCAATGAAAGGTCTTTCATTCCTTTTGTCCCTTTCTCTCTGGATCAAAACAAATTCGTTTTGTTCATTCTATTTTTACTTATTCTTCAAGTAGTAAAGCATGCAAATTGTAACAGTAATTGTGAGTAAAGGAAGTTCAAACTCGTGCAGAAAGTGATTAGAGGCGTACCGTGTCCGTTATCACAAATAAGACTTTTGTTCCTCTTAATTTTGCATGAACTGCTTACTGCTCTGACCATCAAGATTTGATGGAGCTTAATGAAATAAATGACATCTAATTCTTGTTCTTTGTTTTCTATGCCTTTCAAGCAATGAAAAGTGAGGCCAACCGATGCACACTTCCAACTTTTGCAAATAATATTCCTGCATTCTCCCTTCTCTATCGCTGTGACATTAGTTTCCTAATATAGATTTAGGTGGAATGGTCAATTCCCACCAAAAATATTGAGATGTCGAGGTTTCTTTGGTATACAGTTGATACCCAATTGATGTCTCATATGCAACTAAGCAATTCCATGCCAAAATAACACATATGGGGCAGTTTTTTGTCATCATGGGGTTTGTGTTTCTATTCAGTTAGTTCTACAATTGATAACAATTTCTGCATGCATAGGAATAAATCTCCGAGTAGCTTGTGAAGTTGTAGCATGACTGTCATGAACATTGCACATATACCAATTAAAATGCAAGAATGCTTTCAAATTTATTTGAGCATACAACCAAAGACTACAAACCTTTGCAGTCCAACCTAATTTCGTGTCAAACTTTGTTCACATAGTTGATACGTTATTTGAGCTCTAGAAACAATGCTTCTTGTTTGCTGGTAAGGCCAAGTTCGCTAAAACTTAAAGAGGCATCACAAATATCAAAAGCACGCCGAGGGTATGGTCTCACCTGTCCAGGAGAATCGAGAAATGAGTCGGAGTACATATATGTTTTCTTTAATGTTGAAAGAAATACACAAAAATATATATGCCACCTAAAGTTGACTTGATCAGTCCACCGACAGCTATAATAGAAAATAACTAGAAGAGGGGTCAAGAAAACTTACCACTCTGTAAGTGCCAGGTTTCACTACTCTACCAACATCTATGAAGTCAAATAGAAACTGCAAAGGAACAAAGCACAGTCAGTTGAACCATAAGACAATTGGTGCAATCATTTAAATATTTCATTCTACCTGAAGCTTGTCTGACTTGAGAAAAGGACGGCCACGGCGGCTGCCATCTGGCATTTTAACAAGAAGAGTAACAGCATTCTCATCCTCTAATGCTGGCTCAGGAGGAAGAGAAGTTTCTTTTACAGCTAGCCACCTTTCAAATTTCTGTCAACAGTGATATCAAAATGCAAATCAATGCCTTGGCAAGAACTAAAGAAATGAAAAAGCAGCTCTCTCTCTCTCTCTCGTAAATGTCAACAGAGAGCAAGTAATATTACACATATACTAAAAAATACACTAAAAGGACTTTAACATTAAAAGGTGAAAATGGGCAAATGATCAACATCTCACTAAGTATCTATTCAAGTTCACATGCAAAAGGCAATGATCCATTGATCAAGCATGCTTAAGTGGGTTTTAAGTTAATACTATCCGCTTACCACATAAATAATCTCCCCACTTATACCCCCAGTCAATTAGTTGATTTAGATTCCATAATGACTTGTCTTAATAATACAAGTACTAAAAGAAATAATAAAAACCGTCAAAAAAACTAAGGGAAGAATCAAAAGTTACCAATTTACTCTTCCTATCACCTTTTCACATTAGTTTCCTTGAGACAAACGTTTCTAATAATTGTTCGTGATAGTACAAACCATTTCCTCAGAACCTCAGACAGACATCAATTAACATTAATTCCATTATAAAAATAGAAAAAAAAAAAAAAAATCCAAATCATTATCTTGTTAGAATGGTTATCACTGAGTCAAGTTCACTGAATTTTAAAAAATAACATGGTGAATAGATGAGGTAACCAAATCAATAGATACGCTACCTCTTCCTCAAGCAATTTTTTATGAGTCTCATCTTCCTTCAAGTGAAGAGATTCAGCTTCCTTCAAAGCATTAGCTTCTTTTTCTCTGTCAGCCAACAGAGATGCCAAATACTCATCATCCTGCAAGCACATTTAAACAACATGTCTTAAAAAAAACATCATCAAGCATGCAATTGATATGGGGAAATTCTTACCTGTTGTTCACGTAATAACCGCTTTTCCATTACAGAGGATGATGGCTGGTGGGGAGCTGGACGGGAATTTGGACCCACACTTGTGTCTGGACCACTTTGTAGCTGAGGTTCATGCTTAGAGCGATGTGGAATGTCACCAAAAAGTTCTGTCTCAATCCTAACTACTTCATCAAGCTCTTCGGAAGAAATACCACCCCACTTGAATGTCCAGAAGAAGGACATGATCCAAATAAGCAATTAGAGCAGTAATACACTTTGTATTATACTCTCTTTATTACATGAGTAAATTGAACATTATACTTGAACAAAGAAAAATACCTCATCAGAAGGTAAAACGTATTTATTGCTTTGGGGATGATCACCAGCACTGCGTAAATTAGACATGTAACTTTCAGATGATTGCGCTCGCACATCTTCAGCTCCCTCTTGGACTGATGAGTTTCCAGGCTCAAACTAAAAACAGTATCTCGTTAGATGTAATGATATCGAAATATAAAATACTGCTGGCAGCTTCCATCAGATTGGGGATATCAACTGACAAGGACATTGAAATGCCCAAGAGTCTATATGAAAAAGATGAGAAACAAGAATAGTTTCTTACCTTCCTACTGCTACTGTCAGTTTTCTCAGCTTCTATACCTAAACCGCAGACTCCCAGTCGTTGATCCCTGTCTTTCAATACTAGTTCACGCATTGCTTTCTCTTGCTCTGCTGTCTGAATATAACTCATATGAAACAAGGACCAGTAAGAAAAGGAAAGCAGCCAAAAATAAATAAATGAAAACAATAGGCAATATTTACAAACCTGTAAAGACAATGAAACTGCATGAGATAATTCATCATCTTCTAAGTCAAGTTGCCTTTGCATAAATCCAATACCAGATGAATCCTGCATCAAAAAGTGAATAGAAAAGAACTGAAAAAAGATAATCAAGGGATCATCAAAAGTAAAATAATCTATGATCCATAATCCAGGAACCAAACGCTTATTCAAATAACCCTCTTTAACCTCTCGTCTGAAGCCTCAATAGCAGCTTGAATCATTTCCTCTTATATCATTTCCATACAAATGTGAATCCTCATCCTTGAGACATTCCCGAGTGTCCAGAATTTGAGATGATGGAGTTATTCGTCCATTATAATCAGATGGCATAAATCCTGCATGATGAGGCTGCTCATTCAGCTATGAACTGTCCGGGCAATCTCTGTATTGGAAACAGGTGTATGACTATTGAAAGCAGAAGCACAATCTCATTTATTAGATTTCTCTGTAATTGGGATCAAGTAACAATGATGGCCTGAAAGTTCTAGCAGCAGATAGAAGTTGTAAAAGTCTGTTTGGCCCAGGTTGAACTCGACTGTTCATATCCACAATATTATCTGGAGAGAGAAAAACCAGCTGGTGGATTTGAACTGAACAGAAAAGCAGAGGGAAAATGATGGTTAATGAACAACCAGACAAACAAATAATACAAGTTAAACGTTATGCCAAATTCTAAGGAAACAAAGAGGAACTAGGATTAATGAAAAAGAACAGAAGAAATAATTTTACAGATGAAAACTACAAACAGAAATGCCATACATGTATCTGTCCCCTTCCATAAATATGCATTCACAGCTTCATTTAGATTGCCTCCATATTCCTGTTCACCAATCACAGTGTATCAAGCAGTCAAAATTCATTAGAAATAGAATACATATTTTATAGCTGTTGAACGAGAGATAATAGTAAAGAACCATAAGGATTTTATTTTATACATTGAGACAAAAACAGACTGGATCATATCAATATTCTTGATTAGCCTAAAGCATGAATAATGCATTGTAATCACATTGCAGAAATTAACTACAGATACTCAAAGACAAATAAAACAAAAAAGTAAAATAAGCTGTAAAAGTAACTACAAACCCTAGAAATTAGTATAACTATAAAGAGTTCAGTGATGGAGCAAAATAAGCAAAATTGAAAATCGAATAAGAAATTAGATGATAACCAAAGTAATTGACAATTATGACCACAATTTGCATATGTAGTCCACTTACAATTTATAAAGAACAAATTCGTAAGAATATATACATTGTTCAGTTAACGAACCAAGAAACCCTAGAACACAAAGTGAGAACTGTTTCTTGATTTTGACAGTTAAATAATGCAACAGTGATTATAATAATAAGAAAATAAAAGAATCTTACAGGGACGATTTTTGACATTCTTGAAAATAAACAATGTTTGTTTCCAGAAATTAATCTGATCGATGAAGTTGAGTAAGTAAGAGAAAAAAAAAAAAAAAAAAGCACCCCCAAATGAAATGCGACTGACTCAGAAGCGCCGGTGATTCTCGTGAAAGTCTCGATTGCTCTGATTTGGTTCGCCATCACCTTCAATATCGAAAATGTGTATGGATTAAACAGAGAATGTTTTAAAAAGAGATTTCTTTCTATTGATAGAAATTTTGCGTACGAGATGTATGAATACGAATTGTAGAGGAGGGGAATCTTTGCGCGCGCCTTTATTTAACTTTTATATCAACCGGATAAAGTACCGTACTACAATGCGTGGCAAAAGATAACGTACACGTGTAATACTAGTCGACCGTACTGTTGCTCTTTTTTTTTAGTTACCGCTCCTCTCTTTAGCTTTAATTTTAAAGAAAAAGATTGGGAATCGAAAGAGAGTGATTTTTTGTATTTGAGAAATGTGACTTTGTATCCAGAAGATTTTGAAATGCGAAATTGGTAAATTAATCACACTTAATTAAAATTTATAATGGAAAATTGGAAATTAACGGTGCGTTGGTTATTATTTTGGGTAGAATTTTGGGGATAGTATTGAATAGTTGAATAGGGGAGTATTACGAGATAAAATTTAAA